TTCCAGCAATCCAACGGCAGACAATTTTTTGTCCAATAAAAAATGAAAAAAAATCGGAAAAAATTTTAAAAAATACGAAAAAAATACTGAATTTTTTTTTCCTATAAATACCAACCAATACTGACTTTTAACCCAAAAATCTTATCCGAAAATATTATCCAAATTAATTGTTTAAGTAAACAAAGTTGTGAAAAAAACAAAAAAATGAATAGTATTTGCCATGGCAAGCCTTGCATTGCTGGAAACACAATTTTTTTTTGGTGCTAGGGCAGCCACTATTCACGTGAATAGTACCCGCCCTAGGGCTCCCCTTGCCTATTCACGTGAATAGTACCCGCCCTAGGGCTCCCCTTGCCATGGCAAGGGGAGCGGCTAACTGGTGGAAGTGTTCTTAATGCCATCTAGTTTTCCATCCAAAAAATGGTATGTAACACGCACATGCCATATACTTGGGTTTTCAGTAATTTAGTAATAAAAATTTGGCTATTTACTGTAGTGCCCTTTGAAATTTCGGTCAAATCTCACTTTACTCCCCTAAAGTTAAAGTGGCCCACTTAACTTCCTTTGACCGTGATTTTGTATTACACTTTACCCCACCGTTATCTCTATTAATAACTTCTTTAGTTTTGATGATGTGGCAAGGCTATTTTAGTCTTTTTACTAAACATAATTTTTAATTATATATATATATATATAATGGCAGAGGTTCTCTCTCCGTTGGGGTGGGGATTTGGAGTCGAGGAAGTTCAAGGGGCAACTCGATGTGTGGTGTCGGTTTCAAATGATTGGGGGTCGGGGGAGTGTGGATGGCTTGGGTGATGGCTCAGGGCTTAGATGATTGGGGGCCGGGGGGGAGTGTGGTTGGCTTGGTGATGGTTTGGTGGGCTGGGTTGGTGGAGTGTGGGGGTGTGCTGGTGTGGGTGGTGCAATGAGGAAGGTGGTGGTTGCTGGACAAAGGGTGGGGCTGCACTGCTTTCTTAATGTTTTTTGTTTTATTGTTTTGTTGTTTTGTTTTTTTTAATTTTCTATTCTTTTGTTTTTCATTTGTTTTGTTAATTTACTACAATCTTGATCTGGATGCGGTTTTTTTAAAAATATTTTATTTTATTTTTAAAGCATAGAAAAGAAAGATTTTTATTTATTACTTTTTCTATATATTTTTTAATTAAACAAGTAATTACATTATTTTATATTTATTAAACAAAAAAAAGTGGGTTATTCACATGATACATCATCACTTGTGATAAAAAGACTAAAATAGCACTGCCACATCATCAAAACTGACAGAGTTATTAATGAAGATAATGGTTGAAGGTAAAGTGGAACACGAAATCAAGGTCAAGGGGGTTAAGTGGGCTACTTTAACTTTTTTGTGGTGGTGGTGGTGGTGTAATTCTAAAAACTTTCAGAAAAATAAAAAAATAAAAAAATAACTAACCCCAGCCCCTTTCCCCAACCTTACCCGTGATATTTGGACAATACTCCGAAAGACCTCTATTTCATTGACCCAAAAGACCTTTATTTAAACTGATATTTTATTTTATTTTGGCTGTTGAAACAGTTTAAAGAAAGTGTACTTAAAATAAAATCTGCTAACCCTAACATAAAATCTTCTATATAGATGCATAACCAAGAACAATTCTTTCAAATCTTTTGATATTTTTCCAACCAAAACAGAGCATAAAATCGAGTTTCGTCTCCGGCAATTCAGAGTACAATTAAGCTGATCTTGTTGAGATTGAGACTACTACTAGTGCATACAAATCTACCAACATATCCATTTCATGAAAACACAAGAAAATTCATATGGAGCAATTTGACTCAATCAACTTGGATTACAGACTATCTATCTATTGTGTAAAACCAAAGCATCCTGAATCTGTCAGCACGAAACCGAAACCAAGTCACCGGAATTTAGACGGGTAGCAGTACTTAGCAAAATGTACACGTGCTATGAGAAACTAATTATCACCACATTCTACCAATATTATACAAATTCTGATTCTGACCAGACCAATAGGGGCCGCTTGCAGGCATTGAGGAACCAATTAACCCAAAAGTGACAACCCCATTCTATACTTGCAGGATGGTTGGAGCCCATGGAGAAAATTTCCACTATACACCAATTGTAGATTCAAATCCATCGTCTGAAAAGCTTCCAATCACCATGCAGCAAAATCACCTTCTACCCTAATTTTCAGACATCTGCCATTCAAGAAAATCGTAAGCATTTGCAGATCATCTCTGGTAAAAAAGAGGAACCAGTCAATTACATAATTACTGTCATTAAATCATTCCAAATCCAAAGACTCATTATGGCATAGCATACCCCGAGAGGGGCAAGGGGGGAAACACATTTATTTAGCGACCCTTTAACATGGGAATTATTCTGTTCGAAAATTGAAATTTACTCATAGCAATCATTTGTGCTCCAACATTTGGTATGAAAGGAGGAAACCCACTAATAATGAAAGAAAAGAAAGAAAAGAGAGTAACCAGGTTATAAGGTAAACAAATTCAGTTACACGCACCGATCTCATACATTCATAAAAAAGTACATCACCACAACTTCAAACCACACTAGGATTTTAACATTGACAGAGCATTTTTCCTTGCTCTAAGCTATTGCTCTCAGCTGTTTCTAGAGATATCCTTCTAGCTGTTTCAGGAAATTTTGTTATGCACTATTTTCACTGGCTACACAGCATCGTACACTGGTCGGATTTAGGATTTGATTTACAACAAGCTGATCCTTACATAAGAAGAAAAAGCAGAACCAAACTGATTGAGAATGAAACTCATCTTACGGACCAAAGCCTGCGAACATAAGTCAAAACCAGTGCTTTTATACCACTCTACATGGTGTGCCTTTATGGATGGCCAAAATGCCCTATTTTGGCTTTGTCAATTCTGAATCAAATAGTCCAATAATTTTCCAGCATAAATAAACCTACCAGAAACATCTTAGTGGTGTTGCATGCAGAAAATCTACTAATAATTAACTAATCAGATCCCTGATCGTATTGGAACAAAACTGACTTGTATTCCACCTGAAAGATACCACATCTTCAAGTTCTATTCTCTGCACCTCAACAATGTAATTGTGTTCCCAGCCCTCCATCAACACCCGAGCAAAAAGCAGGATAGCACTCCTTTCAACTAATTCAAGATATAAAAATTTGCTTGAAGTATATATGTGCACTAAAACTAGAAATATGCCCAAAGCTACAAATAAAGCCAAAACTTGCGTCAGAAAAAGTACGGTTTGAAGATGGCCTTTATTTTATTGTCTAAGACATAAGGCCAAGTAAGGTATACACATGGCCTGTAAAGTAAGAAATCTAAGCAACATGCCAGTATACTAAAGATTAGATGTGACCAAATTATCAAAGGCCAACAACATAATGGTCATTAACTCTGACTTGCTCACTTAACTGACCAAATCCAAACACCCTCACATGAGAAAGACAGGTTATTTTCTTACATGATTTGCTTTGAAATTCTTGCAAAGAGAGAATCAACAAAATGAACAAAAAAATGATAGATTAAACTGGCCTGAACCGAGTACACATGCACTATACAAAGACAGGAAAACAGAAAACAAGAAAGCAAGTCTCCAGTGAGAAACAAATCACTGCAATTCCATAATCCAACAACAGAAATCATTTGAAAGAAACATCCACTAGGCTTTTCCATCTTACTCACTTAAAATAATCCTTCCCTAACAGGAAAACAGGACTAACCAGCATACTTTGGTGGTTGACGCATTGGTCAGGCCACTCTACAATCAACATATCCAGCCCCAATAATGGAATAGGATAGACAAAACAACCAAGGGATTTTCATAATGCAAGGGAAAATTGTTCAATAATTCCAGTCAACTTTGAATCGTATTGCACCAAATTCCAATGGAAACATTCTCACTGGCCAGATAATTTTTTTTCCCGTTTGAAAAGGGAAGAATCAGCGCCAAAAATAAATTAAGTACCTAAAACATTATTTCCGAGTAATATCCGTACTTTTCCAGGGACAAGGACTGTTATGATAAATCCCTTGAGATTCTTAGAGAAGAAGAGGAAGGGGGAGAGAGGATAATAAAAAAGCAGGGGAATGGATGGATGACAACTTTGCCAAGATTGGTAACTATATGAAATGAACATTAACACCAGATTTGATAGGTTGTACAAAAATTAATAGTCAGTGGTAAAATAAAAAGGGCTTGCTATCTTAAGAAGCTACGGCTACCTTGATACAGCAGGCTTGGCATGCGCCACCAAGATGGAGAAATTGTAGCCTGTGTTACATGGGTTATGGTTACCAGCTGTGGGTGCTGAGTCCAAGTGTCGGATTCACCAGTTTTCCTATAACTATCCACACTCTTGAAGTCTAAACAACCAAACCATTATCCATATTATCATGTTTTGCCAATGGGTACAGAAGGCTAAAATGAAACAGTCTATGTAAAGCATTATGTGACCAAATAACCTCCAAATATACCTATAAAGAAACCAGCCTAACATCACAACTATAACCCCAACCAACAGCCTCATATAATAACAAGAAAATAATACACAACCCACTGCATAAGTTTCATTTTCTGCAGTATCTACAGTATTTTTACAACAAATTTTCCACCATTCAAAGCTCTTCACCATAATCAATAATAAGGAGTAACAAACTTGCCAAGGTTTGTCAAATAAACAATTATAGTGGTTTACTGATAACTCTCATGACATCACATCTACTAGATGAATCATGCCACAACCTTTATAAAATAGTTTGGCTCATAAGTAATGTAAGAACCTCAACATGTGTCTCCAAGGCGGACAATTTAAAATTATTAGGGTGCTACCGCATTTCACTTGCAGTTTATTTAATTCAAGTATGATATAATCTGAACTTAACACTATAGAAGCACAAAAACTACAAAATGTTTGGAACAAGATCAAGTTGGCAGGGGACAAAATCATGTTGACGGATCTTACCTCAAAATTAAATCGTTAAGTCCTCGGCGACCCTGCATCTGATCCAGATGCTGACGAACTATCACTATCTGAGTCTGCAGAAACACATATGTAAGAAAAAGAAAATGCCCGACTAAACAAGATATTGCATCATTGAATTACTGTATGCCCAACAATCCGTGAAAAAATTCATTATCCACAAACAGAGATATGTGTCACAGTACCACTTGAGGAAGATCCAGAATCACTGCTAGAGCTGCTTGAACTACTTGACCTACTCCTATTATCACCCTGGTTGTCCCCTTGAATGGGTGTTGAAGAAGAAATAATCTTTTCATCTGCTCACATAAAGAACGAGTTTCAACTTATCAGTTTCTCCAGGAAATCACTGATTTCAATGCCATCAAATCTCACATTCTGAAATACCTAACCTGTTTTGGTTTCTTTGGGCACCTCTGCCACAATGGGGTCCTGGGTCTGTAAAGAAACAAAGAAGAAAAAATTTACCAACAAAAGCCACCAAAAAGCCAAATGGCATAAGGTATGAGTCAAAGCATTACCTGCTGCTGGACATTCTGCTCAGTTTCTGCTCTGGCTTGCATAGCCATTTCAGCTTTCCGCTTGTGTTTGCTCAAACTCTTCTTGTAGTTGGTTACAAACCTATCAAGCTCCCACAGGGTCTCAACATCAACGCTGTCAATGTCCACTTCAATTTCATCATCATGCTGGAATAGGTCAGAATTCCTCCTCTTAATAATCTGTACAATGGAATCCAGCTTCTCTGAAGGTAGACTCTGGAGGCTTGTGCTAAGCTTTTGTTTTTCCTCATAAGTCATGTCCCTTTTATGAGGATCTTTAGCCTTAGGCTTCTTTGGAGCGGGGGTTCTAGGAGTAATAGTCATGGGCTTTGGCTTGGGATCAACATGATGAGAGATAGACTCAGACCTGTCCAAAACCCTTCGCATGTCAAGAGGAGGTGGTGGCAGTGGAGGTGCCTTTCTTGATGTAGGTGTAGGAAGACTAGCCCCATAATCATATCCAAACCTCATCTCACGATTATAATCTGACTCTATGATAGCCCACCGGTCCTCAAATATCCTGGATAGCTGCTCTGCCATAACATGAACATCCTGCCCTTGTGGGTTATAAGTCATGGCATTGTGAAATGTAAGTCTCACATCCTCTGCAAATTCTTTCGGAGATTTGTACCAATTCTTGTTCAGCCTCGACTTAATGGTACCCAAGTCCATTGGGTGCTTGATAATGATATGATAATCGTGCAAACCAAGCTTAGCAGCATCAACAGGTTCATTAAACACCCAACCATGCTTGTGTTTCATCAATTTTTCAAGCAAAGAACTGCAACTCTTGAAAAACTTGCTTCCCATGCCATACCCTTGCCCTAAATCTCCTCCACCATGCTTCTTCCCATTCAATTTTGTCTTCTTATTACTCTCAGCAGGCGGAAACTTATCCTTAGCCAGCAAAAACTCAGAATTATGATAGAACTGGTTCGCCTTGGGGGTTCTCTTCTCTTTCTCCACAATATCACTCATTCCCTGACTATTCTCCAACACTGATATACTCAGCTGATGCAAAGGCCTGGTAACTTCACGGGGAACACCAACCGAAGCAACCTCAGAGTGAACCCGTCTCAGCACTGCACCACTATTATTGACCCCCTCATTCGTTACAAGGGAGTGATTAAACCCACCAATCTGCCCCTGTTTGGCCTCAATCCTCTTCACCAAACTCCGCACCATATCAAGCTCACTCTCAAGCTTCCTCCGAAGCTCACGCATCTCCTGCTTCGACCTGGAAGCCAAATTAATCTTCATTCGGTTCTCCGGCCCCTCTTTCGCCAGCCCATTTTCCACAGGTGGATCCCGACTTTCAGGTTCCACCACTGCCACGGCCACCTCTTGCCGGTTCAGGCTGGAGGAATCGCCAGAGGCAGCAGCATCAGGCGGCGGAAGGAGCTGCTGCTGCTGAGCGGAATTCCCCTCCTCAGACGCAATAGTCTGAGGCGGAGGAGGCTGGGACGAATTCTCATTCTCATCATTCTTCTTGTTGTTATCCTGCTTGTCGCTCTTGTTGTTGTCGTTCTGGTTGATGTTGTTGTCTTTCTCGTCGTGGTGGTTGTCGTTCTTGTTGATGTTATTGTCGTCGGCGGTGGTGGTGGTTGTGGTGACGGAGGGGGCGGTTACGGCGGTAGTGGTTGTGGCGGTGGCGGTGGCGGTTGTGGCTGTTGGGTTGGCCTCTGTGGGTTTGGTGGTGTTGTTATCGATGCTCTTCTTCTTGGGGCCTTTGAAAGCCTTTCGAGTATAGACCTTGCTCTCCGTGTACCTCTGCTTCTCTCTGGCTCCATCACCTTCTCCTACTATAGGCTCCGAAGCCATACATGTACCTCCCAAAACCCTAACCCCCACTTTTTCCCCTCTCGCAAAGATCCAAGATTCCCAGGTTTTTTTTCCGCTTTCCCTCTCTCCACAAAAGAGAACAAAAAAAAAAATTTGACAAAACCCTAGTATTTCCCCCAAATCTCACACACCCACATACATACACAAAAATCAAATTAGGGTTTCCCACCAAAAGACAACAAAACAGAGAGAGAAAGTTAGGGCTTACAACATCAACAACACCAACAACCAACAGTAGGGGGAAGCTTCGAGCTTTTTGAGCTTTTCGAGCTTCGTTTGCCTTTCTCTTCGACCAGATCTCGCTCCTTCTCTCTCTAGTTTCTCTCTCTAAAACGCTTCACAGTCTCTCTCTCACCAAGTTTCTCTCTCTTCTCTCTCTCTGTATCCTTATCTTACAGGTGTACGGCGAGGGAGGGGTTCGTGAGGGAGCGGTGAAGTGGACGAAGCGTGTGGGTGCACCAAAAGAGTCGTGCCCGGGAAGTTTCATATCACGGGTGGGGGGTGATTGACTCACGCGCCATGTTAGGGAGTGACGTCTTACGGACCAATGGGAAGGCAAGTATAATAGGGAGAGCGAGCGTGGGGTTCACGTGAGGGTGGAGCTTATGGGGGATTATGTGGCGGGGAGTTGGGTTTTGCGAATATATGGAGAGATTCCACAGGCGATTAGAGGGCGCGTGTGGTTCAGTTTCGGATATTGTGGGGGATGTGTTTTTGATTTGGTGTGTTGGTGGAGTCTCTCTCCGGCCGGATGCCTCAAGTTTTATATTATGTCGGTTGGTTCTCGTCGCTGGGATTTTGCCATTTGCTTTGCTGGTTTGAGGTCCCAGCTAACTCTTAATGTGGGCTTTTAATGGGCTTCAGTCGTTGAAAACCGGATTCAAGCCCAAATTCAATGAACTCAAATAACAAGGAGACTATAATGAGGAGTAAAAGTAAGGAATTATAACGAAGAGTTTCTTAATGGCCGTCTGATTTAGTGCAGAGTTTATTATTGAACTGCTGGACTACTGTACCCCCTCAACCCCTCTAAAACCCCTCCTAATTATTATAGCATAAAAAAATAATCCTCATACAATCCAAAAAAAAAAAAAAAAAAAAAAAAAGAAAAAAAAATTATTGGTTAATTAGTTACTAGGGAGCTTTAGTTTTAAAACACAATATAGTTTATAAATTGCCTGAGAAGCCATGATCTGAGGCAGTCGCTGTCTATGTCTGTCCAAGAGAGAGAGAAAGGGTGGAATTTAATTTTGGAAGGCTTTTAAACAAAAAAGATAAAATTGTATTTTACTTTTATAATTTAGACAAGCCCAACAAATCTGGGCCTCCTTTTTGGCCAAATCCAAAACAAAATTTGATTCCTGTGTATCAAAACCAAAACAAAAATATTCTAGGTATCAAATCCTTATTAGTAAAGATTTTTATGTCTAATACCTAATTTTTCTTTGTTTTTAAACAACACTTAAAAAGATTTGAAAAGCTGACCACATTTGTTATTTAAAAATAAAAAAAGAGGGAGTGGGTAGGTCTGACCTCCAATGTCACTGCCAACAATTTTTTATACTTTTTTTTTAAGCACTACGAATTGAAACATTCAAAAGGCATTTAAATATATATATATATATATATATATATCAATGTTGGATGTTGAAAAACACATGGATGAGCCCCACTACAAATTTGGCATAGGCCAAAGCTGGGCTACATTTGGTCTGGTTGGAGGGCTAAAGGGCCAAATGTGCCCTCCAAATTTGGCCAAAATTTTGTTTAGCCCATGGCTGGAGATGAGTTTTGCATTATTTTAGGGCTATATTTGGGATATAGCTCATGGTTGGAGATAGCCTTAGAAGGTTAAAGGGCCAAATGTGGCCCTCCAAATTTGACCAAATTTATTTTTTAGCCCATGATTGAAAATGAGTTTTGCATTATTTTAGGACTATATTTGGCCTATGGCCCATGACTAGAAATGACCTTAGGTTGTGATGTATGAACTCAAAGGTACGTACTATATATATAGTATATATTATTTTCTGATGAGTACTTAGTAGATAGCCACTTATACACTCAAAACTACGTACGCTCTCTATACATTACAATCGCTATAGCTCGTACGACATGGTGGTGGCAGGTAATTAACTAGTGATGCTGAGGATCTGGTCCTCCTGGTATGAGTTGTCTGTTGTGAGTGACCTACTTTCAGAATGCCCTAGTTTGGAGAGGCCATCACCCAAGTAATCTTGCAAAAGACCTCCTGGTATGAGTTGTCTGTTGTGAGTGACATACTTTCAGAATGCCCTAGTTTGGAGAGGCCATCACCCAAGTAATCTTGCAAAAGACGTACATTTGAAGTTATAAAGAGCATTGAGAAGGTAATTAATAAAAGAATTAAGACCCCAGCTGCAATACTACTTGTAGCCATCTGTGCATGCAAATATATAGTAAATCAAACTATCACCTGGCTTTAGAGGCTAGCTATACTCAAGGAGATTGAAGCAATACTTAAGTTCACAGAATCTTATCCCTATATATAATAGAAGAGCTTAAAGACCAAACAAAATTAGTTACCAGCCACAGCAGCCTAGTTTGCATATAGCTTAGGTTATACACAATGTATATATATATATATATATATATATATATATCTAGGAAACCATTTGGACATCTAATTGTGTGTATATAAAATAATGAATGAACACGGATTTGGTATTTCACTTTTGTCACACTCCTCCTCTCCTTCTTTTTTTTTTTTTTTTTTTTTTTTTTTGGAATGTGAGGTAAAGAAAAATTAAAACTAAAAACTTAAATATCAAGAAACATGAAGATTGAACATAAACTTCCATTTAAGTTAAAGTAATTTACATTGTACTATTACAAGCAAAATAATAAGAAAGTAACAAACTTTCAGCAAAACACTCAAAACTATCCATAATCCATTCTTCTTGTTTCCTCAGCAAAATCTAAACTTCAGATTCAAAGCCTGCAATAGATTCAATAAGGGGTGAGCATTACATGCTCAGTAGGGGTCCTATGTCTTATGTGATTAATGAGATTTATAATGTACAATTTATGCAATGCATGAATGAATTTCATTTCTACCCAACCCGTCAATCTATATAATAGGGCAAGCAAATCTGCACGTCCCATATCATGCATTTTACCACTGTGATTCCGAATGCCCCATTATATAAACTAACACCCATTTCAATCATCCCATAATTCCCCTTTTGCTAGTCATCTTGTCTACACCATTGATCTCCAAGCCCAAATCACCCAATCGACAATTATACCGCCGATTTCCTAATCTACTGTGCACACGAGCTCGCCTGAACTTGGTCCCTACAATAGTTAGACTCAACTACACAAAAGATACTTCCCATTATCCTCTTTTCCATAATTTCTTTATCAACCCAAAAATTCCAACCACCACCGACAACATATGAATATGTCAAAATTAATCAAATTATAATGATAATTGACAATACGTATACATCGAATATCAAGGATAACAATCAAACAATATAACTAAGCATATTAATAATCAAATAATATTATCAAGCATAATATAGTATTGTAAATCAATGTATGCAAAACCTCCCCAAGAAAAACCCTTACTTCAAATCCAAAGCTATTGTACACTTCCCAGTTGAGCTTTTCCAAAATCTTATCACACTTAGTTTTCACTCTCGAATTTTTAAGAAACTCACACAACTTTGAAGAACCTATGATTCAATAACTATTAGTTAGAACTATATATAGTAGGTGAGAGTCGGCAAAACATTAATAGATGAAGCTTTAACATTATGCCACCTAACTAACCTAGGGATCTCTAGACTACAACCTATGATTTATAGACTAAATTGGTGGCTTGAAGGTAAAACTGCCACTCCATTTAGTCTTAGGTGTTGGCTTCCGGAGAGTGCTTAGTGAGCACTTGCCAAATACACTTATATATATGAGAACATCTAATATTCTTACACCTCATCTCAAAACATACCACCTCATGCTTCAATTGGTTTTTGAAGTCTCCCTAATGCAACACGTCACTTAAGAGAAAGCTTAGTAAGCATCAATACCTTTCTAAAAGCTTTTGTGTGTATAGCATAAATATTAAATGAATTGCTATAGTTTCATACAATGAGGTTTGATAGGCTATAACAAGATTCGCGTAGCTTACCATATAACTAACTAATATATATATAGTTTTGAAAACTAATAATTATAAATAATTAATTTTATGAAATATTAATATACATATTTAAAAATATGGGGTTTTACAATCTATCCTCCTTAAAAGAAATTTCGTCCTCGAAAGTTTGAAACGTACCCGATTCAAGGAAAAGTTCTAGATATTTTCCTTTCATCTCAGCTTCTAATTCCCATGTAGCCTCCTCTGTATTTCCATGCAACCAAAGGATTTTGACTAGTGGAATAGTCTTCGTTCGCAACACTTGTTCTTTATGATCTAATATCCGTATTGGTCTTTCCTCAAAAGATAATTGCTCATCTATATTTAGTTCTCCCCAATCTAAAACATGTGCTGGATCCGGTTCATATTTTCGAAGCATAGAGACATGAAATACATTATGAACATTCGAAAATTGAGGTGAACAATCAGAAATAACATAAGGAACATTTGCGAATCGTTTTACAAACATTAAGAGAAAATCAACTGTATGCAAAGTTGAGTAAGTATGAATTCTGGTTGAGACAAGTAAAATTTTTAGGACATGTAATTTCCAATGAAGGAATTTCAGTCAATTCTTCCAAAGTTGAGGCAGTATTGAATTGGAGTCAGCTAAAGAATATCTCGGAAATACGTAGTTTCCTTGGATTAGCTGGTTATTATAGGAGGTTTATCAAGGATTTTTCTCGAATAGCTTCACCAATGACCAAGCTGACCCAAAAAGGAGTGAAATTCATATGGACGCAAGAATGTGAAAAGTCATTCAAAGAATTGAAAACTCGATTGACTACTGCACCAATACTAATTATTCCTGAACACTGATGCATCTAAACAAGGGTTAGGAACAATGAGAGCCCTTAAAATAAATTGGCAAGATAAGCCATTTACCTATCTCGTCCAAAATCAAATTTCCTTACATCTCTCTCTCTCTCTCTCTCATGCATTACCATGCATGCTGTTTAAACAAGTTAAGGGAATGGTTTCTATTTATAGTAGCAAAAGGCGGCAACTAATGGTTTTTGATTGGTGGAATGTAATGTGTTCTAAAAGTTCTTATTTTGTGATAAAAATATGAAAACCATGAATTTTCATGGATTTGTTCTATTTACAAATATCTCTCTATTTCAAGTCAAGCATGTCTAATTTGGTGCAATCTTTCACACTATATATATTGACTGGAATATTTGTGAAGTACGTATTATTCATGGAACATGAGAACTTCAATGTTGGGGTATCCGAGGGATAGATGTACCACACAGGGACATAGGGCAGTAAGGCCAGTAGGGGTCACGTGGTTAGTTACATGCTATGAAGGATAACCGAGATATGAAGGAATGATGTGATATGATATGGATTGGTGTATCTTTTCATGATATTTTCTAGAGTGTGTAAAACGGCATTGCTTGACTGGCATATTGCATAATCTACTCACTTAGCAGTGGTTGCTCATCCCTCACCTTGTTTAACTTTTCAGATGAATTAGTGGGCAAGATGAGGACTAATTGATTGAGGCTGAATTAGATGAGAGTAGTAGAGCCTTATTTATTTCTTGTAAAGTTGTAAGATTTCGAAGCTATTTTTATAAGAGAAGTTTATTTTAAACCCTTCTTTGTATTTTTAAATTTTTTTATTTATTTTTCTCATGCACCGGGCGTGGGATTTTCCACCGACCCCAGAGTCCCGGGCGTGACAGTATTACAAGAAAATACTAAAATTTTAATAATTTAATTAAGTGGTCAAATGATATCGGATTCAAGTGATTTTTTGCACAGATGATCTTTGAATGAATATCAACAAAATAGACGGTTTGGACTAATGAAATATAATGTATAGTGGGCCCTACAAGGGTGTCTTTTAAATAAGCTTATTTAGGCATTTTTCAACTGAAATGCTATATATATAGTTTTCTGTGGTGAGTGTCCAATCTAATGGTAGGGTAACTTCTGACCATTTAATTGTATGGGGAACTCTTATGTTGGCATCGGCTTTACTACTTTGAATAAGCAAGGTTTGATCTTTTGGACTTTTATTGAGGGCTTGGAAATTCGTGTTTGTACTTGTGACTTTGTAATAAATTATATATATATATATATATAAGAGGTCGGGCCAGTACTTGGTATCAGAGCCTAAAGTCCCTAGAAGAGTTGTTAGTTTAAAGGTTTTTTGTCAAGTTTTATTTACTCACTAGTCATTGAGTTGTCTAGCTATCAGATAGGCTCGTTAGCCGTTGCCAAAGAGGCGTAAGGCATTGAAGAGACCTAGGCAGGGACTAGCAACCTTGAATTAGGAGGAGAACAGAAGGAAAGCATAAAACCTAGACTATTAAAATGATAAGCCGTAGAAGAATCTTGTCTACCCATTCTTCTGGAGATGCAGGCGCTAGTAGCAATTCTAGCCATAGAACCTTAAGGGTAAAAAACTCTCAAGAAATAACCATGCGGGATGTAGAAAAAGAGTTGTCTAACTGGGATATACCCCAAGTACCCATCACTGATATCTACTATAAAGGATCTTTCAAATTTAGATCTGATTATGCAATAAAAACTGTTGAAAAAAACCATATATGTCATTGATAAAAATGACAGTTTCCAGCTATTTACTCAGCGTCAAATCGACCAGCATCTAGATAGAAAATATAACTATTTTCACATAGGCTTGGTGTAGGTAGCGGTGAAACCACTTACCAAAATAGGATTGCCCAGTTCAATCTTGCTATGTGTAAGAGATGGAAGACATAGAAAGTTCACAGATTCCTTGTTAGGAATAGTTGAGTCAACCTTAGGGGAATGCCCAATATGTTTTAACTATTTTCCCAACTTTTCTGTTGCACTTTCTGATATAAATGTCTTAAAAGCCTTAACATTGAATATTCAAACTCAGAGTTATGATATGGACCCAGGATCCCAAAATCTAGCCATCATTTATAGGGTTTCATATAAGGTTATGAACACTGTCTGTCCCAAAGCTAAAGAATTAGACAGTAAAGGTGAAACTACCTTGTTCCAAACCAATCTTGAAAAGTCAAATGTGGCAGTCCTAAAAATGATAAAGTGGAGTGATATAACGCTGTCAGAAAAATGGATCTTGGATGAAGTAGCTCCAAAAGGGCCCCTTGAAAATCAGGAGCCTACACGGATCTCGCAATTTGCTGATGGAGAGGTAGAAATACAATTTTCTAGTGCTAGGAGAACTAGGATTGATTTGGCACCCTCTAGATCTAACATAGAACCACACAGGTCGAGCACCTCCTCTGATAGAGCTTATGACCTAGATCATGAAAGAATGGTTCTAGCATGACTTAGGAGAACTCAAGAACAAATACAGAGGCCAGCCTATAGGTTTGAACAAACCATTCTAGACTTAGGTTTAAGAAGAAATCATCCTTAACCTGAACCGACATTTTTAGATGTAGAATTTGAAATAAATATGATAAAATCTTTTGAAATACAACACGAAAAGATTAAAAGAGATTATTTGAGTATTGAAAATGTTGATAAAAGAATTTGGTTTGAAACAACCTTTAGGAAGGATAGGCAAGACTATCTCTGGAAAGCCCACACCGCTTTCATAAAAGAAAAGAAATTCAACTGTTTTTTCTTTGCGTGGTTAGATTGGTGTGCTAAAAAGTATGACATCCCTCAATATAGGAATAATATAGAAATGATAGGAAGCCCCTTCTCGACTTATACTTCCAAAGATGGGAAGTCAGTCAAAGCCAAATTCTAGAACTTTATCATCCTTTTTCGGAAAAAATACAGAAGAAAAATCAGAACATTTAGAATTTGAAAATCTAATGGAAGAATTTCAAGAAAAGATAGAACCTGTGAGAAAAGAATCCCTACAAGAAGAGCAGGTTAATACCATGAAATACATTAATAGCATAGATAGAGTGATAGCTCAGAAATGGTATGGGATGATAACTGTTGTGATTGATAGAACTTATACATTTATAGTTGAAGGGCTAATAGATACAGAAGCCGATCTTAACTGTATAAATGAGAGAGTGGTACCTACTAGGTATTTTAAGAAAACTACCTAGGTTCTACATACAACTGTTAATAGCTAAAAAATGGGAATTCAATTTAAATTATCTAACGCTGCTGTGTTCAATTAGGGTATTTGTTTTGAAACTCCTTTTGTTCTGGTGAAAGGTTTAAACCAGTCTCTTATATTAGGAACATCATTCATTAATATGCTTTATCCTTTTTCTGTTTCGGAAGAAGGAATTAGAACTGAGGTAGAAGGTCAACCTATAATCTTTAGGTTTTCTCAACCACCAAAGCATAAGTATATTAATGAAATTCAAGAAAAAATAAAAAGAAAAGAAAACTATTTGTACCATTTGAAAGAAGAAATGCAGCATAAGAGAATAGAAGAGCAGCTGCAAAATAGCAAGATAAAAGATAAAATTGATGAAATCCAAAAAATGTTTGAAAGTCAAGTTTGTGCTGAAATACCCAATGCCTTTTGGAATAGAAAAAGGCACATAATTGAATTAACCCATACGCCTTACGCCTAGGTCTCTTCAACGCCTTACGCCTCTCTGGCAACGGCCAATGAGCCTATCCGATAACTAGACAACTCGATGACTAGTGAATAAAGGAAACTTGACAAAAAACCTTCAAACTAACAACTCTCCTAGGGATTTTAGGCTCTGATACCAGGTACTGGCCTGGCCTCTTAAGAGCAAAATTTTTAATCAATTTTCAACTTTAATTTATGCACGGAAGGTAGTGTAGAGACGTAGAGAATAAACAAAATAATTATCAGAAATTCAAACATGCATAACCAAAACTAGGGATAAGAATATAACGAAATTAAAAACGATATAAACGATAACATTAATATTTGGCTAACTTACATAAAGGCAGAAGGGCAGTAGTGCTTAACAGAAGCAGCACTTGGAATATAAACACACTCAAACACTCAAAAGTACAGAGTTTATTTATGGAGGCGATGATTTTTTTGATGATCCACAACTGAGGATAGGTCCTCCTTTTAAAGCCTTGGGGGTGTTGTCGTGTCAACTAAAGACAAGATGTCACAAAGCAGCCTACAGTAGAGCAGCATCTTCACTTTGAGGATTCTTGCTTAACTTTCCCTCAAACAGCCAAAAAGGAAAAAGCACACTTTTACAAAAGTGAAATCTGAGTTAAAGACGGAGAATCTTGCTTTAACCGGATAAAGAGAAAAGCAAAACTACAGGAAAACATAAAATTACAATTTTACAAGTTGTCTTTTATTAGACAGAATATTACTGAGGCCCACCATAAAGCTCTGGATGGAAATTGTCTAGCATGTCTTCATTAGCAAAGGGGTCCACCTCATCTTCATGTTGGATGGCAGATGCTGATGCCATAGATTCGTTGTCCAGATCAAGAATCTCGAGGACTTTCTTTTTCAAGTCTTCTTTAGAGAATGATGATCCTGGCTGGTCTATCAACAGTTGTAACCTTTGGAAAACACTTAAATTAGAAGAAGTGACAAAGGTTGAGCAGCAACAGAATCGGGAGATGGGATAAGAGTTGGGACGATCTTGGTAGGAGCTAGGTGATCCCTAGTGAATTTATCCCACCATCTGATTAAGATACTTCGGACTAAATTTGGAATATAAGTCCATTCTTCATCAACATCCTCCGAAATAACATATTCCCATTTTAATATCCATGGTAGTTCATACATTATCATGAACCACATGAATAAGGTCCTTTGATCAGGATGGTTTTTATTCCATTTACAAAATTTCATTTGAAAAGATTCCTTAATTTCAGGAGGAAGGTATTCCAAAGTAGGACCCCAAATCAGAAAAAAGCTCTTGAACCAATTAGGGAGTTCTTTCAGAGCTCTAAGCTTAAACTGGATAAACCAAGTATGAGAATAATTTTTATTTTGGAAACATAACACATATTCCCATGCCTTTTTATAATCCCAGAAATTATAAGAATATGGCCTAATTTCAGGATGGATAAATCTTTTGGCCCTTTCAGGGCTAGGGCCCCATTCTTCCAAACAAATGACATTCAAAATTTGAATTTTGGAAAATGCTATGGTGTTGGCATTTTCACCCCTATGACGATGAACAATATTAATAGACTTAGTTTCAAGTAGAAGAGTTTCATAGAAAATTCGAGGCTTATTCAAGGGAGGAAGATTATCCCTTAAATATTTTTAGCTAGAAAATTTGGGTGTTTATCTAAATCATTAATTTCAACGATTGCTACCGACATATTCATATATTCACGAAAAGGATTTTTAGCGATCTGCTTCTCCATACCCTTATTGTATGGAGAAGAAGACATCAGAGGCTTTGGATAATTAGGGGATGACTTGATAAGAGCTGAGGAGCTTTTACTTGGAGTCATCTGGCCTGAACTTCTAGTTCTCACCCTGCAAAAATTCTCGAGTTAAAAAGTCCGGGATTGTGTTAGTTTCACCTTTTATAAATTCAATATCAAAATCGAAAGCAGAAAGAATTCCTTGCCATCTTGCAAAAATTTGTTTAGATGCTAGATTTTTAACATCCTTAAACAAAATGTCTTTGGCAGCCTTGCAATCCACTCTTATAAAAAATTTCTTATTTAAAAGATCACTTTCAAATTTAGAGATAGCATGGGTGATGGCTAGCATTTCTTTCTTAACAGTAGAATAATTCTTTTGAGCTGGTTTCCAAACTCCAGAGGTGAACCTAACCAATTGTTCCGAGTTATCAACTTTCTGTTTTAAGATTCCCCCATATCCTATTTCTGAAGCATCGGTTTCTATGATTTTAAAAGCTTTTGGGTTGGCTAAAGCTGATCAAGGAAGTTCTTTGACTTTAACTTTCAATCTCCTAACAGCTTTAGTGTGTTCATCAGACCAAGGGCATTTTGGAGCATTTTAGAGCAGTTTTGGACTTGGAATGGATAGCATATGCATGGGCCAAGATGGATGGATGTTTTTGAAGTTCGAAGAGGCTAGGAATGTGCTAAAAAGATGGGGAAATTAATTCAAGAATCAACTTCTGGGAAGTAAAAAACCCTAACTGATTTTATTTTATTTTACCTTATCCTAATCCTATTTGACCTAAATTCCAGCTGGAAAAGGGGGGGATTAATTTCAGATTAGGAAACCTAAAAACCATAATTTCGTGGGTTTCTATTGGGCCCTATTATTCCTAAAGAAATCTTCCAAACAAAACCCTAATTTCGTGGGTTTCTGCTGGGCCCTTTTACCCTAGATCTACCACATATATAAAGGAGGGGTTGCCGCAGGAGAAGGGAGTTCTTTTGGTGCCGTAGCAAGAAAGGAGAAAGGGAGAAGAAGAACTTGGAGCCGGAACCTGTTGCATCCATTGGGTTTTTCAGAGTTCTTCCCTTGATTAGTTCAAATGTTTATTTTATATTGCTTTTCAATTATTATGAACATGTGTAACTGAATTTCTTCTTAGTTAGAGGTGAATTCGAAGCCATGGACATATGTTTTACATGAATTGATTACTTCCAGTTATGGTTTCATAAAGTATGAATGTGATTTACTTTTCTGTTTTATTGAGGACTTATTCTTGCATGTTTATTAAGGATGCATACTTAGTTTGTATGCAGGGATTTGGTGCTAGAATATAAGGGAATTTCACCTAATCGTTATGAACTTATATTCACAAGTAGTAAAAGTCACTAGTCATGATTGTGTTAAGTAAATTCTTGGCAGGAGTATCATGCTTTTCATAGTTACAATTGTCTTGTCAAGGCTTATGATTTTCATAGAACTTAATGATCTTTGATATGTATCTCTATCATGCTGTTCATATAGGGAACTTGATAAGGATAATTTGATTGCGTCGCTGAGTCCAATTCAATGAACTTAGGAAAATCTGAGAGTTAATTAGTGCATTCACAATTAATTTGGGGCTTTGTCATTCATACTTTATAGAAAGAGTAACTGGAGATCGATTTGTGTGCATATGTTCCATGTGTGGAGAAGAATCCTCTAGCTATCCCTTAATTCATATTTCATTCACAACTTAGTTGTTTGCTGCTGTCAGTCTTACTTTAGTCTAAATCGTCAGAATTCCCCCCAATCATTGTTCCCTTAACTTAGTTTCCAGTTTAATAAGTTTAATTTGTGTTGATTAGCATCCCTCCTAATCCCCAGAATAGAACGATCCCTACTTACTCGTACTACGATTGCATGATTTATTGGGTTTAATTTGTGCGTTAGTTATTTCTCCCGCCATTTCACAACTTTCAAGAAAATATTCAGATGTTTAAAATGTTGTTCCAAAGAATTAGAATAGACTAAAACATCATCAATATAAACAATGGTGAAAGCAGTGTAAGGATTAAATATATCATTCATAATATTTTGAAATTCAAAAGGAGCATTTTTCAATCCAAAAGGTAGAACGTTCCATTCGTAATGTCCAAAGGGGACATTAAAAGCTGTTTTGTACTTGTCCTTTTCGGCGATCTAGATTTGCCAATATCCTGATTTCATGTCGAATTTTGAAAAGATGACTGCCTTTTTGAAAAGATGACTGCCTTATTTAGTCTATCCAAGAGATCCTTCTTATTAGGTATCAGATACCTAACCCATTTCAAGGCTTTATTTAGAGGTTTGTAATTTATCACGAATCTTGGTACTCCTCTTTCTAATTCAGTTGCGTTTTCAACATAAAATGCGGAACAACTCCAAGGAGATGAGCTTTTCCTAATTAACTTCTTATTTAATAAATCTTGTATTTCAGATTTACAAATTTCTATTAGCCTAGCATTCATTTGAATTGGCCTGCCTTTGGTTGGGATTTTCTTTTCAGCAAAATCAGGCTCATATGGTAATTCAATTATGTGCCTTTTTCTATTCCAGAAGGCATTGGGTATTTCAGCACAAACTTGACTTTCGAACATCTTTTGGATTTCATCAATTTTTTCTTTTTCTTGCTATTTTGCAGTTGCTCTTCTATTCTCGTATGCTGCATTTCTTCTTTCAAATGGTATAAATAGTTTTCTTTCCTTTTTATTTTTTCTTGAATTTCATTAATATACCTATGCTTTGGTGGTTGAGAAAACCTAAAGATTATAGGTTGACCTTCTACCTCAGTTCTAATTCCTTCTTCAGAAACAGAAAAAGGATAAAGCATATTAATGAATGGTGTTCCTAATATAAGAGACTGGTTTAAATCTTTCACCAGAACAAAAGGAGTTTCAAAACAAATACCCTGATTGAGCACAGCAGCGTTAGACAATTTAAATTGAATTCCCATTTTTTGGCTATTAACAGTTGTATGTAGAACCTGGGTAGTTTTCTTAAAATACCTAGTAGGTACTACTCCCTCATTTATACAGTTAAGATCGGCTCTTGTATCTATTAGCCCTTCAACTGTAAATGTATAGGTTCTATCAATCACAACAGTTATCATCGCATACCATTTTTGAGCTATCACTCTATCTATGCTATTAACGAATTTCATGGTATTAACCTGCTCTTCTTGTAGGGAATTTTTTTCTCATAGGTTCTATTTTTTCTTGAAATTCTTTCATTAGATTTTCAAATTCTAATTGCTCTGATTTTTCTTATGTATCTTTCTCCGAAAAAGGGCGATAAAGTTCTAGAATTCTAACCCTATTTTTTTAACTCTTTAAGTTCTTCTTTTACATCATGAACTTCGCACTAAAGATCATTGAGAGTAGGTTCTTTCTTGTGAATTTTGTCATTCATCCTATTTACTATAGTTTTAAAGCTATAGTTTTGAACTGGTTGTCTCACATTAGTTATAGCTGGCTGTGGGTTACTTGGTCCTTCTCTAACTAGTGAGAGATAACTTTCTAGCGCTTCTTTCTTTTTATCTGGATCCTCTATTTTGTCAATTAAGTCTATTATTAGACTTTCTTCTTTGGTTAAAACACATATTTTGAGATCATTGAATTGACAAGCGCACTCATTTTCACTATCTGAACTAGTTTCAGTATTAGATTCAAATAATTCTTCATTTTCTAGTTGAGCTAGTTCGTTATCACTATCTTGCTCAGAATCAGAGGAATTAAGCATTATTTGGCAAAGTTGCTACTTAAGTTCTTCGCTAATGCTTAAGTTACTGATTTTGTCATTCATTTAACATTCGGATTTATAGTGTCCGACTTTTCCACACTTGTAGCATGTTGGGACAACACCTTTCTTTCCTTTACTAGCCTTCTTACTAGTTTCCCCTGCGTATTTCTTTTTCTTAAAGGTCCTATACGGTTTCTTAGGCTCAAACTTAGACTCGTATTTATCATATTTCTTAGTCCTACACAATGCTTAAGTTACTGATTTTGTCCTTCATTTAACATTCGGATTTATAGTGTCCGACTTTTCCACACTTGTAGCATGTTGGGACCGCACCTTTCTTTCCTTCACTAGCCTTCTTACTAGTTTCCCCTGCGTATTTCTTTTTCTTAAAGGTCCTATACGGTTTCTTAGGCTCAGACTTAGACTCGTATTTCTCATATTTCTTAGTCCTACGCCCCCCAAATTTCTTTCCCTTTTTATGTGGTTTATGTGAATAAGATTTAACTGGTTCAAAACCAAATTGTTCATAGAAGTCTCCTAATTCTTTTCTTCCTAGGGTTTTCTGCTTATCAAGCTGTTTCTTTAATTTCATGTCTATGCAAAGGGCTAATCCTTCTGCACAGATCTCATAGGATAATTTCCCATAGGTGTATGACCCATAAGGAATGACACCACCATTTTTATCTTTAATTCTATTCCTAACCTTTTCAGCGAATATAATTGGTAATCCAGAAAGAAATTTCTCTTTCCAAAAATCAGCATTACAGTATTGTCTTGTAAACATGTTAGAGTAGAATACATCCTTATGCCATCTAAAATGGGACAAGGTCGGACATTTAAGATTCATTAGGAGTTCTCTAGACCTATCATGCTGCAATTCTGTAGTTCCTACAAAATGTAGAGTGATGGTTTAAATAAGTGAATTTACCGCATCTTCTTGGTAAACGTTCCCTTTTCTTTTTTTTTGGGTTTTCGGCATGACGGGTGCCGAAGGTTAGGTAGCCGTTCGAAGGGAAGGTGTGACTTCACGAGCCTTCTGAAGGTAAGGTGTGACGTCATCGCGAGTCGTGAGGGTCATTCCAAGCTTCGGAAGTGGGCCTTCCGAAGGGAAGGTGTGATGTTGTTTGGGCCTAAAATTGACACGCCTAGACCAACAAAGGAGGCCCAGAATAAAACCACAAAACTCAAACAATTTTGTCTTTGAAAAAAAAAGGGAAACAGAAGCCCAAAATCCAGAAAGGGCTAGCCCAAGACCTATCAAAACAGACAAGCAAAACTTGGGCCTCAAAAGAAAAGTCACCTTCGGGCTCTAGACAAAAATAAACCCAGCACGATTTTGATAAAAGAAAAGACCCATTTCTTTTTAGAAAACCACGTGACACCCTTTTATCAGATTTGGAAAAGTCAACAAAACCAGCCATTACCAAGATGATTAGAGAGGGTCAGTAGCTGGCAAAACTGGGAAGGGACATCTCTGAAATTCTGAAAGATCAAATCCCCTTACATATGAATATATTTAGAGATATTTCTTCTATTCAGAAGGTGATTTTCCCAAAGAGATAAGCAAACACAATCTCAGAGAAAGATAAACAGGAAAACAGGGACCTGTTCAAAATTGAGAATTAGACTAACCATCACGGTTCTCACAAGGGGGGCAGTTGGAATTAAAGAGGGGTTAGGTTCTTTTTTAAGAAAAATAGGGAAGTGATCTTAAGAACTGACTATTGAGAGCTTATCTACCAGAAATTGATCAAAACCCCCTTTCTTTACAATTAAAAATAAAAGATCTTTTAAAGAAAATTGCCGCCCATTATTTAAAAGAATTACCCTACATTAGATAACATCTTTTATAAATACAAGAAGGAGTGAACAGGGCAACAACACAATCAATCCAACACTCAAGTCATCAATCAAACAAACAACTCAAAATCAACCAGAAGCTCACTTGAATTCCAAGTGAAAACTAGCTTTAGATCAGAATTCCCAAGGTTCAGACTTAGAAAATAAGTCATTCAAAACGAGATTTCTCTCGTTACAAATTTGGTTCAGCAAAAAACCAAGACAGGTAGAGCTTGAGCTTTTCCCAAACATGAAAACCTCAACAAATTTTACAGTACAGTCTCTAGCCCACTGAAGTCCTCGAGAACAGCCACTTATGCCCTTACAGACTGAAGAAGCCGCAGTTCTGCCCACTCAGAAGCCTCACAAAAGCTTGAAGTGTATTAAAGCTCTGCCAAAATTAACCTTTGGTATCGATCTACAGCTGAAGCTTAGCAGCTGAAGTTGTTAATAGTCCAGTCCAGCCCGGATCAGAACCTCCTATCTAGGCAGAAATGGAGTTCCAGCTGTCCTTTCATCTTTCTAGCTTAGATATTTATGTTTATAGTTTTGTAAAAGGCAGTTCTGCCTAAGACAGCTTAAATTCCATCAACCATTCTGGCCAGAACAACTTCTTTATACTGAGATAAATTGTTAAAATCTTCACCAGTCTAAGGCAAGAAAAGAACTTATTTGGGAGATATTCCTCACCCAAATTCACAATCTCTTGTTTATGGAAATCAGTACCTTGGGGCGCAAGTTATCTATTCTAGAATAAGTCTGCTAGAATCTTCATTGCTAGCAGTGGCACGCTCATACACTAAAGAAAGCTGACTTGCTGACCAGTCAATGGTTTTCAAGGCAGTGAGGAACTTTGCCTTTCCACCACAGGAGTGATCACAAAACGGGTGAACAAATGTCACGAGAGCCTTCCGAAGGGAAGGTGTGCCGTCATCGCGAGTGCACGAGGTTCCTTCCATACTTCGGAATGAAGCCTTCTGAAGGGGAGGTGTGACATCACGAGAGCCTTCTGAAGGGAAGGTGTGACGTCATTGTGAGTGGCGAGGTTCCTTCCATGCTTCAGAAGGGAGCCTTCTGAAGGGAAGGTGTGACGTCATCGCGAGTGGCGAGGTTCCTTCCATGCTTTGGAAGAGAGCCTTTTGAAGGGAAGGTGTGACGTCATCGTGAGTGGCGAGGTTCCTTCCATGCTTCGGAAGGGAGGCTTCCAAAGGGAAGGTGTGATGTCATTGCGAATCGCGAGGTTCCTTCCAGGCTTCGGAAGGGAGCTTTTTGAAGGGAAGGTGTGACGTCACGAGAGCCTTCTGAAGGTAAGGTGTGACGTCATCGCAAGTTGCAAAAATCCTTCCAAGCTTCAGAAGGGAGCCTTCAAAAGGGAAGGTGTGATGTCACTCGTGCCATGTGTTAGCGATATTGAACCATTTGTTTGTGGAAATCGAGGAGTCCTAACGGTAGGATGAGTTATTGCAATGGATCGAAACTCGAAGGGGCCTTCGTTTGTCTTTAAAAGGGCTTAGAGAGCTAAATGGAGGAGCACTTGGGATTTTAGAGAGATTGGAGTAGAGGAGCAAAGGCGATTTCCGATAGGGTTGAGGTGCGGCCGGGACGATTATTGACGAAGTGTGAAGAGGGTTATGCAGTGGCAGATCCAGGATTCAAAAGTCAAGTAGGCGAAACTTACCTTAAAAACTTGACGGTACGAATGAATTTTATTCATAAAAATTAAAAGATACACCTAATCAGGGGGGACGTAATGAGCCTTACCCTCAAATATGCATATCTATACATAAATAAAAGCTTAACAAAAAAACAAGAAGTAAATGCAATGCAACACAAAACTAAACTATTTTAATCTAAAACTTTACCCTACGTGGCTTAGAAATCTTAAATTCCTCAATTATCTCTTCATTATCGATATTATTAACAAACTCTCTTTCAATGTGGAGAATCATGCAATCAGCAAGGAATTCATCAGTTATGGTGCTCCGAAGTCTATTATTAATAATTCTCATACATGAAAAAGCTCGTTCCGTTGTTGCTGTAGAAACAGGAAGAGTCAACACTAACTGAATCAACTTGTAAAGCAAATTGTAGTTTTCTGCCAAAGTTGTTTCCACCAATTGTTGACATAACTGAGGAAGAGTGGTGAGGTCCTTAAAGCAGGGAAGACGATGCATATCATTTTGAAAATACCTCAACTCAATTTCTAAAGCTTTCAAGTCACTTGGACTGAAGTCAGCAGGATAGAATTTCTCAGCAAGTTTATATAGATGCCCAATATTGAATGATTTGAAGGAATTACGAGGATCCAATGTTGAGCTAAGAATAAGAAGTTCAACTGTTTGCTCTGAAAATCTGTCATTTAACTCCCTCAACATGCAATCTATCACATCATTAAATACATCAACGTGATAGTAATGTTCAATTGTAATAAAATCTTTTTGTTGACAAGAACGACGTGTACCCATCATATAATGAGCACTTATATCAGGAACATCAATACCATGTTGTTCACAAAATGATACCACACTCATGAATAAATCATCCCAGCCATGTGCCCTCATATCTTGGAACTGTGATTTTGTGTTTTCAACAAAGTTTAAAGCACTTACAATATCTTGAGATTTTCTCTTAAACACTTGACAAAGAAAGTTGGTCAATCCCATAATTTTATCCATCAAAAGCAATGCAAACACAGACTCAAAAGACATCATAGCGATATAATTACTTTATGCATCGCCACAAAATTGTTGATTAGGTCCATAATCACTGATTTCCTGAAGAAGTATTTTAGTCTCTTTAAACAAACTCATTAAACTTGTAATAGAGGCAAAGTGAGATCCCCAACGAGTGGCTCCAGCTCGTTTCAAACTACGACCTTGATTAAGTCCTCCACCTATCTCAAGTTCCCCAGAATCCAACAACTCTTTGAGTTCAGCTTTTCGAATTAGATTTAACTCATTATGGCGCTTAGCATAAGCACTAACAAAATTCACAATGTTAGTCAACATTGAAAAAAATCTCCATACAACCTTCACATCTTTAGCCGCACCATTTAATGCTAATTGCAAGCGATGAGCAAAGCAATGCACATAATATGCATATGGACAATCTTGAAGAAACAATGCTTGTAATCCATTCCATGAACCACGCATATTACTAGCACCATCATACCCTTGGCCACACATGTTTTCCACTAGAATGCCGTTATTATCAAGCACTTTGCATATTTTTTGTTTAAGAGTCAAGGCATTAGTGTCTACAACACTCACAATATTGAAAAAGCGTTCACGAATAAATCCATCACAATCAACAAATCTTAGAATAATAGCCATTTGTTCCTTACCTGATTCATCAAGTGATTCATCAACAAGAATACAATATTTGTTCTTCCCAAGTTCGCTACAAATTTTCTTCTTCACCTTGGTAGCAAAAATATGCAAGATCTGTTTTTGTATGTCATGAGCAATATACTGAGCATTATTAGGAGCATTATTTAGGACAACTTTCTCAACTTCTATATTCATTCTTGCAAAAGACTTTAAGATTTCAATGAAATTTCCCCGGTTAGATGAGTCAACGGATTCATCGTGACCTCGAAAAGCCATTGCTTGATTTACTAGATACCTAATGCTCTCTATTGTAGTTGTAAGTCGCAACCGATTGTCCATCACTTGTTGCTTTGATTGCTTATCTACCACTGTTTCAATATGAAGAGATGGGTTTTTTAAGCTAACCCATTTTTGCATAGCAAGATGATGTGGTGAATTTAGCTTGCCTACATGACGTTGAAATACACATTGATTGCCACCAATACTCTTCCAATTTTGAAATCCATGAATAGTAAAGGTTGCATGTGAGTGATTCATGTCAATAGGAAGCAAGGAAAACAAAATGCCATATCTTTAGTAATTGAATACTCAAGCCAAGGGAATTTACTAAACCACGTTTTATTAAATCGACGTAAGTCTCGTCCTTCTAAATGGCTTGGATAATCTTCTAACTCCGGTTGACATGGTCCTAAAATAATATAGCCTTTTCGCACATTATCTTGTTCATTCACCGAATATTGGCATATTTGAAGACGTAATCCCGGATCATGATCAAGATAATTGATATTAAAATCTTGACCACTATCAACTCTTTGGGTCTCAACTCTTTCAACTTGAGGCTCGACAATGGGAGGGTCGGGAAGATTTTGCTCATCACAAAGGGGAGGCATTGTATTAGATGATAAGCCATCATTCTTTTTCTTAAAAAAAGAGAACAAATTCTTTGTTTTCTTAGGGTTCCGATTGTGATCCGACATAATGAAAGATAACCTATTTAATCAAACATTAACATACTAACAACAAATCAAACATCTCAATAATACCAACCATCAAATCAAACATCTCAACAAAGAGGAGGCAATACTCAATTTCATAGACCTAATTAATTTCAACAAAATCCCCAAATTATAATTAATTTGTAATTAAACCCTAGAATACTCAATTTCAAATTAAAATTAAAATTAAGATGCATACATCATACATGTATTTTAGGAAAACTCCAAAAAGAGCAAATAATTAAATAGGAGAGAATGAGAAATACTTGTTGCCAAGAAAGGAGAAGAAGCTGCTAAGAAGATCTTGCTGCCAAGGAGAGAAGAATAGGGATCGTCGGGTTGCAGCCAGCCAATTTGTTAAAGGGGAAAAGAAGTGGGGACCGTCACTTGATAGCAATAGGGTTTGCTGTGCTCCTTTTGTTTTTTGATGTATAATATAAGTGGGCATGGCCCATGGGGTAGGGAATGTCAACTGGAGCAGAGGAGCTGATATTGTTTTTGGGCTGGGCTTTTGTTTTTGTTGAGTAGGCAGAAGATATTTTATGGTATTAAGTATTGGGTAATTTTTTATGTGGCCAAAAGTTGAGTAGGTGGGCTTTTGTTTTTGTTGAGTAGGCAGAAGATATTTTATGGTATTAAGTATTGGGTAATTTTTTATTTGGCCAAAAGTTGAGTAGGTGGGTGCCTACCCTGCCCTTAGGGTAAGACCGCCCCTGGGGTTATGTCAGGGCCAAGCGATTTCTGGCAGCCTCGTGCGGTGGTGATAACAAGGTATGTCTTGTTTCGTGCTCTTGCTCTGGATTGAAATGCCTGTTTTGCTTGAGTTGTGCATGAACTTGTATGAATTTAGATGAACTTTCATGAACATTAAAGAACATGCCTAGGCTTTTGCTTTCAATCTTCGCATGCCCATTAGTTTCCCTATTTTATGTTTGTAGATGTCTGATAATTCTGAAAGAGAAAGTCAAAGTCCACCAAGTCCCCATGCCTTTAGTGGGGAAGAGTTTGAGAGTGGTAGTCATGATGAAGCCCTGGGTACTGATGGGGAGAGTACTAAGTCTGATCATATAGTGGAAGGGCTGATAATGGAAGGGGATAGAGGGGAAGAAGAGCAGTTAAGGAGCCCTGGGTACTTATGCGACCCTAGAAGCCATTGCCAACCGGGTGTTGGGTATAACTCAGGCACCAGAGGCTAGTGCAAGTGGGCGAGCAGGGCTATCTAGGTGTGGTACAGTGGTAATGGCTTGTGCTAGTGTGACCGTTCCAGTAGGGGTTCCGCTGTCGAAGAGGAATATGATGAGTCTCTATGATCTAGAGTCGCTGAAGGTAGACTATGCGATACTTGATTATGTGGGGTTGAGGTTGCCCATACAATCCTAACTTTTGGAGTATACTACACGGGGTGTACATAGCATGGTGGTTGGCAAAGCGAGGGGAGCCAACCTTCGAGCAGTTCATGCATCTGTACTCAGTGTCCAGGCAACAGGGCAACTTTGGTTGGGTGCAGGTCAACTGCCGAAAGGCAAAGGATAGGGGGTACTTTATAGGGCAACCACCGTCGTCACAAAAGACGTGGAGAAATCAGTGGTTCTTTGCCTTTGGCAACTGGGAGTGCTGGCTTGGGAAGACTGTCAGCATACACGTGCCCGCCCAATTTCAATCTATAGGTCTTTGGTTATAACTTCTTCTTTAAGTTGTGTTGTATGTGCTTAGGTATGGATGTGTTAAGCATTCCGAAGCTTGTGGAAACTGATGCCCTTGTCTCTGTACAGGTTCCATGAAGTGTAGGGCAGTATCCAGGGAAGAAGAGGAAGAGATAGAGCTGGAGAGTAGACTAGTCCCTGCAGAGGCATGTGAGATAAGGAACATTGTGACACCAGTGCTTTTTCTGGAGTTGGGGCTGCTTCAAGGAAGTAAGTGTTCACCTTCTCCTTTCTTTTCGTATGCTTGCTCTTGTATATGCGCTAACATTCGCTTTGGTTTTGTAACAGTGGTTGAGGTACCAAAAACTATAGTGACGGTGAAGGGTTCACCGAAGGTAGCGGTTGATCAAGAGGAGAGGCAACGGAAGTTGTGAGAGAGGAGAGAGAAAGATAGGGCTAATAGGGCAAGGAAGATGCACCCAAAGGGCGCGACCAACACTGTCGAGGGGACAGGATCGTGGGCTATTGGGAAGCGGTCTCGGTAGGAGGATGATGGTCTGCTGGTAGAGCTGGAAAAGAAGCGAAGGGGACTTGAGACATCCATCCATGACGTCATGGATGGAACAGTGCTGTTGCCATTTGACTTGGATCCCTCACCTAGGCTGTCGCTTGAGATGGAGGAGTTGTTCCTCGCCGGTATAGAGGACGTAGACTTTGCCTCGGTTCGATGGGAGGCGAAGGAGGTGACCGTGGCAATGCATCTCTAGGAAGTGCCCCTTGTTAACGCCTTTCTGATCGGGGTAAAGATTGACGCGAGGGAGCTTGCTCGAACTAAGGCTTCAGACTTTTTGATCGGGTTCAGAAGTCGGTTCTTTCTACCGCCAATGTAAGTGGTCTAGTGCCTTGGTTATCTTTCGAGTATTCTGTATATGAAGTGGTCCGACTTGTGATCATGTATGTGTTGCAGGCCTTTGGGGATATGTACCTCACCTTGGCGAGGGTAGAGAAGGAGGTGGCCTTGGTGAAATGCCATTCTGAGTCGGCGAAGGCTGCTATTGCCAAGGCTTAGGTTGCCCTCCAAGAGAGGAATGCGCTTCAGCTGAGGATAGGTAGGCTAGCGCGGGAGCTGAAGGAGATGGCTTGGTGGCTGGAGTTGGTTGAAGCGGCTAGGGTTGAGGCGGAGCGGAAGAAGGTGGAGGAGCTAGCTGCAGCCCAGGCCGAAGCCATAGAGAAGTACAAGGGTTCTAAAGGGTTCAAGACCCTTGTGCTCGATGCGATGGTCTAGGAGCAATTCGGGTGGGAGAAACTAGTGGCGAGGTTTAATCCAAATTTGGATATAAACTTCGACACCAGTGGCGTCCTTCTCCCATTCCTTTTGGTCTGGAGTTGCTATTCACATTCCCTTTGTCTACCAACGCCACGAGTCCTTCTGATGCCGAGGCGAGGGGAGGTGCCGATGCCAGTGGAGGTGAGTCGACCCTAGATGCCAAGGCTACTGTCTAGGAGGAGCCAGATGAGCGTGCTGATGCCTGAATGCTTTGTACCTTTAGTATTTGTTTCAGACGTGTCTTTGTTTTGTATGGATATTTTGCCTTGCTTGGGGCAGATTTATTTTGATTTGCTATGATATTAGACTTGTCATTTGATATCAGTTGTGCTAGCAAAAGGATAATCATGTGATTGATGAGAATTAGCCAGAGTTGGGCGTTTCATTAAATAGGTGCCGAAAGGCAAAAGGTACAAGTAACGATCGAGTTGAGGCTCAAGACCAAAGTCTAAGAAAACATATTGTCCTAAGGTCTAGGTGTGTTTACTTATAGTAGTACTTGAGGTGATCAGGATTCCAAGGATGAGACAAGGTCTTGCCCTTGGGATCACAGAGCTGATAAGTGCCAGGGCGGCAGACTTTGGTAATCTCATAAAGGCCTTCCCATGTAGGTCCCAAGGTACCTTCAGTAGGGTTTTTGGTGGCCAAGGAGACCTTGTGCATGACCCAATCCCCAATCTTGAAAGGACGATGCTTGACTTAGGAGTCATAGTACTTGGCGATACGCTGCTTGTACTTGACGTTGCACATGTTGGATTGGTCACGAAGCTCGTCAATGAAGTCGAGGTTCAGGGCTAACTGCTCGTCATTGTCTTCTGCATTATAAGTAGAGGTTCAGTATGTGGGCTGGCCAATCTCCACTGGCGCCACGGTTTCGGTACTAAAGGAAAGAGCGAACGGTGTTTCTCCTGTGGAGGTATGGAAGGTGGTGCGGTAGGACCAAAGAACCTTTGGGAGTAGCTCTGGCTAGCAACCCTTGGCTTTGTCAAGCTTGGTTTCAGGGTCTTTTTGATGATTTTGTTCACAGCTTCGACCTGGCCATTGGACTGAGGATGGGCTGGGGAGGCGAAGCAAAGATGTATCTTGAGGTTGGAACAAAATTGCTTGAACTTTGCATTGTCAAATTGCCGGCCGTTGTCTGTGACAATGGTGTTGGGGATGCTGAAGTGACATACGATATTCTGCCATACGAAAGTTTTGATGCGAGCTACAGTGATGGTGGCTAAGGCCTCAACTTCAGCCCACTTCGTGAAGTAGTCCACAGCTACAACTGCATACTTGACCTGGCCCTTGCCCTCGGGCATAGGTCTAATGAGGTCAAGTCCCTATTAGGCAAATGGCCAAGGGTTGACCATGGCTGTCAATGGTTTAGCTGGAAGTTGTGGGATGTTGGCAAATCGCTGACACTTATCGCACTTCTGGGTGAAGGTCTGGGCATCGGTGTGAAGTGAGGGCCAGAAGTACCTTTGCCTAATGGCTTTATGTGCTAGTGAGCGGGCGCCAAAATGATTGCCGCAGATGCCTTCATGAATTTTCCAAATGACATAATTGCCTTTTTCTGGAGTTAGACACCGAAGATAGGGGAGGCTGAAACCTCGCTTGTATAGGGCGTCATTGATGATTAGGTATCGAGCGGAGCGATAGCGAACGTGTTGTGCTTTAGCAGAATCAGCAGGTAGTGTTTGGTTTTGCAAGAACTGAAGGATGGGGTCCATCCATGTAGGGCTGTGATCAATAGTGCAGATGAGTGGTGTTTGTGTGCTGGGTTGATCCAAGAACTCGATGTGGATGTTGCGGCCTATACCTTGTTCCAAGCCCGAGGCTAGCCTGGCTAAGGCATCAGCATGGCTGTTCTCAGAGCGTGGCACCTGACTCATGAGATAAGCGTCGAAAGTTGCAAGTAGGTGGCGGGTATGCTGAAGGTAGGCTGTCATAGAGATGTCCTTGGCAGTGAAGTCCTGGTTGACTTGATGGACAACGAGCTGTGAGTCTCTAAATATTTGAATTTGCTTAGCGCCCATCTCCTTGGCTAGCCAAAGGCCAGCTAAGAATGCTTCATACTCAGCGACATTTTTGGAAGCGTGGAATTTGAAGCGGAGGGTGTACTCAAGGACAACTTTGTCTGGGGAGATGAGAATGAGGTCGGCCCCACATCCCTGGGCATTGGAGGAACCATCCACATATAAGGTCTACAAGGGCTGGGTCAGGTCGAGGGTGACGTTGCTTGAGACGTGGACCTGGCTCAAGGGAGGATTGGGTTCAGTTATGATATGGGGAAAGGCCAATGCTCGGGGTTCTGTGAATTCTAATATGAAGTCAGCAACAGCCTGGCCCTTAGTAGCTGGGCGGGGTTTATAGTGAATGTCAAATTAACCTAGCTCAATGGCCCACTTAACCAACCTGCCAAAAGTCTCTGGCTTTTGCAATACCTGCGTTAGTGGCTGGTTGGTTAAGACATGGATGGTGTGAGCTTGGAAGTATGGTCTGAGGCGTCTGGCTAACACCACTAGAGCAAAGGCTAGCTTCTCGATGTCAGGGTACCGAACCTCAGCATCTTACAATCCTTTGCTAACATAGTGCACCGGATGTTCAGCATATTCATGAGGGCAGATGAGCATCGAGCTAACTGCGATAGTCGAGATGGAGAAGTACATCATGAGGATGTCCCCAAGCTCAGGAGTCGACAATAAAGGGGCCCGGCTGATATACTCCTTGAGCTCGCTGAAAGTCTTGTCACATTCGGCAGTCCATGTGATGTTTCTCTTGTTGCCCTTAAGTGCCTTGAAGAAGGGGGTGCAACGATCAGTGGCCTTAGAGATAAACCTGGTTCGGGCCGGGACGCGTCCTGTAAGGCTCTAGATTTCCTTGACTGTCTTGGGTATCGTCATGTCTAAAATGACCTGAATCTTTTCTGGGTTAGCTTCAATACCTTGCTGGCTGATCATGAAGCCAAGGAATTTTCCCGAAGCTACGCCGAAGGCACACTTTGTGGGGTTGAGCCTCATTTTATACTGCTTCAGGATGGTGAACATGGCAGATAGGTTGGAGATGTACTGGTCAGCAGTGTGACTTTTGACGAGCATGTCATCGACATACACCTCCATGGTGTTGCCAAGCAGTGGGACAAATATGCTGTTCACAAGAAGCTGATAAGTAGCCCCAGCGTTCTTGAGACCGAAGGGCATAACCTTGTAGTAGTAGAGGCCACGGTCAGTGATGAAGGATGTATGGGTCTGGTCATCAGGGTGCATAAAGATCTGGTTGTATCCCGAATAAGCATCAATGAAGCTAAGGAGGGCGTGGCCAGCTGTGGCATCAACAAACTGGTTGATTCGTGGTAAAGAGAAGCTATCCTTTGGGCTAGCCCGATTAAGGTTGGTATAGTCTACACACATGCGCCAACCTTTCTTTGGTTTACGTACCATCACCATATTGGCTAGCCAGGTGGGATAGTCCACCTCCTTGATGAATCCAATACTGCTCAGCTTATCCACCTTCGCCTTCATAGCCTCGTACCTCTCTGGGTCATAAGCATGACGCTTCTGCCGAACAGGTCTGATGGCGGGATTAATGCTTAACCGGTGAGATATGATGTCTGGTGATATGCTAGACATGTCATTGTAAGACCAGGCGAAGACCTCAGAGTTGAGGCGGAGGAAGGCTACGAGATCAGAGCGAAGCTCTTGTGAGAGGGAGGTGCCAATCCGGGATGTCGTCGTGGAGTAACCAGCTCAAGGTCTTCCACAGGTTCGGCCTGCTGGGTGATAGATTCCTCCCTAGGGTCTTTAGGTCGTTCAGTGCCAGCCCGAGGAGGGGCTGGAGCCTTGGTTGCTGTGAGGGCCTCACTTCTATGCTGGCAATTGGTGGACTTGACTACTGAAGCATAGCAGCTTCGGGCGCCAAGTTGGTACCCACGCACTGTGCCCGTGCCATCGGGGTGGGGAACTTCAGCAGTAGCATATGTGTGGAAATGAAAACCTTCATTTGCGCCAAGGCTAGGCACTCAAGGATGACATTGTAAGCTGTGGGGCAGTCGACGATAAGAAAAGGAGTAGTGACTGTTGCCCATTGGGGTGAGAAACCAATAGAAATAAGGAGATGGATGCTGCCAATAGGCTGGAAAACATCACCAGAGAAGCTCACAAGGGGTGTGATGCTTCGGTCTAGCAAGTGAGCAAGGACCTAGAGCTCATTGAAAGCATCAGCAAATATCACACTGACCGAGTTGCCAGTGTCCACCAGAATGCGTCCAATATCAAAGTTAGAAATGTCTACGCAGATAATGAGTGGGTCGTCATGTAGGAGAATGACACCACGTTCTTCCTCCTCACAGAAGGTGATGGGGGCCTAGCTTGATTTTTGCGTCATAGGCAGGCGTCTGTGCTCAGTGCTAAAGACCTGGTGCGCATAGGAAGAACGGATATAGTGTTTGATGGAGATGTTGGAGGTTCCGACCAACGTGGGACCACTGCTGATGGTGAAGATCATGTTGATCTGGTTAGGTGAGGGTGGGAGGTTGTACACATATTTATCCAGCTTCCCTTCACGAATAAGTCCTTCAATGATGTTGTGCAAGGCAACACAAAACTTGGTATTGTGGCCACTGAACTGATGAAAATAGCAGAAGACACATGTGTTTGGCATAGGCTTATTGGGAGGTCTCCTAGGAGGTGGCTTGAGGATCATGGGTGCCTCGTGCACTAGGACATTCTCATAAGTAGTGTTTAGGGTGGTGAAGACCTCAATATAGGCTTGGTTGTGAAAGGGAGTGGGTCCCGATCACTTGTCCTGGGAGGGTTGCTTCCACTCTACTAGTAGTGGTTGCCATGTCTGCCACGCTTACTACTGCTGAAGGTATGCTGGTAGCTATCATTCCTTTTTGGGTACGGGGTACCTTAGTCATCTGGGGCAGGAGTAGAACGCTAGGGTGGGGCTGGGGTTTGTACCAAAGGTGGAGGATCACCAAAGGTGCTGCATGCAGATGTGGCTAGGCCACACTTGGAGTTGAAATACTCAGTATTGGCGTGAACTGCTGTTTGCTTCATTAGCTCTGCATATGTGTTCTAAGGGTTGCTATGGACCAGGTATCGGAAGTTGGACTTGCGGAGGCCACTCTTGAAAGCACCGAAGGCAGCACGATCTTCAGTCTCTGGGCAACGAGAGTACTTGTGGCTGAAGCGGGCTACATACTCCCGAAGGGGTTCATCCTCACCCTACCGAAGCATGTACAAGTCGTTTGTGGAGTACAAGCGATCAGTCTGGATCATGAAATGGTCCAGGAAGGTCTGCTTCAGATTGTCAAATGTGTTAATGGTGTGAGGGTTCAACCTGTAGAACCAATTTAGGGCCGCGCCGCTGAGGGTGGAAGGGAAAAGGAGGCACATGCCTTCATCACTAAGGCCCTTGCATCTTAGGGCAGACTGGAAGGAATGGATATGGGTGAGAGGATCCGTACCAGTGTAGAAGGTGATACGGAGTGGCTTAATGTCCTTCTCCTTGTGGTAATTGAGGATACGTTCGGTAAAGGGCTCAGGTCATGGCTTCGCCCAGAGGGGCTGTTGGCAACGCCGCTACTCACTCTCCAGGTGCCGGACCTTCTCAAAGAGAACCCTCATGGCCGGGTCGGCATGAGGGAGGGTCTTGAGTGCTGAAGGCCTAGGGTGTGGATTGGCAAGGGTTGGGTAAGGTTCCCAATCTTTTAACGCCTCGGTGTGATAATTTTCCCAGTCTTCTGAATGATAATTTTCCTAGTCGTCCGAGTCCCCTACGTCTTCTTCAGCGGGTAGGTGGGTAGGCTTCGGTGAGGAGCCTAGGTGTGTCACCCTTAGGTCTTGGATATTAACGGGGATAGGAATAGGGTCTTGCTGACGGTCCAAGGACGGTCTCTGCAATCTCTATAGACCTTCATCGGTTCATGGGGCCGGTCCTTCGATGGGGAGATGTGAAGGAGTCGCGACTTGGTCGTCTTCGAATGGAGGGGGCCTTTACTCTTACTGAGCCTAGACTGGACTAGGGCACTATGGCGGGAGTGCACCGGTTGGTTTGGTTGGGTATGCTCAGCATATTGGGTGAAGTCACGTTGGGAGCCTTGGGCCTGAGTCCTCTCCCAGTTACGCTTTAGCATGCGGTAGTCATGTTTCATCTCGATATTTTTGGTATGGAGATGTTCATATTTCTCGAACATCTTGGCGACACTGGCGCGGAGGAGCTCGACCTCTGCATGGAGATTGGCATCTGCTGAAGGTTTCCTTCGGGAGGTACCCCCGCGGGGGATATGGTGCTGAGTATCGTGGCTATCCTCGGTCAGCATAGCAAAGTGTGGGATGTAGAAGAGGCGACGGGGCCTGATGAGAGAAGGAGCCAGCTGGGCTGGTAGAGAAAAATGGGATTCAGAAGTCGATTCCCACATACGGCACCAAACTGTTGACGCTTTTTTCGGGAGGTTAACTTAGAGAGAAGGGGATAGTCTTCAGCAGGAGAGAAGGTGAGGACCTTTATCAAGGGAAGAGCCTGCAGAAGACAAAGCAGGAGAAGTAGTCATCAATCTTCGGACACCGGTGTGGTGTCAGTCGAAGGCTCTCCGATGCTTAAGTCAGCTATAAGTGGTAAAATTGGCAAAGTAACAGTAAGAGTGATAGAGAAGTTACCCTTTTTACTTGGGTACTGTTCCCTATTTATAGGGAAGTGAAAGTGAGAGGTTTGCACAAAATTTTGATGTGGGACTTTGTGCAAGTCGCTGTGGTGATGACACGTGTCTTAGAGATTACGTTCGGCAGTTGAGAGCTTCAACAGTCGAGAGGTTCGGCAGGTGTCTGGCACCTCAGAAGAGTGTCTTCCTTCAGCAAGGGAGAAGGCGTGTATGCCTTGGTGCTAGTCATTTCGAGGCTGGACATGCTTGGTTGATTATGGTGTAAATAATTGTATTAATGATTTGGTATTCTGTCAGACCATCAATATTCCACTCAACTATGGAACTTCCATCATATTGAGCGGAATTCCACATTCCATCTTCCTCAAACTATAAATCTAATGGTGTGGGTCTAGGGTAGTAGTTTTTAGTCTTAGCAGTTTGAGTAAATCTCTTTTCAGTCATTAACCTATTAATTTCAGGTTGCTCTTCTTTAAACATTGTTTCCAGGTTATCTATTTCCCCTTCAGTGAGAACCGACACTTGAGGACCCTTTCCTTTATCTGACAAATTTAACCATGTTAACTTTTTGGCCAAGACGTCAACAAAGTTTTCGTCTTCAGATAAGGTCATTCCCATCTTAAAATTTTTATTATCTAAGGCAGGAGGTGGTTTAAAGAACGCTTGACTCACTTCTCTATTTCTTTTGGTTTCTAAGAGTCCTGGTTCAGATTTCTGTCCCCCCATTGAAACAAATGTTTCAATCCTAGTAACTTGCTTTCCTAAAGACTGCAGAAACAGGTTGGTGTAGTTATTATGATGAATGACCACATCTACATCTTCTTTACTAGCTGTGCGAAAATTATTGGTACTGTCTTCAAGGAAAGTGGTTTCGTTGTAGGGAGCTGCAATTACATCCTCTTGTTTAATCACCATCTCGGGTGGATGTATGGCTTTGACTGACTTCCCATCTTTGGAAGTATAAGTCGAGAAGGGGTTTCCTATCATTTCTATATTAATGGAAATTCTTGTGTTTACATAGTTGTCTTCTTAACTTTAGTGTTGGCTTAACCTCTCAAAGATCTTAGAGCACCTCCACCGCAGGCACAGAGTCGGGCAAAAGGCCCCCCCCAGATAGCCCAAAACAGCTCCAGCGCTGCACTTCCAGCCCGGGCAAGCCCTGGGTCCCACCAGCCCGGGCAAGCCCAAGGGCAAGTTTCCACTGGGCTTCAGCCCGAGTTCGATGACGTCAGAGTGACATCATCGCACGGTACTGTGCCACGTGTCGCAACCCTGACTCTTCGATCCTTTTTTTTTCCAACAATCCGACAGTCCTCGTTTTTTTGGTTAAAAAAATTGCAAAAAAAATCGAAAAAAATCTGAATTTTTTTAAAAAAAATACCAAAAAATTCTGTATTTTTTCCCTATAAATACATAACCATTTTATTTTTTCCCTCACATTTTTCTACTACTTTCCATTTGTATAAAAAAAAACAAATGGCATAAAAAATTGCAAAAAAATTCAAATTTTTTTTTAAAAAATACCAAAAAATTCTGGATGTTTTCCCTATAAATACCTAACAATTTTATTCACTTTCCACACCAAATCTTCATCCAAAATATAAATAGTGATACGTGACAACCGAAAATATAATCTAAAAAGCTTATCAAAATTAATGGTTTAAAGTATAAAAAAATAGGAAATAAAGTACAATGAATAGTAATTGCCTTAGACTTGCCCTAGATTTTGCCCTCATGGGTGGAACCACAAATGCAAAGGCTGACACTATTCACGTGAATAGTGGCAGCCCTTGCTTGCCCTTGCCCTAGACTTAACCCTTGTGGGTGGAGATGCTCTTAGGGTTGCTTATAGTCTGGTAACCTAATTTTTATTTCAATAGGTAGCTAGTATACTTGGAGGGGTAATTAATTGACGTACATATTGATTAGGAAGAATCTTCTTTTTTTAATCAATTAAGAAGAATCCATCGGCCTGATCAAAGCCAATGAAACATCGATGGATGAGCAGTTATGCTCTAGCTAATCGGTGATTACTCATCTCTTACCTAGTTGTCATAATTAATTCATAAAAGCATCTGGTTATTCAAACATGGATGAAGCAGGGATTCCAAATGCAGTGAATATTCAAAACCCAATAACTTTTGTGTTGGAATTGTTTATCCATTTCTTTTTTCAACCTTTTGTTTGTTTGTTTTAATCATGGTTGAGGTGGAGATCGAATTTGACATAGCTGAAAAGAATGATATTTATCTTATCCTCGTCAAAAGACTTATTGGACCACGCTAGCTATATAAACTTCATGATCTAAAGCTTTTGCTGAGTTTTAGTCAGTAATGAATTCTTGCCTCCCTAAATGTCACACTCAATAAATTGGTTTTGAATGCTGTTAGGAACAAACTCTGCACCATTGGGTTCAAAGCTTCGATTGCCAATGCCTTCTAGCGGCTCATGAATGGAACATTCCTTTTGGTTAATGGCTTTGTGTAGGAGGTTCTTTGTTTGGGTTGGATTTTCCAGCCACATTTTTGCATGGTCTTTTTGTTGATCTTGGTCCTCTTCACTCATTGTCAATTAATTTTGGATTAGATTAATTTCGTATCACACCTAAAGAAGTGTAAGATATTAGTACTACACCTGAATTTTCTCTTTCTTATGGTCTATCCCAACCATTGATGCACGGAAAATCAAAGATAAAATCGTGGGATGACAGAGAATTCGTAATTAATATTGGAAGCAGAATAAAAAACAAAAAATAGCTCAAACCTAGAATCTATTGGAACCATTGGAAGCAAATAAGATACTAAAAAGATTCCAAACATGCCAATAGACTCTAGTCTAATAAAAAAGGGCATTGACTTGTAGACCTAGAGATCTAAGTTCGAAACTCCATGGCCTCTTGGTTGTGTATGTGTGAAAACCTCCCTCCCATATAATTTAGACTATTGTTTGTGCTATAAAAAAAAATAAAAAAAAGATTCCAAAAATATACTCAAAAGTTAAAATGCCTCTTCAGCCTAAAAGGTCTATATATGTCATTAATTAGTCGTGAGTTTGACTCATCGAAACCACGTATTATAGGCCCAAATATGATTCCAGAGCCCAAATATGCAAAAGTTTTTCTATTTCTCGGCTTGCACACATGAAGCTGTTTTCGTCAATCCTCTAATCTACATGAACAAAACCTTAAAAAGCAAGTATTGGTATAAAACCAAGATCAACAGTGAGATTTCAGGTCCTATGTGCACAAATTAAAATCAGTCTGTGACATGGAAATGCTAAAAGAAAAATACCAAGAAGTGATGAAAAGCAAGTATTTATAACTATAATTCATATCTTTTCTACTGAGTCAACTACTCAGTTTTTCTCCTCTTCTTAGGAATATTTATAGTACAACTAGCACCAGGAAGGACGATAGATCGAAGAAAAAAACAGTTTGGTTGCCTAATTGCTTCAATGCTGGTTGCTCACCTGCTAATCAAACATATACGTTGACAATTTGAAAAATGCATTAATTTGAGCTATAGGATTTCAATTTGATACTCTTTGATTTTTAGTGATCTCAACCTAGGATTAGGGCTTTCACTCATATATTAATCAATTTTGAAGACATAGCCAAAGAGGAGAGGATGACGAGTTCAGGCAGAGAGATTGATGATGATTCGAAAGAATACCTTTTGTATCGGAGTTGAAGAGAGGGAGAACCAAAGACGATGTGAGATTTAGGGCAAGAAAAATTATAGGTAACCTTTTTTCTTTCAAAATTATATACATGGGCTAACAATTCAGGCCCTAAGAAATCACGGGCTCTACTTGCTAGCATGAGTTTAAACCTAATAACATGAGTATGAGTTTAAATTTTATATCATCCAGTTTTCAGTCGTAATAGTCCAGCCATAATTAGCATTAGTCAATCCATATTTCTGCGAGAAAATAAGATCTTCGAAGGCCTCCTTCTCCTCTCTCTCCATTGGCCCTGGGTTCGCAAGTGAAGCAAACCAAGCTGCGGATTGGGTAGCTTCGAGTGTCAAAAGGGGGTTGTGCGCTGAGGCTTGGGTCAATAGACCTCTAACTTCCCTAGTTTTCATCCTTTCTTGGTTGGTATGGTTTGCCTTGCCCTCGCCCCTCGAACGGCAATGCTTAGAGTGGTGTTTGTTTTGTGTTGATGTTTTCTTATTTTATTGATTTTTTGGTGTGGCTGTTGGGGTCTTAGCTTCTTTGTAGCTCTCTGCTCGTGTTTGGTTTACATGAAGTATCCCTTTCCAAAAATAAATAAATAAATAAAAAATCTCAGGTTATTTTGGACTGTTATCCAATTTACTTGTATAACTTCAATAACTTGTTAGATCAAATAATGTGCTTTTCGGACTAATGAGGTGCTTGGAAGTTGGTAAGAGCGTCGGCAATAGACTCCTTAAATCACTTTATTAGACAAATTTTAGACAGGAATTGGAAAAATCTAACTCTAACTATGCTCCTTATCCACCTTCTAAAATAGAAAGATTTTTAGGAGCTCCTAAATCTGAGGAGAAATAAAAGACTCCTAGTGACTCTTTATAATTTAATGCAGTTTTGTTTTATGCATATGTTAAACTTTTAATTAATGCTATTTTTTTTTTATAAAGACGGACCAATTATATTAAATTAAAAAATAATTATTGTATTTGTGACTCTCTAAATTAGAGAGTATGATTAAAGTTCAAATTTTATATAGAGCTCTTAAAATAATTTTCTTGTATTTTTAGTTAAATTTTAACTATAAAAAAAGCACGATTGCGGAAGCTAATTGACTAAAAATATAATATAAAATCGGAGGATAAGAAATGGACGTGGGGTTTTGACCCCTTTGCCAACCCAAAATGGTTAACGTTATTGGTAGTGGTTGTAGTACCATATTCCACTCTCTTTTTTACTCAAACAGTACAAATGTACTAATTGAATAATCAAAGTATAATAAACCTAATAATGGAATCCCATGCCAAACACCCCGTGGTTGGATAGCAATTGTCAAATCTATAATCAACATTCTAGGGGATTATATTTTCTGATCTCATTGGACCATCACATTATAAAGAAAGGTAGAGCTTAAATAATTACATTAATGATTATGATTTGTTGTCACCTTAATCCTTGTTTCCTCACCCCCCCACCGCCCCCCCGCCCCCCCCAAATTTTAATAAACTTTTTTTTATATAAATAAATTTGCAAATGCATGGAGGCCTGGCCTAGCTACGACAGGGTTCTTTCCTTTGGAATAATGGAATGGAGAGTAGTATAGATAGTATGTTGGTATAATGGAATGGAGTGTATAGTTACAATGAGACTCAACGGGTTTGGTTGGGTTTTCTATTAATCAGTTAATTAAGAAACTGAATTAGGGTCAGAGATAAAGGAAAAGGAAGGAGGTAGGGTTAGCTAGCTAGTTTGAAAAAATTGTTTAAGTCACACTAATAGCTTAATACACTTTGCTAACGGGTTTAGTTTAGTGAAAAAAGACCTTGACTTACAGACCAATGATCTCATATTCGAATCCCCACGACACCTTGGCAGTGTGTGTAAGAAAACATCATCCCCTTCCTAGCTTTGGAAAAGAAAAAGAAAAGCTTAATACACTTTGCTAATGGGTTTAGTTTAGTGGAAAAAAAACCTTGATTTACAGACCAGTGATCTCATATTCGAACCCCCAAGACATCTTCACAGTGTGTGTAAAAAAAATCATCCCCTTCCTAACTTTGGAAAAGAAAAATAATAGGTTAATACACTTTGTGAAGCTTTGATAGGGTGGGAAAATAGGGTCGGTTGGGAAATAGAAAAAAGGGTTTTGTCATTGTCGGTAGAAGTTATATATATATATATATATATATATATATATAGGGAGTTTCAGTTGAAGGATCCCTCAAATAAGCTTATCACCCTTGTTGGGTCCACTTTGTATTGTATTTCACTAATCCAAACTGTCTATTTTGTAGATACTCACTCAAAGATCATCTCTACAAAAAAATCACTTGAATTCAATACCATTGGACAACTCAATTGAATTATTGAAACTTTAATACTTTCTTCAAGCACTATGTTCATTGGATTTTGGTAAGGACACAATTGGATATCAAACGGTTTCTTTTTTGTTTTCTTTTTTTTAAGGATGATTTATGAATGTATGAATTAAAAAATAGATGATTTGGATCGTTGAAAAAAAATTCATAGGGAACTCTAAATGGTGTCTCTCAAATAAAATTTGAGGAATTTCTTAATAGAAAGGGATATGCTTTTCTTTTGATTAATGACAACCAACGTATGTACGTACATCATAATATTATACATTAACAACTGCAAGCCTGTTTTGGTAAGCTTGAAGTTATCTCTTGGAAAGCTTAATGGGCCAACTTGTCTCTAACGTCCAAAAATTATATAACCATATGTATATGAAGAACAAAGAAAATTATCATGCTGTGGCGGCCGCAAATTTTAAATAGATACGATTCATGAAGAGTACATTACTTAATTGGTTGGATATGTTAACCTAAAAGTTATAGAAAGGTGGCGTGGCTCCACGTAATTAGGTCTTCTCTCTTCTTCAGATTTGCTCCATGTTAGTGAGGTTCATGTGTCGACCCCAAAAGAAAAAGAAAGGTGAGATCTGTGTGGGTATTATATCTGCTTTTCTAAGGTGGGGAGAAATAAAAAAACTTTCTGATCGTATGGGTACTAGATTATTCCCATGTGGCATGCATGGCATGTGATAATTGGATGAATGAGATTCCTTTCGATGCAAACTCCTTTATGCATTTCATTTTATTTTATATTTTATGAATATATCCGATGAGAAATTGTTTATGATGAATAATGAATGATAAGGGCTACGTGGTGATAGGAAGCTTAGGATTGGGCTCAGTTTTGACACGTGGAGACGGAGCTGATCCAGAAAACAATTTCCGAAGGGGTTAAGCGTGTGCGGAAATGCTATAATGAAGGGGTTTTTGAGTGAGGGGGTTCAATATGGGGTCCATCTCACCATTCAATAAGAGTGTAAATAGCGTAGTTACGGGGGGCATTATATAAATGTTTTGCAAATTATTCCTTGAAATGTTAGAAATGCGTTCTATAAGACCGCCCAAGACTTGTATGTGGCTACACTACTGCGTACGTGGAGACCACAAAAAATTTATCAGCTTAGCAAAGTGACTAAACTCTAACCCCTAAAAACCTAATTCCCCTTATATATATAGGAAAAATATTTAGGGTTTTGAGGCCCCGTTTGGGATTGCTTTTTTTGGCCAAAAACCTGCTTAACTTTAAAGTTAAGCAGTTTAAGGTGTTTCGTAAAATTAAAATATCCCGATTATTTTAAAAGCAATGACCTTTTGACAGCAGCTTTTAAAAGCTGACTCTGGATTGCTTTTCAAAGCTGCTTTCAAAAGAAGCAGAGATGAACATTTAATGAATTTTTTAATTCTCAAAATATCATCATTCATTTTAAAAAAATGACACCACCTCCACTTTTACATCCAACTCCACCACTTGCACCACCACATTTAGTACCTCCACAACCACCGCCACCACCACCACCACAACCACCACATCCTCCTCCTCCTCATCCTCCGCCACCACCACCTCCAACATCACCTCCTCCTCATTCACCACCACCTCTGCCACCACCACCACCACCACCACCTCCTCCAAAACCTCCACATCCACCACCACCACCATGTTGCCACTACCACCACCACCACCACCACCACCACTATCTCCACAACTGCCATCCCCACCACCACAACCATCAACTTAACCTTCATCTCCACCACCAACTCCACTCCATCACTATCACTACCACTACCACTACCACCACATAATTAGTGCATAACATTTTTAACATCATGTCTATTTTAGTCATTATTTACAGTTACAACAATTTTATATTAAAATTTACCAAGCGGTTTTAACACTGTTTTTTGTACTAACAGCACTTTAAAAATAGTGTTTACCAAACATGGAGCTGCTTTACTTTACAGCTAATTATTTTTAAAGCATAGTAGAAGCAACTTTTTTTAAAAGTGACAGCAATCCCAAACTAGGCCTGAATAGATTGAACACGTTCATTTATGAATGATGTTAGATAAATTGGTTGACATAATGATTTTTTGTGACTTTGTATCCCTTGTAGTTCTATGATTAATATATCAATTTACTTTTGAACATGCTTTTTCTAATTAATATATTTTTACGACATCTTTTAACGTTGAAAATAAAAATAGAAAATTTGAGATAAGTCTAAACTTGAGAGCATAAGTTGGGTTTAATCCTTGCATTTGTTGTCGTTGATCTAAGTCCTTTGACTTCTCTTTCAAATAGAATTACATTCCTTTTTTGTATTTTATGATATAGATCTATTATTATTATTATTCAAAATTATCTAGTTGTTCCTATTATGCCCCTAAAATATAAATCGTGTAGAAATTAATTTTTAGGACATCTTTTTTATTATTTTTATTTTTATATATAGGTAACATATGGTAGAGGTTATGCACATGAGTTGTATCGTAGGTGTTTTAGTTTATGCACATAAGTTGTAGGTAACAATTTTTATTTTTGTTCACCGTATGGTAGAGGTATATTATATACTATTGTAGATATATTATCCTATGGTGTAGGTATATTGTCATGTTGCCTATTGCATAGGCATATATATGTGTGTGTGTGTATTTTTTAATATTTTTGACAATGTAACTTATAGGTAATCTTCCAATTTATGTTCCTAACTTATAGGTAGTCTTTTAATTTATATTCCTGACTTATAGACAACACAATTTATCATTAAGTTAAAAAAAAAAATATATATTTTAAAGTATTTATTTTCTTCTAAACAATACATCTTGTACTCAATCCAAGCGAATAATTGTGCTTATCAAAAGAAAAAAAATAATGGAAAAAAAGTGAACAATTGTAATACCACAAATGGCAGTGGAAGGAATTTTCCTTAATGTTCTCGAGAGCTAACTTGTTTGTGACAATGGTCCTGGAAGAGGCAATAATATTTTTCTTTGAAATGGAGATCTTTGACATTTCGTGCGCAAACCAACTGGAGTATCGGAATATGTTAACACACATGCTGCACCGACCATAGTTTCATTAATTGTGCCCTATTTCTCTCTTTAGACAACACCACCATTAGCATTTGCAAAATAAAAATACGATACAGCTTGCTTTCAGTGTTTTAGGCATTTTATTTTTTTTTTTTTTTTTTTTTTTTTTTTTTAATGAAATTTAGGCATTGTTGCCTTTTACCCTGGTCAACTCTCCAGAAAAAATTTCATCCGTTCCTCTCAACACTCTACTCTCTCTTCTTTGCTCTCTCAATTCTCTCTCTCTCTCTCTCTCTCTCTCTACTCCATCACTTTGGGAGAGCATCCAAACAAGGGAAATTGGCAGCTTTGCCCCCGGTGCAACTAATTTATTCAATAATATTCCCATTTTGAAATCTAATCACAAATACCCCTTATAAAAACTCCATATTGACAGTCTATTGCCCATCTGTCACTTTTTTTTTCTTCTCAGTCGTTGCTCTTGCTCTTCCTCTTCTCCCTAGTCTCTTTCTCTTCCTCTTCTTCAAACCTCACAGAAAACCCACTTCCACGAATATCACCTAACTCCATTGTTTACACCATAATCAACCGAGCATATCCAACATTAAAATGACTAGCACCCAAGGCAAATACACCTTCTCCACTACCGAAGGAAGACACTCTTCCTAGGTGCCAGACACTTGCCGAGGTTCCCGACTGCCGAAGCTCCAACTGCTGAACCTAATATCCAAGGACACGTGTCACCACCACAGCGACTTACACAAAGTCTCACATCGAAACTTTGTGCAACCCACCCACTTTCACTTCCTTATAAATAGGGAACAATACCCAAGTAAAAGGGTAACTTCTCTCTCAATTTTACTGTTACTCTGCTAATTATACCACTCATAGCTGACTTAAGCATCATAGAGCCTTCGGCCGGCACCACACCGATGTCCGAAGCTTAACAACTGCTTCTCCTACTTTGTCTTCTACAGGCTATTCCCTTACTGAAGGTCCTCACCTTCTCCCCTGCTGAAGACTACCCACTTCTCTATAAGTTGACCTCCCAAAAAGAGCATCAACAGTTTGGTGCTGTCTGTGGGAATCGACATTTGAATCCCATTTTTCTCTACCAACCCAGCTGGCTCCTTTTCTCGTCAGGCCCCATTGCCTCTTCTTCACCCCCACTCTCTGCTATGCCGACCGAGGATAGCCACAATACTCAGCACCATACCCCCCGCGGGGGTACCTCACGAAGGAAACCTTTAGCAGATACCAATCTCTAGGCAGAAGTAGAGCTTCTCAGTGCTAGCGTTGCCAAGATGTCGGAGAAGTACGAACATCTTCATACCAAAAACATCGAGTTAGAGCATGACTACCGCATGGTGAAGCGTAATTGGGAGAGGACACAGGCTCAGGGCTCCCAACGTGACTTTACCCAAGATGCTGAGCATACCCAGCCAAACCAGCAGGTGCACTCCCGCCATAGTGCCTCAGTCTAGTCTAGGCTCAGTAAGGGTAAAGGCCCCCTCCATCCGGAGACGACCAAGTCGTGGCTCCTTCAAATCTCCCCACCGAAGAACCGGCCCCATGAACCAATGAAGGTCTATAGAGATTGCAGAGACCGTCTCTTGGACCGTCAGCAAGAACCTATTCCTATCCCCGTTAATCTTCAAGACCCAGGGTGACACACCTAGGGCCCCCATCGAAGCCTACCCACCTACCCATTGGAGAAGGTGCAGGGGACTCGGACGATTGGGGAAATTATCATTCAGAAGACTGGGAAAATTATCACACCGAAGCGTTAGAGGATTGGGAACCTTACCTAGCCCCTGCCAATCCACACCCCAGGCCTTCAGCAACCGAGACCTTCCCTCATGCTGACCCAGCCATGAGGCTTCTATTTGAGAAGGTTCGACACTTGGAGAGTAAGCAGTAGCGCAGCCACCAGCCCCTCCGTATCGCCTTCTATACTGGCACGAAGGATCTTTTCACCCATATCCACTCCTTCCAGTTTGCCCTCGGATGCCAGAGCCTTAGTGACAAAGGCATGTGCCTCTTCTTCCCTTCCACCTTCAGCATCGCGGCCTTGAATTGGTTCTACAAGCTGAACCCCTGCACCATCAACTCATTTGACAGTCTGAAGCAGACCTTCCTAGACTATTTCGTGATCCAGATTGATTGCCTGTACTCCGCAGACGACTTGTACATGCTTCGGCAAGGTGAGGATGAACCCTTTCGGGAGTATGCAGCTCGCTTTAGCCATGAATACTCTCGTTGCCCAAAGACTGACGATTGCGCTGCCTTCGGTGCTTTAAATAGTGGCCTCAACGAGTCCAACTTCCGGTACCTGGTCCACAGCAACCCTTGGAACACATATGCTAAGTTAATGAAGTAGGCAGCAGTTCACGCCAAGGCTGAGTACTTCAATTCCAAGCGTGGAACGCAGCACCTCTGGTGATCCTCCACCTGCTTCGGTATCTACCCCAGCCCCACCTCAGCGTTCTACTCCCGCCCCAGATAACCAAGGTACCCAGCACCCAAAAAGGAAGGATAGTTAGCAGCCTACCTTCAGCAATAGCAACCAGGGTAGACATGACAACCACCAGCAACCCAACAGTAGCAATCAGAGTAGACATGACAACCACCATAATCCCAGGACAAGTGATCGTGCCCCACTTCCTTTCACACCCAAGCCTAGGTTTGAGGTCTTCACCACCCTGAACACTACCTATGAGAATGTCTTAGTGCACGAGGCACCCATAATACTTAAACCTCCCCCAAGGAGACCGACCAACAAGCCTATGCCAAACACAAGTGTCTTTTGCCATTTTCATCAGTTCAGTGACCACGATACCGAATCTTGTGTTGCCTTGCGCAACATCATTGAAGGACTTATTCGTGAAGGGAAGTTGGATAAATATGTGCACAACCTTCCATCCCCACCTAACCCTCACTAAAGATAGATCAACATGATCTCCACCATCAACGGTGGTCCCACGTTGGTCGGAACCTCCAACAACTCCATCAAACACTATGTCCGCTCTTCCTATGCTCACCAAGTTTTCAGCATTGAGTACGGACGCATGCCTAAGACGCAAAAATCGGGCTGGGCCCTCATCACCTTCTGTGAAAAGGAAGAACGTGGTCTCATTCTCCCACATGACGGCCCAACTCAACCAACTCTTGTACCTCTTGCCTTTCGACACCTATTTGATGAAACACCCGACTCTGGCCATTTCTCATCAATCACATGATTATCATTTTGCTAGCACAACTGATATCAAATGAAAACAAGTCTAATATCATAGCAAATCAAAATAACCTTACCTCAAGCAAGGAAAAATGTTTATACAAAGCAAAAATAAACATCAATTGTTCCAAACAAATAACTAAAGTACATAAAGAAGGCAACGCCTTCAAGACTCGGTAGAAGGGACATCTGTAGTAGCCGGCTCTAGCTCTGGAGTGGCCTCGGTAGTAGGACTAGGTGAAGGAGGCTCGCCACTCATATCAAAGTTAATCTCAACCGAAGGGTTGAACCTTGCCAGCCTCTCCTCCCAACTTTGCTGCGCATCTACCATTCGATCCATGACGTAACTCCACAGCTCCTCTGAACTCCGAAACGACTCGACCGCTTCGGCTTGGGCAGCAGCTATCTCTTCAGCCTTCTTCTGCTCCACTTCGGCCCGGGCAGCAACTACCTCCTCGGCCCTCGACCGCTTCAGCTCCTCCACCTCTCTAGCCAGCGCCGCCTTCTACAACAGCAGGGCGTTCTTCTCTCGAATGGCTTCCTGCGCCTCCGCTATCTTATTCTTGGCCATCTCATTACGCCTCTTTAATCTATGGATCTCCTTATCTGCCTTGGCCATGTTGACATACATCTCAACAAAGGCCTGCAACACAAAGCATCATCAGTAAAAAGCAAACTAAAATGATAAGAATAAATTCACAAAGCAAGACAACTCACATAGGCATGGGTAAGGAACGTCTTCTGGGCCTGATCTGCATAGGAAGAGGCTGGTGTTTTGGCCAGAACCTCAAGGTCACTCTTCACGCCTTCCAAGAAGACGTTTACCAAGGGAACCTCCTACCGATGTATGGTAAGGTTCACCTCCTTCTTCTGTCGACGCAGCATGGAGAAGTCCACCTTCTCCAGCCCCTCGACATAAACATCCTTCATACTGAAGGGGAGCTTCGACGACGCCTGTAGGTCAAAGGGAAGAAGCCTTGGCCTTATTCCCATCACACTCTGGTGAGCTTCCTCCAGCGCTCTCTTCTTTCCTAGAACATCGGCAACCCGCCCTTCATCGTCATCTCCAGGACGCTTACCAGTCGCCTGCCTGGTACCCTTCTTCTCAGCCTTCTTCACCCAAGACTCCCTAAGCCGCCTCTGCATCTCGACATCGTCCAGATCCACAACCACTTTCGTGCTTCCCTTTATAATACCTGCCACTGCACATCAAAAACTAAGTCACAACTACAAAAGGGAATTAAAAGACAAACAACAAAGGTGACCCAAGTACTTACTTCCTTGCAAAAGGCCGGACTCAAACATATTCTTCTGGGTGACTAGGTTTCTATAATCACGCTCGGTCTCTGACAGCAATGACCTCACCCTCTCAACCTCTTCTTCTTGCTCCTTGGAGATTGGCCCCCACTTCACCGAACCTACACCAAAGGTTAGACACTACTCATCCACTTACACTTGCACAAGCATAAGTGGAGAACCAAGAGTCAAAGAAAGTAAAAAACACTACAAAACAATAATCAGTCTTAAAGGATGGGGCCAAGGACCTATAGATTGGAAGTGGGTAGGAATGTGTTTGGAGACGGTCTTCCCTGGCGGACACTCCCAATCACCATAAGCCAGGCACCACATGTTCCTCTAAGACTTCTGAGAAGAAGGCTTGTGACCAATAAAGTAACCCATCTCTTTCACCTTTCAGCAATTGGCTTGTACCTAACCAAAGCTTCCCTGTTGCTTCAAAATAGTGTACAAATACATGAATTGCTCAAACGTTGGCTCCCTCAACCCAACCAATCACCAAGTAATGTAAATCTCATGAAGAAGAATCCAAAAGTTGGGATTATATTGCCTTGGCGCATATCCCAGCTTAGTCAACATCATTTGTACCCAAGGATGAGATGGTAGTCTGAAGCCATGCTGGTACATATCTGTGAATATCAGCACACATCCCTCCGGAGGATATCTAACCACATCAGCAGCACTGGGTAACCTCAGGCCCACCGAGGGTGGGATACTAAACTCTATCCGAAGCTCTGCCAACTTTACGTCTGTAAGTATATTACGCCTTAACAAAGGGACACCAACCCGTATATCCACCCCTTTTGAAGCTAAAGCCACGGCTACACCCACAGACCCTGACGGCGATGCCTGATTGCTCGAGCCCACCTCTGGTGTATGAGGCAAGGTTAGAACCCGATCAGTCACAACCTCTAACACTTTTATAATTCCTCTGCATCTCCCTAAATGCCTCTAACCCATAGTCTACTGATGGCTCACCCATCTCACCCTCGTGCACTATCATCCTACTTTCTATAATACCTTCTACCACACCCTCTGTCTGGGAACTCTCATCTTCAGAACAAACATATTGGCTGGGCTCCTCACTCTCAGTATCTTCGCCACCAAAGGCAGGGGGGTCACGACTTTCTCTATCAGAACTTTCAGACATCTACAATATGCAGAAACAAGGAAAAGGAACTAATGCACATGCAAGAAGGATCGAAAACACAAGAACATAAAAAGGATGGAAAACCTAGATGCTCTTTGATCTACAAACAACATTCAACAAGTTCATATCAATGTTCAAGGTGTTTATCAAGTTCATACACATATTCAAGGTGTTCATCCTAGTCTTCAACATGTTCATGCAACAAAGGACATTTCAATTCAAAAGTTCAAGGGAAATGAGGTCTAACCTTGTTTGCACCACCACAAATAAGACGCCAGAAATCACCTTGGCCACAAGCACCACCACCAAAATTTCACCGGAAATCTCCTTTAATCCTTCTCACTTTCTAGAAAATTTTCTCAAAGACTCAGGTGTGATGCCTTCGTCACCCCAAGTTCCTATTTATAAAGCCTCAAGGATGCCAACACCTCGGTTCCCAAGGGAACCCTAGCACCTTTTCACCTTCCCTCCCAAATTCCTTGTACCTGTTCCACAATTTGAAATTCAAAATTCAAATCCACATTCAAAAAGGAAAAGGAGAAAAATCGAAAAAAGGAATTCGAAAACTCTCACCTAGCCCAAAAATCCTCCATTGCCGAGAATGAAAAGACCCAGCCAACTATGCTGCCGTCACAAACACCGAAGGCCCAGCTCCTTCCAAACCGTTTTTAAACAACAATTGGTGAGGCCCAGCCACAAAATGTTTTTTTCAAAAGGAGTACAAGCCCACAACAGCAAAAAAATAATCAGACCACATGTTCAAGGAGGCCCTGCTGAACGGCAAGGCGCGTGCAGAAACAAATAGAGGGCGCACGGGCAACTCACCAAAGCCGGAGCGTGATCTCACAGGCCTAGCCCCAAGCCTTGCCAAATCTGCCAACACCCAAGGCCCTGCAGCCTCACCAATCCCAGGTCATGCCCAAGGCAAAGCCTTCACCAAATTTGCTAACTCGTGAAGCCCAAACTCCCTTTACTGAACGGTATGAGTCAGGTTGAAAACCGGTGTCTTGCTCAAGAACGAACTCTTGCCAATGCTTACAAAGATGCCCAACGAAACAACAAAGCATATTCCCAAAACATCACTAATTCTCTTGCCGAAAGTCTACGCAACAAAAACATAAATCAGCATTCCAAATAACACAGACTGGCCTTGTCGAACGGCAAGGCCCATGAAAGAAATTGGGACTCACAAAATTACCTACCAGTCGAATCTTGATGGTTTCCAAGTCCACCTGCTGAGGCCTTTCGTGGGGCCTCGTGATTCACCAACGATAAGGACGAAAAAACCCAGGCCAAATTGGACCTATTACCAATCAGTAGGCTTATGCTTGGCCCCTTGCTGCACCTCACGAACTCCTCTCAAACTCCTGCAACAGACGGTCTCACAAAAATAGCTTTCAATCAACCTTGTCGTTTGGCAAGGCTTGATCCAAAGCCTAGACATGAGCAATCCCATTTACACTCCGACCCGGACCTTCAACACACGGCCCCTTGCCGAACCTAGCCTTGCTGAAGCTGGGGACGAACGAAATCTCCTACCAAACCGCCTTGCCGAAAGGTATGAGTAGAGCAACAGATTCACGAGCTTAGGCAAGCTGCCTCCCAACTGTTCTTACTGAATGACGCAAACTCTAGCTATACCTTGTTTCACAAACCCTAGGTTGCTAAAAAGAAAAAAGCCCACCGATCGGCAGCAACCTTCCCAATTCGTTGCGAAGAACGAGCAAGGAGCTCTCCTAATATTCTTCCCAAAACACCCTTGCCGAACAACAAGGGCTGTGTAAGCAAAAAACGGGGGCACAAAGAAATCACCTTGCAGAAAATTTGCTGGTTCCACAATCTCCTCCCGGGCAGATCTGCTCACTCACGGAAGTAATTTTCGAGGGGTACCGATCGACAACTATGCTGGGTAGAGGGAGGACCTCGAAAACTTTTTCCTTCATATACCTTGTTGAACGGCATGAGCAATATAGAAGTGTTTTAGACTCTTCTCACAATTCCAAACCCTAGCCCTCACATGTGCCTAGCTAAACCTTGCCGACATGCCCCAGAGGCCAAACCCCGAAATTCTTGTTCTTCCTAAGCTTTGCCGCCCAGGCCCAGCTTGGTCCCTTGCCAAACGGCAAGGACCATGCCAACTTTACTAAAGGCCTCAAGGGCAAAATGGCAAGAGCTATGCAAAAAAAAAAGAAGGGCTCACGAAACGCTCCCCAAGGCTCCCTTGATGAAGCTTCAAGGCCTCGGCCTCTACCAAAGCCCAGCCTCAGCTTCCCTTGCTGAAGGCTTAGGTATCCAGCAACCACCAGTCTTAGAGGCTCACACAGCTTTTACCATACCATTCAAGTGTTAACGCAACTTCTAGCTTGCCAACTTGGGGATTAGGGAATGCCTTACGGCTCCCACTGAACCTGGAATGCTCGGCCATGATTACACAAAAAACTCACAAGTTCCCAACCCAGAAGTTACTTATTGACTACGAACTTGGGGGACTACTATTTACATCATAATCAATCAAGCATATCCAACATTAAAGCGACTAGCAGCCAAGGCAGACACGCCTTCTCCACTACTGAAGGAAGACATTCTTCCTAGGTGCCAGACACCTACCGAGGCTCCCGACTACCGAACTTGATCTCCAAGGACACGTGTCACCACCACAGCGACTTGCACAAAGTCCCACATCGAAACTTTGTGCAAACCACCCACTTTCACTTCCCTATAAATAAGGAACAGTACCCAAGTAAAAAGGGTAACTTCTCTCTCACTTTTACTGCTACTCTGCCAATTTTACCACTCATAGCTGACTTAAGCATCGGAGAGCCTTCGGCCGGCATCACACCGGTATCCAAAGCTTAACGACTGCTTCTCCTACTTTATCTTCTGCAGGCTCTTCCCTTGCTGAAGGTCCTCACCTTCTCCCCTGCTGAAGACTACCCACTTCTCTCTAAGTTGACCTCCCAAAAAGAGCATCAACATCCATATCCTCTTAGTTATATCTTCCATCTCCTATCTTTTCTTTTCTTCTCTTTCTCGCTCTCACCAATGATGACGACAACTGTCACCTCCTCAGAAACCCTAACCCATCCCTCTCTCTTGCGGCCGCCCTTCTCCACCTCCATCTCTCACTCTCTGTCACCTCTTTCGACTGCTGTTCTTCCCCTCTGATTCAATAAATTTCTCAATTTTTCTCAACTTTCCTAAAATCCATGGCATCTGAGGCACTCAACTTTTTTGCTTTACTTTCATACCCATATATGTTATTTGGGTTTTCTTCTGCTTGTTTCAATTTCATATATGGGTTGGAATTTTTGGTGCTTAATGTCACTTCAAGTCCCTCCAAGTCAAATTAAGTGAGATTGTACATAAATTTTGTTGAAACATAATTGTGGGTTTAATTTAAAATTTTATCTCTCTTTTTTTTTAATTAATATTTTTTTAGCTTGTGTAGAGAATGTTATTTAAGTAGGATTATAAAAAAACTTGTTGAACCAAAATTTTGGGATTGTGCAACAAATATTTCTCTTTTTGTCGTAAGGAATATTATGCTTGAAGCTTGTCCAGGCTACAATGATTTTGAAGTTTTTCTTTTGCTGATTGAATTTTATTACTGAGTTAGGTTTTTATTCTGACAAAAAAACAATTGAAGAAACACAATTATTTGGTTCAATGGTCTCTTGGTTTGATAGGAATTCTGTGATCTAATATAAAGGAACATTCAGGCCACTTGAAAGTGTTTTGCAACTTCAAGAATCTGTTATGATCTAAATTTGTTTTGTTATATTTTGGAATGTGATTTTTGAATGAACTACATAAATTGATATAATGAACTACTAAGTGAGCTCTCTGCATCCATAATATTGAATGAGCAATGGTGAGCTTAAGAAGAAGCAAATGCTTGATATTGAGTAAGATAATAATCGAAGTTAAATGGTGCAAAGTTAGATTTGCTTAATGTTCACCACTTACTTTAGTTAACTCCTGTACAATGTAGAATACTTTTTTCAAAGTTAGATTGTGCTTGTAGATAGAGGAATTGGATAATGGATAATGGGTTCACCAATTGCAAGACTGCTTTGTTCATTCCACAGTCCACTCTGGAATTGTTCCAAAATTCTTATAACCTTCCTTGTTTCTCTTTCTAAAATTATGTTTCATTGTTGTAGGTTGTTGACGGCATATGCCATAAACCATATAAGTTATAAGGTGAGAAAAAAGAGTTCTTTGATGACCGGGAAGAGTGTACAGAGGCATTGTAGTATGACAACCATCATCATTCAGTGTTTTAGATTTAGGCTTACCTATGAGTTATTGCTAGGCTTATTGACTTAACCTTTGGTTGTTGTTGGTGTTGGTGCTTCATGAGTTTGCTATCTTTTTAAGAAGGCCACGAAAAATGCACCTTGCATATTTGTTGGTGAAATTGTTGTTGCACAACAAAGAGGACCTGTAATTTTTTTGTTTCGCCATCTCGTTTGCAGGGTTCATTGTTTTTTTTTTCATGACGATTGGACCTAGATATTTTGTTTTTGGAAAAAATACTTTTACTTATATTATACATTGAAGGGAGAACATTATATACATTGTTTTCCCGCATAAGATGGACTATTATAGTTTTTGTATTGCTACTGTATAGCCTCATATTGCCTTAGTATTGCCACTATATAACCTCCTATTGCGTTCTTATTGCGACTGATTAATTGATTTTTGCTATTTTTTGCATTAATTTGTTTGAGAGTCCTCCTAGTTGCACAATACATAGGCAATACAAGCCATATATGGGGGCAATACCTACACAATATAAGCCACATACAGAGGCAATATAAAGGCATTACAAGCCATAAGAGTTTATATTAATTTTATTTCTCAAAAAATGACACAAGCTATAAATTGGCAATAAACATGCAATGCAATGACAATCAAAGGCAATAAATGGTTATAGACAAACAATAAACAAGCAATATACAGACAATATACAAGCAATATACATCAAATGTATATAACGTGTTTTTTTTAAAAAGAATGTGACGTCCTTGATGAAATCACATTCTTACACCCATAATTTCCCAATTTCCCTACTATGGAAGCAATACACGAGTAATAATACAATAGCAGTACACAAACTTCATACTCCCCTTATAAATTTATTACAACAGACTTGAAAAAAAAATGAAGATATACGAGGGCAATACACAAGCTATAAAGGGCTATACATGTGCAATACATATATGTCATGGCACTTGCCAATTAAATCATTGATTTGGTTACATTTGTATTTTTTTCTTCTTTGTCAAGGGAAACGATAAAACCATGGAAATTAGAGATTGACAAATTTCCTTCTAGCTTGACTTTCATAAGTTGAAGAACTAACAATGTTATCTCATTACATCTTAAGATATACATAAGAAAGTGGCAAAAAACAAAAAATTTACACCTCCTCTTGGTCGGAAATTTTAACACAATTTATAACTATTAGCAAAATTCTAGGACATGTCCTCTTAGACCCTAATTTAAGCTGAAAGTTAGCAATTTCCTCCCTAAAAGAACGCCGCCACTTGAAACAAGAAAATCTTCCGTCTGTATAAAACGAATAAAAATGCATATTAGAAGTAAATCATTCGATCACAATGGAAACAAAAACATAACATTTAATCACAACTGAATTTCAAAACAGAAACCAACACCAAAATTCATACTGATTGTTGTCTTTTCTAAATGACCCAATTCTTCATATGGAAAGCTTTCACAAGACAGTACCATTGCAAAATTAAAGTTCACATTCATGCAAACAATTTCATACTACTTAGTTGCAATATAAAAGTAATTATAAATATGGGTAAAGTGAATGTGTATCCTGGCAGGCGAGTAAAAATACAAATCAGAAAATCAGGAAATTATCAATAGTGCATTTGGCATTATTCAAACAGTTAAAGAAGCACAGTCTCAGAGAAGAAGAACAACAAGACAATGGAACTAGATAAATGCAAGAGCTGTCAACAAACCTTCAAGTTTTTCAAGAACCCTTTTTACGGCACCAACACAACCTTGGCATGATACCAACCTTGAGGATTGTAGACCGCACCAAAAACAGATCCAGGATTGAATTACGAAAAAAAATAGAGAAAACAAAGATCCAACACATGCCAACTTTACACTATCAAACGTATGTTAAAATATTGGCATTCTCATAAAACTCACAAACTCTCCAATCACTTTCAAAAGAAGTAAAGGATGAGAATCTTGCATTTGTTGGTGGTGCTACTGATTTCAAATTATGATGTTGGTTTCTTAAGGTTAAAACCCACATTACTATTATTTCAGAGAGCATCTATGAGTTTTATATGTATTCTTACAGGTTGCTCAAAAAGCCAGAAGTCATAATTTGATATATCACCTATGTGCTTTCACAAACAAATCACAATCACAAAAGAGTGAATACAACACTTTCAAGGAGGTCTGCAAGTCCAAGTCTTAATCACAAACCAGTATATGCATGATTTTAGAGACAAATCATAAGTACAAGCAATGTATCCAAGTCCAAGAGCTTGACAACCACGGGAAATAGTTGGTAAATTTCATTCAATCACAGAAACAACAAACAAACCACAACAAAAACCCATTAATGTCTCATTCAAAATAATGAAAGTAATCACCCAATAATCTCAATCAATAACAGAAACCCAAAAAAAAGAAGCAAAACCAATATTAGAATTCACCACAGTGAAGATTGAAGATGAAGGTGTTGTGGGTTTGTGGTGGAAGTCGACGACGAAGGTGGAGAGTCGCGATTATGGCTTCGTTATGGAGGCCGACGACGGAGGTGGCGAGTCACGCCTTGGGTAGGGTTCGATTCCGAAATTGGGGTTCAACCTTAAGGTTCAAATTAGCTCTTAGTTTGAAGATATAACTAAGAGAAAATTGAATTAAGCGAGATTCTACAGTGGAGGTGGATTCCTGTGAGGTTTGACAGAAAGAAGAAGAGGAAGAGACTAGATAGAAGAGGAAGAAGAAGAGCAACGACTGAGAAGAAAAAAAAATTGACAGATGAGCAATAGACTGTCAATAGGGAGTTTTTATAGGGGATATTTGTGATTAGATTTCAAAATGAGGATATTATTGAATAAATTAGTTGCGCCAGGGGCAAAGCCACCAATTTCCCTCCAAACAATCCAAACAATGACAAGGCCTTTGTGTTTTTGAACAGTCTAGTCATATGTTTTTGTCTCAGCAGTGCGCAAATTTGGACGGTGGTTGAACAATTAAAATAAAGAAAAACCCTCCATACAGCTGTGTATAGTTCTCTCACACTCACAATCCCTCGATTTGATCTACGCATAAAGATGGGCACATATTATTTTATAATTGTTTTTTTTTTGTCCAATTAAAACCTCCTTTTCCCAACGGGTCGCCACGTACAAATTTGACCCAAAACTATTACTTATTCCATGAGTCATTTTCCATATGGACTTGGAGTCGGAGTGATTTTTAAAATTAATTTTATCAAAAGCAAACCCACTTTTTGGTTCATTGCCATCATTAGTCTTTGTACATTTGGAGTTTGAGGTGGCGAATCTCAATGGTGATTATTAAATGAACATATGCGCATGGAAACAAAAATTTAGAACAAGAAGTTAGCTGACTATTAACCATGCATCATGGTTATTTGATAAGAAAAATCTTTGGATAAGTATTTTCTGATATAAACCAATGCTTAGTTGATAAACTTGTAATTTTAGTGGTTAATATGTATATAGAGGAGTAAAATTTAAACTTCCGTCATCTTCTTTTGGAAATTCAGGACCGGCCCTAACTATAATGCAGTTTGAAATGTAAAATAATTAGTTCCCCTCTCGCAATATTTACTAATTGTTATTTGATGTAAAATTTATCTGTAAAGATGGAGCCTGGCCATAAACAAACTAGCTTTGAACAATTAGCTTTGCGATTTACATGACACGTGGAAAATTTGGCAAGGTAGGACAGATCTCATGATCAATGTGATAAAGAAAGGTAGGAAGGGATTCACTATGTCTTTTGTGTCGTTTTGACGAAGGAATGAATCTACTTGATATGGAGAGCAGCAATATTGGCTGCAAGTGTATAATATTATAGGGTAATAGTGGGAAAGGAAAAGAGTATCCAGACAATGTGTGTGGTGTGGAATAAGATATATGTTGAGCATTTCTACTCTAAATGACGCGCTTGATGATGCCAAAACGGGATGACAAATAAATAAATGTACAAATGAGGCATGAAGTGGAACACATGAACATGCAAACAGATTATTTTGTCCAGAATTGTATTGATCATTTTAAAGATAAGACGAAATAAACAGAGACTTAGCACTGCCCCTTAATAAATTATAATTTTCATGTAGATTTGATCTCGATGATAAGTTATCTCGGAAGTTTAACTATATATAGTTTTTCACCTTTTTTTCAATTAAAAGGGAAAACATACGGTCTTTATATTTGAATTATAAATAAAACTAATCGCCTTTCTCTCAAAAGGAAAAATATAAAGGAAAAAACATTAGAAGCTATTATATTATTAAACTAAAGCAACGAAGATTGCATTTCCTTCTATAAGATTTGACTTTTGATATGGAAAATAGACAAAGGTGGCTCATTCCTCCCAAGACTAGACAAAAGAATTTGCCTTTGACCATTTGGGTTGGTTTGGATATAGGTGGAAAAAGTACAACTTTTTGTTGCCACACCATGCAAATGGGCAACTTTTAATTTATTTAAACCAATTTACAATGTACTGCGATTAAACTAAGCAGTACCTTATTCCTCTAGGAGCTATTATAATACCCAAAGCGCAAGAGAAAAAGAAAAGAAAAGAAGAAGATAAAAGCACTCCCATTTATGCATATTGGATCGATCATTAGTGGTGCTCGGGATCTGGTCCTCCTGGTGAGCGTCTATCAGGAGAAGGGAGGTGTTGCACCCTTTGATAATGCGCAAGTAACTGATGCGAAAGACGTCGGCTGTCTAGTCGTACGACATGCGGTTTATCCATGGCCGGCTGCTGCCCTTCAACTATACGCCGTCCCTCGGTAACAGACCATAAAGCTAAGAAGATCACCAAGACGAGGGCCAACGTGCGCGCCATGCGAGCTATATAGGGTATAATTTATGAAGATGGGTTTAATTCACAAGGGAAAAATAAGGGCTACAAAAACTTATAATGCCGAGTGTAGAGGAAGTTGAGAGAGGGGGCCAAGTAGGTCAAATGATTTTGAGTGCCCTAAATTTATAGGGAAATTAAAGATAGTGGGGTCGAGGATAAAACATATTTGTGGTTTAGAATGACAAGATGGCCATGATCACCACCATACATGGTGTGGCTTTTAGCTGTGGATTATCTGTGTTTTTTTTTGTTTTTTGGCTCTTTCCTAGCTTTTGTTTTGTCTTCTATATCCTCATTGAACAATGCCCAAAACGACATGGACAAGGGTAAAGCTTAGTCATCATCTCCTATTATTTATTTCCACGCTTGTACATGATTGATTTTTAAATTAAGCCAGAGATCCAGCAAGAATATTAATATTAATGTATATATCCATTTACGGATTTGGAATAAATGTCAAAGTATCATGGTTCTGAAAAATAAGATACATATTTTCCAACGGTTTTAGTTTGCTGTGTGGATTCTTGTTCAGTGATTCAACTATAACCCATTTTTTGTCTTCTCTTCATTAATTTAACATTGTCGGCTATTGTTATCGATGCGTATATTCTTGTTAATGTATATAACACTATCCTTCATTTGTTGATCTCTCTCTCTCTCTCTCTCTCTCTGTGTGTGCAGAACATTATGCAGCTTCAGTAGTTGTCGCTATAACAAGATAAAAAATCATGACGAGAGCACCTTTTCGAAGAAAAAGACGCTATTCTGTTTGCCCAAATCACCTTCGTCCTAGAAATACGTTAAGAGATTGTACTAGTTACAAGAGTATCACTATTAACACTTGAGAGTCTAATAAAATCATCAAATAAAAGGAAATTTGTGCCTTAAGTAACCTGACTTCTAATCAAACCACTACGCTATGAGTGGCTGGGTCAGATTAATTTTTTTCTATGCCTTGATTGATAGGACTTGACAATTTACCTAGTGCAAATATGATCAAAGGAATCAGACCAAGTTCAAAAGAAATAGACTCAAAAGTAATTAGGGTTTAAACTGATATGTTTATTTTTCTCTCGAGGAATATATATATAATACATACATAGTGAGTACAAATAGGAAATATGTACAAAATCTCCTAATTCTACTTAAATGAGATAATTACAATAAAATATAAATTCTATTCATAATAGAATAAATTCTACTCCTAATAGGAACGTTGACTTTGACTCACGCCAACACTCCCTCTCAAGTTGGTGCATAGATATCGGTGATGCCCAACTTGTCAAGCGAGTCTTCAAATCAGCACTTTGACACGGCATGGGTCAACATATTTGCAAGCTGCTTTGAAGATGGCACAAAAGGTATAGAAATTAACTTAGCAATTTGAAATGTAGACTGACTATCACAGTAGAGCTTTGTAGCAGCATCCAGTCTAAACCTAATTTCAGTAAATAACCACCTCAACCACAGTATTTCACAAACCCCTTGGGCAATCCCTCTGTACTCAAACCCTGTAGAGGACTGAGACACAACATTTTGCTTTTTGCTACGCCTTGTAACTAGGTTATCGTCAACAAAGGTGAAGTAACCTTATGTAAAACATCTATCTGTAATATTCCATGCATAATTTGCGTCAGTGTAACCTTCTGGATCAAAGTGATCACTTTCTTAAATAATAAACCTCTCCTAGGAGCAAACTTTAAGTAACTTAGAATATGCATCACAGCAACCATATGATCCTCACTAGGTGAATGCATAAATTGGCTAGCAACGCTTACTGCATAGGCCATATTAGGGCATGTCAGTGATAAATAAATCAATCTCCCAACTAACCTTTGGTATCTTTCTTTTTAGTTGGGACCTGATCCACATAAATCCCAAGTTTATGATTCTCAACAATAGGTGTATCAGCTGGTTTACAGTCAAGCATTCTAGTATCTGCTAGCAGGTCCATAACATACTTCATTTGTGAAAGAAATAAGCCATATTTAGATTGAGTGACTTCCGCTCCTAGAAAATATTTCAGACTGCCCCAATCTTTCATCTCAAATTTAGATGCTAAACGCTTCTATAGTTCCTCGATTTCTACAGTATCATCACCATCACAATCATATCATCAACATAAATAATCAACAAAGTCACCTTACCAGCCCCATGTTTAATGAATATAGTATGATAACTCATACAAACCATGTCCGAGGAGACTGCTTTAACTCATACAACGCCTTTTTTAATCTGTACACGTTCCCCGTGTCACCGCTAACGCTATACCATGGTGGAAGACTCATGTACACTTCTTCTTCTAGTTCACCATGTAAGTATGCATTTTTTACATCAAATTGCCTCAGGGTCCAATCTAGGTTTACTGCTAAGGACGTCAAAACTCTGATAGTATTTATCTTAGCCATAGGTGCAAAAGTATCCTGATAATCAACTCCATATATTTGAGTGAACCCTTGGGCTACTAATCTTGCCTTGTACATCTCCACAGTACCATCTGCATTATATTTAACTGTAAACACTCATCTGCATCCTACAGGCTTCGTTCCTTTTGGTAGATCAACAATGTCCCATGTATTATTTTTCTGCAATGCCTCCATTTGAATATTCATAGCTTCAGCCCACTTTGGATCATTAAATGCCTCTTCAACACGGGTTGGAATTTTAATACTATCCATTTTAGCCACAAACGCTTTACACTCAGGAGATAACTTGTGATCAGACACATAATGGGCAATAGCATATCTTGCTTTGCCTTCTGGTGAGTAACGATTAGGTGAAACCCCACGGTTCTGTCTAGGCAGTAGAACATAAAAATTATCAACAGTATGAATATAAGTACTTACCTCAAGAATATCCAAGGGAGCTTGATCATGTACTATTAGATAAGCTTCAGGAGGGTAATCAGTTCAGTGACAGCAGCGACATCAGTTAAAATATCAGGTTCAGTTGGTGTTGCAGGTTCTGCCAATGTAGCAAGTTCAGCAGGTTCGGTCGGTTCTCCCCTTTGTACCAAACAATTCAAACCACTCCCCCTTGTAAATCTAGCCAGTTATGTCATTCACTACTAGTTTCCCCCTAAAAGACATGCTCGGGTGTATAAGAGAAGAACATTTCATCCTCAATAAAGGTAGCATCCATAGAAACATATAGACATTGGGTTGTAGGATGATAGAACTGGTAGCCTTTCTGATGAGGAGAAAAACCCAGAAAGACACAGCAGGGAGCACAGAGGTCCATCTTACTCCTCTGATTCTGATGGAGGTGAACACAGAAGACACAACCAAACACCTTTGGAGACAGAGACAGCATAGAAGAGGCAGAGATATGATGGGTCAGTACCTGCATAGGAGTTTGGAAATCCAAAAATTGTGAAAATAGACTGCATATTGAACAAAATCCATTCAGAACCGCTTTGGAACTGACGTACCAAGCAGTAGAGCACGAGTAACAGCAAGGATCTGCCCATTTTTACATTCAGTAACCTCATTCTACTGTGTTGTTTGAAGGCAAGTAGTCTCATGAAGTATACCCTTAGTGTGAAAAAATGGGATAATGCCAAATTAACAAATTCTCCACCATTATTAGATCGAAAAACCTTGATAGAGAGCATAAATTGAGTATGAACACTACGACATTTTACTATTTGCGCGACGAAGTCAATTTCGTCGCGCAAAAATAATTTCAGTCGCACAAAATTCAGCGCGACAAAAACTTTGTCGCGAGTAATCCGTCGCGCAAAGATCGTGAAGAAAGACTTTGCGTGACAAAAAATGTTGCTTGGTCACAAAAACTTGAGCGACGGTTGACTTTCGTCCCACAAAAATTTTCGGGATGAGAGAGTTTGTCGTCGCACAAAACTTTGCACGACGATTAATCCTTCGTCGCGATAACAACGCGCGACGGTGGCCGTGAGTCGCATTAAAATGTAGGGACGAGGAAATACTTCGTGCCTCAAACATTTGCGCGACGAAGTGTTTGGTTCGACGAAAATCCATTAGTCGCATTTCAATTTTTGTGCGACGAAATATTTCGTCGCTCAAAAGTAAAATAAATTTTTTTGAAATTTATTTTTCCGTTTTTTATTTTGTAAAAAGTGAATTGCTGACGAAAAGCATTTCGTCGCGCAAAAAATAAATATTATTTTTAAAATTTTATTTTGACCTTTTTTTGTGTGTTTTTTGGGTTACATTTTGACAGGTTTTTTATTTTGTAAAAAACAGAAATTTGGTTGTTTTTTTTTGTTTTTGTTTGTAATAAAATGAAATTGCTATAAAAAATATATATAATGAAGAGAAAAAAATATTTGTAAAAAGAATATAAATGTATTTAGTACAAGATCAATGTTTCAAATGTAAGTGAAAAAACTAATCGAAAAGAGTTTGAAAATCTACATGGTCGTCTTGCAAATGCGGCTCGGAGGTCTGGACATTATCGACAGGGGCAAGAGTGTGGTGGCTAGGCTCGGGTTGGAGGGGCTCGGAGGTTGACGAAGGACCAACATGTGGTATAGGAATGTCGAACCGGACGATGGACTGTAGAATCTGTGACATCTGGGTCCTAAGCTCGGCCACCTCTGCCGTCAAAGCAGTCACCTGACTGTTTGACTACGACGAGGAATGGGCTCTAGGTTCCCGCCGGCGAGCATTCCCCATCCCTCGACAATATGTCCTGGGCCTCCTCCTAAGAGTCTTATCCAAGGTCTTGATTAGGATCTGAAACCTTGCATCATGTGGAGGATCCACAGACTCGAGCGGAGTATCGGGAGGAAGTTGGGAGGCGGACTCCTGAAGAACCAACTGGCTCTTCTCCACCATCGTCGTCTGTTTAACATAACATAAAATATTAATTACAACATTCATATAATAACCATGAAACATGAATGCGTAAAATAATAATTAAAATAAAGAATCCTTACATGAAGTTACTCAGCCAACTCATTCCCAGGTCGAACATAAACGTCGCCAAAGACGTCGATCTCTAGGAATTTGGACCCCCCCTTAATTGAACAACAGAAGACAAATGTTAGTACAAAAGAAAAAACAAATTATAATATTAATGACATATTAAAAATTGAATATAAAAGATTTTATTATTACCCGCCGTCGTGCATCCATCCTATATGAGAAGGGCCTGGAACCTGAATGGTGGAGAAGAGTCTTCTTGTTCCTATTGCCCTTACTTGCTTGGGCCCTTTTGTTATACAAAAAATGAGTGTATTAGTTGAAAGTGAAAGGAAATATAAAAAAATTAAATAAACATTAATAAGAAACGTATAATAATTTTGAACTTAATATAAAAAAATACCACATAATCGGCCTCCTGAAAATGGCCGCAGAGCTGCACCCAACTATCCTCCTGCCCCTCAAGCTCCTACGGGCAACCCTCATGTAGAGCGACCTGCGGATCATCAAATGTTTGAAAATAGTGGTGCAAGTCGCTCTTCCACTGCTTGTACCTCTCAGCAAAGAGTCTGTTGACGTACGCCAACGACTCGTCGTCGAGGTCTTCTAAATTGTAGTTGGTCTGCAATAAATTAATTTCACACATTAAGTAATAGAAATATCTAAAGTTTGAAGGAAAAACAATTAAAAGGTAGGATACATACCGACAACTATCCGCGCACCTCCATTCTCGTCTCGTCAGGCATGACATTCCAAGACTTCCATTTCATCGGGCAATGGGCCCGATCGACATGACCAATGTCGTGGGCCAATGAGCTATGCAATTCTGCCGTTGCTGCAGCCCGATGCCGCTCGTCGTATCCGATGTTGATACCACTGTTGGTCACCCGGGTGACCTTCGCCGTCTTCAACTACTGACAAGGCCCCCGGGTGTTCTTCTTGGCTACAAAGAAATATAAAATTAAAGTTAAATAAAAAATTCTACTATAAAATATTGGTCCAAAACAACTGTAGTTCAAGGAATCTTTACCTGGTTGTGACCCCGACGCACCCGTACCGTCTGTGGAGGTTGTGTTGGTCGTGCTGGGGGGGCAATGACGACGCCTGGCACTAACAGGTTGCGCCACAGATGATGTTGATGACGACGGTGCAGGGGAGCCCCTAGGACCAACTAGCATGTGGTCCATCTGTGCTAGAGCAGTGGCAGCTGAAGGCTGAGTCGGGGGAGGCGACATCTGTGCAGTCGTCACCGCCTTACGACTTCTAATAAGGTTTGACATCTGCACAATTGAACAAGCATCCAATGTGAAAAACATAGTTACTTTAATATGGTCCAAAACCATTTACACATTTATTTCAATTTTTTTGAATACAAAAGGTCATGGTCATCGTCAAAGTAATTGAAAAAATAGGAACCCATTCAAGAAAAACACAAAATCCTAACAAACCATCAGACTATTAGCACATATTACTGTATAATATATTGATTTTTTTGTTTTTTTTTTTTTTTTTTTTTTTTTTTTTTTTTTATTACATTTTACACTTTGTGCGATGAAGAGAATTTCGTCGCGCAAAATACATTGTAGTCGCACAAATTTCAGCGCGACAGAAACCTCGTCGCGCAAAGATCGTGAAGAAAGACTTTGCACGACGAAGTTTTTTCATTGGTCGCGCAAAGCGACTTTGCGCGACGAAAAAATATTTGTGCGCAAAGTGACTTTGAGCGATGAAAAATATTGGTCACGAAAAGCTTTTGTGCGACGAAAAAATTAAAAAAAAAATTCCCGCGTCCCATATTTTGTACCCATCCAAATTTTTAGAGTTTTGCGTGACGAATACTAATGTTGAGCTATTTGCGTGATGAAATATTTTGGTTTTTGACTTTTGGTTTTATTATTTCTTTAATATTAATTTAATTATATTAATTATTTCAAATTTTTACTTTTTAAATTTAATTTAATTGTATGATTTTTTTCGTTACTTGAATTTAAATTGATATTAATTTAATTATATTAATTTATTCAAATTTTTACTTTTTAAATTTACTTTAATTGTATGATATTTTTTAATTACTTTAATTTAAATTGACATATGAAAAATAAAATTACATATGAAAAATAGTGATCAAATTATCCAATAAATATATATATAATATTCAAAATGTACACATAAATTAACAAAGTACAATAATAAAATCCTAATACAAGCGTATTGTGGTGGTAGTGGAGGATGATATGTTTTGATAGCTTCCTAATCCTCAACTTTAGCCGTCAAATTCTCGATGATTCCCTACCAAAAAAAAAAAAAAAAGGATAATCTCCCCTAAAATTGTTATACCACAAATCCAACCCAAACTCCAATCCCTCCCCTTTACTCAACCCCAAACCCCACAAAAACTCAAAACTAACTCCAAAAACACATATTAATGAAAAAAAATTTAAAATTTGGAGAGAATATACCTTTTGGCAAAATTGAGAGTGAGTGAGTGAGAATGAGAGAGAGAAGTGAGTGTGAGAGAATTAGAGAAGATAGTGATAGAGAGATGAGAGAGTGAGTGAGAGTGAGAGATAGTGAAAAGAGAGATGAGAGAGTGAGTGAGAGTGAGAGATAGTGAAAAGAGAGATGAGAGAGTGAGTGAGAGTAAGAAATAGTGAAAAGAGAGATGAGAGAGTGAGTGAGAGTGAGAGATAGTGAAGAGAGAGATGATGAGAGATTAAGTGAGAGGAGTGAGTGTGAGAGAAATGGTGGGATTTGGGGAGAGGGAAAGAGAGAGGAGAGGTAAGAGTAGAGAAAGATATTGAGAAAATGGTGGAGGAGTTATTTTCATTTTAAAAATCGTATTACTTTGCGCGACGAAAAATATTGAAGTATTGGTCGCGCAAAACTTTGCGCGACGAAATATATTGGTTGCACAAAGTAAAAAAATAAAAAATAAAAATCCCGCATCCCATTTTTTGTACCCGCCCAAATTTTGAAATTTTTGCGCGACGAAAAATACATATTGATCGCGCAAAGTCTAAAAAATTATATAAAAAAATTCCCGCATCCCATTTTTGGTACCTGCCCAAATTTTTGCGCGACGAAAAATATATATTGGTCACGCAAAGTCTAAAAATTTTCTTTTTTTTATAAATCCCGCGTCCCATTTTTGGTACCCATCGAAATTTTTAGACTTTTGTGCCACAAACTGTTGGTCGCGCAAACTTTTGAGAGACGAAAAATTGGTTCGTAGCACGATTTTTATAAAAATAATTGCTATGAATAATAAAAAATAAATTTATTTTATTTTAAGATTTAAAATATAAATAAGGTTAAAGCTACTTAATAAATGTATATACTATTCAATTTCTTAATTGTTATACGTACAAAATAAATAAATTTAAAGCTACTTAATAAGTAAATAAATATATATATATATATATATATACACACACACCATTCAATGATCCAACCATCAAACTTGTTTATATATACTTCAAGATTGTATACCCCAAAAATCGCAAAAAACAAACATTCAGAGACCTAATAACGGGACAAAAAATTTCAACGGTCATAAATGAAAAATCACGATTTAACGGTTATTTTAACTCCGATTTTGATGATTTTTTACAACTACACTCCTTGACCCTATATGAATACAATGAACTGATTCAATCGTCAATTTAAAATATTTACACTAGTAGATACCACAAAATCTTATGTTATTTTTAACAAAAGTATAAATAAACTCTTAATTGTTAGTGAATATATTGTTTTGATGGCATACGCATTCTACGAAACTAGTTTCAACGATCCAACCGTCAAACTTATTTGTTTATACTTCGAGATCATATAAGCCAAAAATTGGAAAAACTAAACATTCAGAGATTAAGTAATGGGACAAAACTTTTCGACGGTTATAAATGAAAAATCACGATTTAATGGTTATTTTAACTCCGATTTTGATGATTTGTTACAACTACACTCTTTGACCCTATATGAATACAATGAACTAATTCGATCGTCAATTTAAAAAATATATTTTCTAACAAAAACCCAATCCGAACAACAATAATATATTTTTCTAACAAAAATCCGATCCGATCTAAAATAATAAATTAAAAGCTACTTAATAAAAATATATATACCGTTTAATTTCTTAAGTGTTATGCATACAAAATAAAAAACAAAAATAAATTGGTTTAGGCAACGAAATGTTTGGATTACGCCATGCAAAGATTTTAAAAAAGAATTTATTTTATTTTATTTATTTTTATAGGGACTTTGCGCGACGAAGTTTATTGTTTTGTCACTCAAAGTCACTTTGTGCGACGAATTGTTTTTCATCGAGCAAAGTGACTTTGTGCGACGAATAGTTTTTCGTCGCGCAAGACTTTGCGCGATGATGTATTGTCATCGCGCAAAAGTTTGTCGCGCAGAGTGACTTTGCGCGACGAAAAACTATTCGTCGTGCAAAATTTTGTCGCCCAAGGTTTTGCTTGACGAAGTTTTGAGTTTCGTCGCACAAAGTGACTTCGAGCGACGAATAATTTTTCGTCGCGCAAGGGTGATTTTTTACTAGTGAAGATAAACTTATACAGCAAACAAGAAAAATCATAAGCACATATGATAGAAAAATCAAAAGTAGTACCAAATCTCTAAAACCACAAGTGTTGAAAACTTATGAATACAACTCTAGTTCTTAAAAACTAACAGTAGGTCATATCCCCCCAAATAAATGCAACTCAATCCAACCAACCAACCAAAGCAAAAAACAGCAATACACTTACAAAACAGTCACATTTTTGCAGCTACAAAGCAATACCATGACAAAATCAGAAACACATGACAACAAACACAATTTTGCAGCTAAATCATTGAAACTCATCCCCACTGCATGTATCAGTTTTCTGTTATTTACGGCTAAACCCTCATGATTAATTGAAAAAAATTTAAATAAACAATGAAATGTATAAAGGGCTGCAAAGGAACGAATCAAACAGCAATACACTTACAAAATCACAAATCGAAGACCACAATGCTTGATCAACACCTCCAATCAAATCTGAAATCCAAAATAACAACCCAATACCACAAATAAATATATATATTCAAAGAGAAAAACAAAATCAGAAACGCATTTAAATATAATAACAAAAGGAAAAAATTTGCACCTTCATACAGACAGCAGCGGATGAGAGAGGGAGGCGATGGTGGTGACTTGTTTACAATGATGGGGGGTTTCGGTTAGAGAGAGAGGGAGAGAGTTTGGCTTGGAGAGAGTGGGGGAGAATTTCGGGTCAGAGAGGGGAACGGGAGAGAGGGTTTGTGCTTTGGTTAGGGGTCATCAAAGGGGGCGGCAAAGGCCTGGGAGGCGACGGAGAGGTCCGGGCGGACGTGTTAGGTCTGGTCTTGGGGCTTGACGTGGCCAGTGGTGGTGGTATGGAGGTTTGGGAGGGCACGGCTGGAGGAAGAAGGAGAGGCTCGTTCACGGGGGAAGAAGGAGAGTCAGAGAGTCTGAAAAAAAACGGCGGCTTTTTTCACATTTAGTCCGCCTAAAATTTTCGGCTCCTTTAGCGACGAAGAAGAACATCTGCGTTGCGCAAGGAAATATTTCCTAGCTTTCACGACCAAAAATGATACGTCGCGCAAAAAAAAACCCTAAATATTTACTCTTTTGGGACATTGCGCGACGAAGAAGACTATCTGCGTTGCGCAAGGAAATATTTCACATGTTGCGCAACCAAGAATATTTACGTCGCGCAAAACCTAAACCCTAAATATTTAGTCCAGCAAAAATTTTCGGAACCTTGAGCGACGAAAAAATTTATTTGCGTCGTGTAAGGAAATATTTCAGATCATGCGCGACGAAGAAGATTAACGTTGCGCAAAACATAAAAACTAAATATTAATGCCTACTTAAATTTTCGGTACCTTGCGCGACGAAGAATGACAGTTACATCGCGCAAAACATAAACTGTAAATATAAAATTGTAACTGCGCAACCAAGAACAATTACCTCGCGCAAAACCTCAACCCTAATCCCTAAAACGTGCAAATTTCCCACCCTAAACCTACACTGGCGTGACGAAGAGGCATTTATGCGTCGCTAAAGTACATATTTTCACAACTTGCGCAACGCAGAAGCTCCCGTTTCGTCGCACAAACCTACCCTAAACCTTTAAAAAAAAAATTAAGATGCCTTTGTATAGGATGTTCAAACCAAAAAATATTATAATAATAAAAAGAATAGGCTAGCATCTATATGAAAATAAAGAAAAATATACACTAATCTAATTTGCTAAGTTTTGAATGCATGCTTTGTCTATAATATTACCAATGAATTTGGATTAGAATATAACATTGTTAGAGTATTCCTAACTAACTTGTGTTCTTATGAATGATTCTGCTCTAAACATAAGTGTTTCTTGAAGTATATGTTGGGTTTTTATGGATGAAAATTGTAATTATGTCTAATTAAAAAAACTATATGATTATAAGTTACATTCCTAGAGCAAATTTTCATTACTATCAATATATATATATATATATATATATATATTTTTGGGAGCAAATTGCCATCATAATTAGAAGAACAACTTTTATAACTCTTCTAGTGCAAGCAACACTCTATAATCCATAAGCATCATCATTATGTTTGATGGTGACTGTATAAGACTAGATTAAGTGCTCACTCTATACTTTGTCATAGAGTTAAAATTACATGTAAATGAATGATAACATATATAGTGAAGTTTCGATAACCTCCTTTCACAATATCGTTTTGTATTTTTCTTTTTTCAAAGAAAGCTACTATTTAACTATTCTAAAATCTTGGAAAACATTTCGATGATTATATTTTTATTGTGAATTGTGATTAACATCATCTCACGGTAGATATGAGTGCAATTTGTCCGTCGAATTTCCTTATCATAGATTAGGAAATCATTTTACTAAAATTATTACCAACCAAACTAAAAAAAAATAATCTAACATGTAAGAGCTATCTCGTGAAATTTTGAATGACTGAACGGAATAAAACCCATTAATTCCATAAGTTAAACAGTTAAACTGAGACATAGCATTAATCAGAGAAGAATAAAAATGGCAAATTGGTTAATTAAGCATTTATCAATTCAATTTTTGTTTCCACCTGGGACATGGACACCGCTGTTTTGCGTACACAACTTTTCATCTCGTGCAGTCCCCAAAAACTTGACGCCGTTAACATGGCAACCCGAGAACAATTTAGCGCGAATCGGCCCGAATGCCAAGTTATATAACTCTTCACTGTAAGTGGGGGAATTCGATGATTTCAATTTATTCACCTAATATTATACAAAAACATTCACATGTTAGTTTTAGAAAATTAAATACTACAATATATATGTCAAATACAAAACACTTATAACTTACATATTCCAAAAACCATTGTGGAAACAATTCACGGTGTTTATTGGCATACAAATGTGATGGATGTTCTCGCTTTATCATCTGTTCATGCTCAACTAAGCATGCCATTATCTCATCACAATTGTTCAGTACGAACTAATGTGCTATCTCCATGTCATTTCTGGAAAACGACTCTCCTCGTGCAGGATCTCCAAAGGGTCGTGCGCTTTGGGCGAAAACAGAAAGTTTCTTATTTCTCACACCTCCATCAGTATTGTGCTGAGGTCGATTGAAAGCCATCTCCACATCTTTTAAATACATTCCACAGAAAGTCAACGACTCATATTGAACCCAAGCCTCTATAATTGATCATCCGGGCTTCGTCCTGTTGCGAACAGTATTTTTCAGCTCTCCGAGAAGCCTGCAAAAAAAAATGATACGACACAAATTAGCAAGCATGGGATAAGGATGGATAGACAAATGATAAGGATTATATACCTTTCTATTGGATACATCCAACGATAGTTCATAGGACCAGCAAGCAATGCCTCTTCTGGCAAGTGAACCATCATGTGGATCATACTTGTGAAGAACGTTGGAGGGAATATCATCTAAAACTTGCATAGGACTTGGACAATGTCATGCCGCAACTGATGAATGTCTGTCTTTCGCAACGTATTTACTGTCAGTTGGGAAAAAAATCTGGACAGCAACATGATTGGTTTGACTACATCTTCCTGCAATAAGTGTCGAATACCCACAGGAAGTAGGCGTTGCATAAATACATGGCAGTCATGGCTCTTTAGTCCAGCAAATTTACCCCCGTCAATATTTACGCAACGTGCGATATTAGAAGCATACCCATCGGGAAACTTAACAGACGATATAAACTTTAGAAAATCTTTTTTGTCATTCGGTTTCATGAAAAAAAATGCAAGATCCCTTATAGCTTTATCACTGTCCCTATTCATCCATAAACCCCTTCGTATGCCCATTCTTTCCAAATCAAGATGAGCTTTGATCGTGTCCTTTGTCTTGCCCTCGATATCTAGAATCGTGCCTACCAAAGTGTCGAATACATTTTTCTCAACATGCATCACATGTAGATTGTGCCTCAATTTAAGTTTCGACCAATATGGGAGCTCAAAAAACATAGGCTTATGCGTCCAGTTCAAATGTGTAGAAGGTCTGGTCCGAGTAACTATTTTCCCGAATTGAGCAAAATCCAAACGGTTAAGTTGTTCCAAGATCTCATGACCAGACCATTCTCTAGGTCGAAGGCGACGATCTGTGTTCCCGTCGAACTCTTTATCCTTTTCCCGCCACTCGGGGTCCCATGGCAACCATCTCCGATGACCAAGGTAAACAAACTTTTCCAGCGTGCCAATCAGAAGTTACATCTTCCTTGCATACAGGGTATGTCATATAACCCTTTGTGCTCCACCCAGAAACCATTGCATATGCGGGAAAATCATTCACAGTCCACATAACTGCTGCCCACAAAGTGAACATCTTCCCCGTGGATTTATTGTACGTGTGCACACCGTTTGTCCATAAATCCTTGAGATCATCAACCAACAGCCTTAAGTAAACATCGATTGACCTGTCAGGATCCTCAGTTATCAAAACAGTCATCATTATGTATTCTTTTTCATGCATTTCCAAGGCGGCAAATTATATGGGAATACAAAAATCAGCCAAGTGTTGTGGTGTTGGTTTAGAATCCCATACGGATTGAATCCGTCCGTGGCAAGTCCGAATCTAACATTTCGGGAATCAGCAGCAAACTCGGGGAATGTTCGATCGAACTCTTTCCATGCCTCCCTATCTGCAGGATGACACATCACATCGTCGTCTACCCGTTTTTCCTTATGCCATCTCATGTCTGTGGCAGTATGAGTCAACATATACAATTACTGTAGCCTAGGTTTCAAGGGCAGATAACACATGAATTTTTGTGGGATCTTAGTCGTTCTATTCTAAGATGTCATCTTGAACCTCGACTCTTTGCATATAAGGCATGTATCCAATGTTTCATACTCTTTGTAGAATAACATGCAATTGTTTTTGCAAGCATGAATTTTTTTCATAACCCAATCCAAGACGATTCAACACCTTTTGCGCGTGTCTATGGTCTTTCGGCAAACAATTGTCCGTCGGAAGCATTCTCTTGAAAACCAACAAAAAGTAATCGAAACACCAGTTCAACATATAATACTTTATTTTTCCGTGCATTAGCTCCACAATGGCCGTCAGAACGGAAAAGCTCTCGCACCCCGGGTATAACTCTTGGTTTGCATGTTTTAACAGTTGTTCATATTGTTCAAACTCTGCACTATCCATTGGGGTAGGCACGTCATCTTCCTCTTCCTGATTAATGTTGGTCGATGGAAATGGAAAAGCATCATTTATAATATCCATGACTTGTTCATTGGGATCCACAATAGGTTCAACATTGTCCACCATTGTGACATTTCAAGACGAATCATTGTCTAATTGTTCCCCGTGAAGGTTCCAAATGCTATATGTCTCAATCATTACATTCCTTATTAAATGAAATCCAACATTTTCAATTGTCTCAAACAATGTGTTGTTACACCTCCTACAGGGACAACGGATTCTAGTTGCACCCGAGTTGTGTCTACGTGCAAACTCAATAAAATCCTCGATTCCATCCAAGTATTCGTCTGCGCTTCTATTCGGGTTCTGTATCCACCTCCTGCTCATAATTCCTGAAACCACAGTCACAACACAACAATCACAACAACTTCATACGAAGTTATAATGTCACCTTATGCCTCCGGTAAGGGCCCTATCCCATTCAGGAATGCATAGTCCTGTCACGTAACCTACGGCTACATGATATTAGATTTCGACGTGGATGAATTTTGGCAGCATCTCGATATAGTTCTTGAGGTGGGCATAGGTATAAATACCTACGTACCACCTGAAGAACGTACCGCGATGACACCGAAATCTCCACATTCGAAACCTAATCTTGTAGCCGTAGATTACGTGATAACACTATGCATTACCAAACTGTCCAAATAATGAGACAATTCAAGAATTAATTGGACCGCAGTCATGCTTTAAGCATCCATGTACGACATCCAATTAATCTCGAACAGAAAACTAAGTGTTACTAAAACATAATGATAAAAGTACGAAGTTAATTTCAATTAACTTCGTACATCACAACACATTGTGCTACGTCACGCACAATTTAAAAACATAATATAAATATAATATCACCCAAAAAAAAAAATTAACATAACAAACTAAGTTTAACATAATGTAATTAATTTTATATTCTTAAAATATAAAGCAAATAAAATACCTTCTCAAGCGTTCTCCACCAATCGCTAATTACAAATATCCCTACAGAGAAAGAAATTAATAGCATTAGTATGAATTTACATTAATACTTTTAAACTAACGACAACAAATAATACTTACCCAATAAATGTATTGAACTCTTGACAAAAGCACAACAGAAGCAAAGGTCTAGTGTAGGCAGAGTTTTTTTTTTTTAAGTCTGCCTCTACAATGGCAGAAAATAGATTATAAGAAGGATTTTGCGCGACGAATATGGGTTCGTCGCGCAAACAAATCATTTTCGCTGTGCATGTGGTCCATTATGTCACCAAAAATATTATTTTCGTCGCGCAAAGACTGATGTCAACATCAGACTTTGCGCGGCAGACAAATTTTTTGTCTCTCAAAATTTCATCGCTCAAACTCCAACTCTTGTCTCACAAAATACAAATTCCGTCGCGCAAAAGGATATTTTCATTGCGCGTAGACGTGCCGACATCGAACTTTACGCGATGAGGTGCCGACATCGAACTTTTCGCGACGAGAAAAATTTCCGTCTCACAAGTATTTGGCGGCAAATAAAAAATCCAACGTTCTCTTATGCGACTACATATATTTTCGTCACGCTAAGTATTCTTTTGCAATGACATTTTGTGTCGCGCAAGTGTTTGGCGCCAAATAAAATAACCCGACGTTTTTGGCTAACTTTGCGCAACGATAATGTTTAATGTTGCGCTAGGGTTCCTTTCGCAACGATATTTGTCGTCGCGCAAGATTTTGGCACCAAATAAAATGAATGCAGGTATTTCTTCCCAACTTTGCGCGACGATCACGATTTTGGTGGCGCTAATAGTTTTTGCGCGACGAATATTTTTGTCGCGCAAGTTTTCAAATATAAAATTATTATCTGCAATATTTTGCGCTACGATTTATTTTTCTCGTCGCGCAAGAATCATTTGCACGACAAATTTTTTGTCGTTGAGCAAAGTGTCGTCACGCAAGTAGTAAAATGTAGTAGTGGAATCATCTAATAGAAATGCTGAAATATTTCGGCCATATCATTTTTATTTTTCATCTCATATAACCACATCATACGAGTGCAATCATCCACAAATAATACAAACCAGCGAACTGCCAAGACTGTAGAAACAGGAAAAGGTCCCCAAATATCAGAATGAACTAAATCAAATAAAATAAGCCGTTTATTAAAACTTGGAGGGTAGGATACCTAATGACTCATAGCTAAAAATTAATACAAGTATGACATTGGAAAGCAGACTCATTGACACCACTAAATAATGCAAGAAACAAATGCCGTAAATATCCAAAGGAGGCATGACCAAATCGGCAATGTAGAAACCAAATTCGGCGATGCTGAGAAGTTTAAGCGCTACTAGCACGAAGAACCCAACTAGTTGCCACATCATCCACATAATAAAGCCCTCATTTTTTAGTACCATGACTAAAGATCTCCCAAGTCTGGATATCTTGTAGGAAGACAAAAGACGGATACATCAGTACAACGCAGTTTAACTATTCAGTAACTTGCGGCACAGAGAATAAATTACTAGACAAAGATGGAATTAGTAACACTTGTCCAATGTTAAAGCAGGTGTCAAGAGTATAGAACCAGCCCCCATGTAGGAGCATCAACATTATTAGTAGTCAGAACATTAACACGATGAGGCGAAAGAGTGATAGAGAATAAAGCAGAATTATACGTCATATGGTCAATAGTTCATGGATCAATAATCCAACTTGTATCGTGTGGGGCATGGAAAGCCTTGCCAAAGTTACTTGGAGGCGGTGGTTTTAGAGTGCTTGAGATCACAGTCAAGGTCGGAGGAGAAGGAGTAGTAGTAAGGAGGCTGTGCCCAGTGGTGACGTCACCCACAGAAGTGGCAGCAACAGCCACATGAGCTTTGTCATGAAGTTGTTCCTTTTTTAAATGCCTCTGCTCCTTCTCCTAATTTGGTACCCCATGCAATGCCCAGCAAGTGTCAATATTATGTCTCTTTTCACCATAGTGATCACATTTTAGTTTGTCTTTTTCTGCAGAAGTCAGGAGACGAGGTAGAACAACAGAAAAGCCAGACCCTATAGGCAAAGAAGCCAAAGCAGTGTTTTTGGAAGCAAACGAAACAGCAGGCTCCCCAATCTTGATGCCGGGTCCAAGCATTGTAATTTGGCATTAAGCCTCTCAATGGACCATAAAAAAATACAATTTCGATACTTGGAACTTTACCACTCCATAGAATATCACTACGGACCTTGTCATAAGTATCGTCAAGGCCAGCCAAAAAAATCATACACATGATCTACCATAACAGTAGCCTGAAAAGTCTTCATATCATCATCACACTTCATCTGAAAATGATGTCTCTTGTCCAATTCAAGCTAGATTGCCTTAAGTTAGGCAAAATAGGTAGAAACAAGACAACCCTTTTTCTTGAGACAGGTAGCCTTGCACGATAGTTCATAGAGTTGGGATATGTCAGAGCCATCAAAAAACATTTCATTAACAACATTCCAAATTTCCTTAGCAATAGGTAGAGTATAAAACATATTCAACAAACTGGGTTTCATAGTTTGCAGCATCCAACTTTTCACAATAGCATCAACAATTTTCCACTTCCCAAATTGTAGGTCTTGGGAATCAGGGGCATTAGCGTCGCCAGTTGGGCAACCCAATTTGCCTTGTATAGTAGCATGTAGTTCGATCATCAAAGCCCATATCTCATTGTTGGATCCATTTAATTTGAATCTCATAGGTAGATTGGTGGACGATTCTATATGAACCATCACAATAGGAGTAGAAGAAGAAGATTCAGTGACATCCGGCATGGTGATACATGGCGGCAGTAGAAGATTAGGTAGCGACGACGACAATAAGAGGTATGAGATTTGCGCAGGCTTTGGTGTATGGGTGGCACAGGTTTAGGTGTATAGGCTAGGTGCAATGGAAATAGGTATTTTTTAGGATTAGGGTTTTGATGTTGTAGAGATGGATCGGAACCTGCTCTGATACCAACTCAAAAGTAATTATAGCAGGTTCCGATCCATCTCTACTACATACAGAGTGGAGTGTAATTGTACCCACTCTGTATGTAGTGTAATTGTAGAGACGGATCGAAACCTGCTCTAATACCATAGTTTTGATGTGTTTATTCTTCTCTAAATGAGGAATATATACACTATATACAAAGTGGGTACAAATAGGAAATATGTACAAAATCTCTTAATTATACTCAAATAAGATAATTACAAGAACATATAAATTCTATTCATAATAGGAACAAATTCTACTCCTAAAAGGAATGTTGACTTTGACTCACGCCAACAAATAGAGAACAAGATCTGACCAATTATAAACCTATAATAGATTCCGAAGATAAAATAACATAAAAGATAACGATAAATCCTACTACATAAAGATAAAATAACACAAAGAATAAAAATTAAATAATAGAACTAGGATCTGGATGAAGAAATGTTAATTCAGATGGCCTGGAATCACCAAAATTATCAAGAATTATAGTTGGAATTGATCATAAAATAAAAATCACACCACACAAGATTCTGGCAGAGAATTCTTCAGGAAAAGAATGAAATCTTGAGGGAGTGGTACACTGGTAATCTCAAAAAATGTATTGAAATCTGTTTGGAATCTATGCGATCAATTTATTCAGACGGGTAATTGTGAATTATAATTTTCATCTAGATTTGATCTTGGTGATAAGTTATCTTGGAAGTTTAACTATATATAAAGTATTTCACCTTTCTTTCAATTAAAAGGAAAAACATACAGCGTTCATATCTGAATTATGAATGAAACTAATCGCCTTTCTCTCAAAAGGAAAAAACATAAAGAAAAAAAAAATGTAGAAGCTATTATATTATTTAATAACTAAAGCAACGAAGATTGCATTTCCTTTTATAAGATTTGACTTTTGATAGGGAAAACAGACAAAGGTAGCTCATTCCTCCCAAGACAAGACAAAAGAATTTGCCTTGACCATTTGGGTTGGTTTGGATATAGGTGGAAACAGTACAACTTTTTGTTGCCACAGCATGCAAATGGGCAACTTTTAATTTATTTAAAGCAGTATACAATGTACTGCGATTAAACTAAGCAGTACCTTATTCCTCCAGGAGCTATAATAATACAAAAGAAAAAAAAAAAAAAAAAAAAAAAGATAAAAGATAAAAGCACTCCCATTTATGCATATTGGATCGATCATTAGTGGTGCTCGGGATCTGGTCCTCCTGGTGAGCGTCTATCAGGAGAAGGGAGGTGTTGCACCCTTTGATAATGCGCAAGTAACTGATGCGAAAGACGTCGGCTGTCTAGTCGTACGACATGCGGTTTATCCATGGCCGGCTGCTGCCCTTCAACTATACGCCGTCCCTCGGTAACAGACCATAAAGCTAAGAAGATCACCAAGACGAGGGCCAACGTGCGCGCCATGCGAGCTATATAGGGTATAATTTATGAAGATGGGTTTAATTCACAAGGGAAAAATAAGGGCTACAAAAACTTATAATGCCGAGTGTAGAGGAAGTTGAGAGAGGGGGCCAAGTAGGTCAAATGATTTTGAGTGCCCTAAATTTATAGGGAAATTAAAGATAGTGGGGTCGAGGATAAAACATATTTGTGGTTTAGAATGACAAGATGGCCATGATCACCACCATACATGGTGTGGCTTTTAGCTGTGGATTATCTGTGTTTTTTTTGTTTTTTGGCTCTTTCCTAGCTTTTGTTTTGTCTTCTATATCCTCATTGAACAATGCCCAAAACGACATGGACAAGGGTAAAGCTTAGTCATCATCTCCTATTATTTATTTCCACGCTTGTACATTATTGATTTTTAAATTAAGCCAGAGATCCAGCAAGAATATTAATATTAATGTATATATCCATTTACGGATTTGGAATAAATGTCAAAGTATCATGGTTCTGAAAAATAACAGTACATATTTTCCAACGGTTTTAGTTTGTTATCTGGATTATTGTTCAGTGATTCAACTAACCCATTTTTTGTCTTCTCTTCATTAATTTAACATTGTCGGCTATTGTTATCGATGTGTATATTCTTGTTAATGTATTACACTATCCTTCATTTCTCTCTCTCTCTCTCTCTCTCTCTCTCTCTCTCTCTCTCTGTGAGAGCACCTTTTCAAAGAAAAAGCTGAGCACGCTATTCTGTTTGGCCAAATCACCTTCGTCCTAGAAACAGGTTAAGAGATTGTACTAGGTGTTTTTTAGGAAAGAGATTGTACTAGTTACAAGAGTGTAACTATTAACACTTAAGAAAGTATAATAAAACGATCAAATAAAAGGAAATTGGGCCTCAAGTAACCGGACTTCTAATCAAACCACTACATTATGAGTGACTGGCTTAGATTAGTTCTTTCCTATGCCTTGATTGATAGGACTTCACAATTTACCTAGTGCAAATAAGATCAAAGGAATCATACCAAGTTCAAAACTAATAGAGAACAAGATCCGACCAAGTTTAAACACATTCTTCATGAAGGAAAATTTATGACTTATGCTATTCATTTGAACATAACCATGAATACATTCATAATCATTCATGAGTTGAAATACCAAATCTTTTACGTAAGTATCTTATAGGCCATGTGATTGATGCGCCATTAAACCTAAAACAAAACTCAGGAGAGGAAAGATATGAAATATACCTTTGGAGCGAGCTTTGAACCCCATCCAACTATTAGAAAATTTGGTGAAGCTTGATTCTTGATCTTCTCTGCTACACATTGTTCATACCTGGAATTTTTTTTTCCTTGGAGCCCGCAAAAAGAAAATTATGCGGCAATCATGCATTAGGGAGATGATTGAGCTAAAACAAACAGAAAGGCCCAAAGTCATAACAAAATTGAGAAATTGAGCCCAGAGTCCACGCCCGTGAAGTATTTGGACTCAACCCAAAGTGGCAGGTTCTGCCCAAGGATAAGAACATATTGCCATTCCAATATATCATCTCTATGATCCATAAGCATGAGGGCCAAATACTAGACCCAAAAGTGGCAAACGGGCCAAGGTCTTGCCCTAATTTGATTTCACGATGAAGCTCGACCAATGTCAAGGCTTGACGATTTGTTCCTCGGCTTATATAGCCTTATGACTTAAGATGATGGGTCATCAAATGACCCATTTATCTTGAGTTGGGTCAAAGACCCAATACCCACTAACATGGCCAGCCCTATGTGTTGTTTAGGCTTTGTTGGGCTTCTCACTTAAGTTGTATCATACAACTTAACTTTAAAAGCCCAATGGGTTCAAGCCCAATGGTTTCAATCCAAAGAGTGCTTTACTTAATGTACAATATAGTGCGTTCTAAATGGTGAGGCAGAAGGCGATACGTGAACTCTTCTTTATCGATTATGAACCCAGTTATGGAATGTCCTCAAGGCTTTCATAAATCATGGTTAACGATCTAGCAACACATGTGCCATGATTACCGTGGCCAAAATAGAATGTGTCAGAGAACCCATTCAGTTTGCATTACAATGCAATATGGTCGTTCTATTTTACAATATACTCTAGTTCACATTAATAGGATATAAAACTCATGTCAAATCCCTAATTTGAACATTCTCATCTTATATGATTCATTTGGGCATGATGAAACATCATTTCTCAATTAAGGCTCATACTCAAGCTAGAGATTATCGAATCATATCTTAGAGTATTCTCTCCCTTTACCGTAAGTCGAGATCCTTTATTGTACAATCACATGCCTTTATGAATAAATCAAGAGCCTGGACCATACCTTGGAGTCATGCCCCCAAGAGAACTTGACCATTCAGCATGATCAAATGTCTAAGTAGCTTCCATAAGACAACCATAGCACCTCAGGTCTAAAGACCAACTCTGCAGTATTGCAACTACAGAAATCTTATTTTACATGTGGATAAAACTTCCATACAATATTTCTAGGTCGATCACATTCAGTACACTTATTCTCTAATGAGCACCCATACACTTATCTTAGTGTCCACTACATGAATGATTGGAGACCAGTCATCCTCCTAATTGAGTAGATATAGTGCATGATGGTCTTTACGGATTGTCAATAATGTTGAGTTGAGCGATCCTATGACTAGGAACATTTTAGGGTATAAGTTTGAGAGGAAGGGTCTCCTGGATCTAACTTCTTTAAAACATTGTCCTCGTCTCATAGCCCAATGGACTTATTGTTCAACATGTTCAACATATATAGCTATCAATATTACACTTGTAAACATATACTTAAAGTCCACACCATTCTTGAGATAAGCTTCAATACATATCTTTCATTATACGGGTCTTCAGATACCATGTCGTCCGCAACAGCAATAAACCAGCCACTCAGAGACTGCATAAAACCCAACCTCTATCAAATGAAGAATGTAACAATTCTTGGAAACCAAGAACCTTCTTCTACGATTCTTATACTCTAAGTTTGTCTTAGGCATCGAAGGTCCTTTGGTTCATATGGTACAAAAATTGGGAGTGCAAATTACAGGTGAGACTCTGCCAAATTCGGTAAGAGTCAAATCATTAGTTTGTCCCAGGACATGAGTTAAAGAGAAGTTTAGCTACTGGACCTGAAATCAGGGTGGGTGTCGGACATTCTTGGAACTCTAACTTGGGTTGTAGATGGAATCCAGGGTGGATGCTGATAGCAAGGGAGGCCCTTTGTCTCATACCACATGTTGTGCTTAAGGACTCAATTGTCCTTCGTTTCTTGGTTTTCAAGATACAAAGGTGGTTTCATGATAGGATAATGCTAGGGAGACCATCTTTCTGTATCACAATTGTATACCATCTGATGTGGAAGATGATGTGGCATGCCAAATTATTTAATACAATTACATATATTTTAAATTTTCATTCTCCCCTAATTAATGCACCGATCCCGTAAGATTTTTTAAAAAAATTTCCTCTTCTTCCTCCTCCCTCTCACCCTTTTCATACGACAATTTCTTATCATCGGTTCAGTGTCGTCGAAAGTTCTCCTTCTTCACCATGGCAGGTGCATTCCATCGAATTTCTGACGAATGCAGCACCATGATTCATGCATCCCTTCCATTCTACGTTGTAGATCTAGATCTGAAGAGTGAGTTGAGATAAATAAATTGCTCTTGGAATTTGGTACACAATTGCTAGATCGCTCGTCCTTGTCTACAGTCGCCGTCGCTGAAGATGAGATGACGACGACGACGTGGGCAATATCATCTCTCACTATCTCTCTCCCTCTATTTCTAAGATGTTTTGATGCAACAGAAACTTACCATCGGTCTAAAAATGAAATGGAATCGCAACTAAAAAGATAACCCACAACAACTCACCTTCCCGGAAAATTCCCCGCCATGTTTTTCTTGTTTGGATAGGGTGATAATTTTGAAAACCCATCATGATTCCTTTCTGAGGGAGTCCATAAAGATATACAGTTTTTATCGGATTAGTTTGCTTTTCCACCACATTTTATTGGATTTTTTTTCCCCCTGCGAAATTGGCCACTAGTTGCAGGCCGTAAGGGACAAAGAACAAAAGATGGCAGCCAACATGAGGAAAGGGGTTGATTCTGTGATTTACACCAATGAAAAATCCAGCAATCATAAAATTGTTGTGGAGAAGACAGTGTAGGGAGAAGGAAGAAGAGAGTGTGGATAGAAAGATTCCTATCGGGTAATTGTGCTGTAATTAGGGGAGAATAAAATAGATTGAGCTGTATTTAATGACTTTTGTGCTTTATTTATTTATTTATTTTATTTTATTTGAGAAATAGATCATAAGGCCTTCTCCAACCCATGAGGGGCTAAACCCAAATTTCCCCCCTCCAAAAAGTGACTATTTTGGGTTTTGCCTCGACTCAAATTGTTTTTTCTCCCAACCCTACGGACTCAAATTTTGGTCCGCAACTTTATTAAATTGTTTAAGAATGGTTTAATTTTTTTTTTTTTTTTTTTTTTTTTCTTCTTTTTTTTTTATAATAACATCATAATTTAATTTTTTGAACAATTTGACCTAAAAAAAATTGAAATTCCATAATTTTTTTTATGTGCTTGAAATTGATATCAAAAGTATGAGAATGAAAGGAGATTGATGAGATTGATAAAGGAAAAATAAATTGAGAAATAGATAAAATGTTTTTGGTAGATTATTTGAGAAATGGATGGGTATTTATAGAGTTTGGAGTGAGTTTTGGCGTTGGATCTGACCTAGATTAATTTATTTTTTTAATTATTATTTTTGACCGTTGGATTTAAATTTCTGCCGTTTTTTTTTTTTTTTTTTTTTTTTTTTTTTTTTACCTAAATAGCTTAGATTTAATCTAGATCGTTAATTTAAAGTTACTATTAGAATTTTTTATTTAAAAAAAAACAGATTGTTTAAAGCCCCAGCAATACTATTTAAAAAAAAAAAAAAAAAAAAAAAAAAAAAAAAAAAAAAGGAACAACAAAGCCCATTTATAGAGCTTGTAGTGCTGACACGTGGCTTTAGCCACAGCTAAAGCCCATCAGAAAATGTCAATAGTGGGTCCCACCAATTTTCAGAATCACATGGCCTCAGCCACCTCAGCGTGGGGTCCAGCAAACAGTATTGGGTCCAGGCAATGCTTGGACCCATATTTGGGTCCAAATTTGGGTTTTCCCAAATTTTGGGTCCTTCATTTTGTTGAGTTGGGAGAGATTTTGGGGGATAATTTGGGTTTGAGTCCTTGCATTGGAGATGGCCTAACATTGCATTAAGAGATAAGAATAACATCATTAGTGAGAATAAGAGACAACCATTCAGGTCCATCTTCCATCCAAACTATAAGGTCCGAAATAGGAAGTGCAAACTGTGCGAGGCTATGAGCGGCGCGATTACAAGTACGAGGTCGAAACTGACCAAAACAACTATGAAATGAATTAGCCAAAACTTGAATTTCATTTACTAAGACTCCTTCGTGCTTTAATTAGGGAGAATAAAAATTTAAAATATATGTAACTATATTAAATAATTTGGCATGCCATATCATCTTTCACATCAAATGGTATACAATTGTGGTACAAAAAATATGGTCACTCTGGCATTACCCTTCACGATATTAAATGTATCCCATTGCTATCTTGCCATGTGTCATTTCATCTAATTTCCTTTTTTTTTCCAAATATTTTTCAATTATACAATTTCACCAAAAATTCATTTAAAAAATGCTACGAAATCCTAGTATACCATATACTTCCATTCTATAACATTAAATTTATATTATTTCGTGAAAAAGAATTAAATTATTTTCGAAGCATTTCTAAAGACTAGAAACAAAAATAATAAATAATAGATGATTGTAAAAAATTCCCAAATAATATCCTCATAATTTCTAAATGACAAAGCAAAAATCATATTCTTGCATATAGAAACTGGTTTTGAGCATTAATCAAAGACTGATAAATAGTAAGGAAATAACAAAAGAAACCTTCTCCTTACGAAAAGAACTACGTACTGTTGTTGATTATTAAAAGAAGAAAAAAAGAAAAAAAAAGAGCCTTCTTTTGGTAAAATTAGGAAGAGCCGTGATATGGAAAAGAACTTCTCTCTTGCATGTAACTAGAATACAGTGAAGCGTTTTTCTGGAGCACATGCACTTCAAACTAATCCTCCACAATCAAATAGAGGAATTACAAATCTTATGTGACATTTCAAGTTTCCCATGGAATATTTTTCAAGATTGATTCAGTTTCAGTGATGAGCAGGGTCGGGTCCTCCAGGACTTCGTCGCATTGTGTGGTAAGGGCTTCCAACAACCACTGCATCATCTTCTTGAAACCTTAGCTTGTGTTCTTTTGATCGTTGAAACAATTGTCTCAATAATATGCTACTTATATTCTTCCTCTCTAGATTGGGGTCCAGGGGACGACTTTCTGACCTAGAAACGATGAGGAAAACCAAGGCAAGGCATAAGTAGAAATTCAGGCTTGCCATTGTTCACTTTTTAGGCTTCGACCTCAGTACTAAATCAAGCTTTCACATAGGCTTATTTATAGTACTTTCTTGATTCTTTTATTTCTATTTCATTTGATGAACTCATTATTAGTGGAATCGTATGTGAGATTCAGTTCACTTTGTCTTGTTTTGATGGTGCCACAAATTAATGTCTCGTGCAAATTATGAGCTGGCCACTTCAAATTGCATGGTTGCACAGAAGTACTGTCGATATGCCATAGAATGTGTCAATGTATATCGTTTTTGCTCATAAAAAGAATTGACAAGTTATCCATACGTTTTCGACAATATCGATACAATATCAATAGATTCACATCACAAAAAGGTTCTAAAAAGAAAAAAAGATTATATATACATCAAACGAGTCTCCACTTCCCAAATGTGTATGTCTAGTATGTGGCTTTTGACCTTGCATTTGATTAGTCATGCCATTAAAGAGCTCAATGAGGGTGCCTTTATAAGTTTGGTGCTAACCTTTTCCCCTTGGGGACGTCGAATGGTCACCCTTTCATATCCAGCACCTTCGTAGGTCAACATTGCACGATCTCTTTCAAGTATAATTAACACTTTAACATGTAGCTGTAGGCTCAACGTAAGCAAGCGTGCTCGTAGAAATATATATATCTATTTTCGTTGACCTATGAGGAATTTAGATGACATGAGCTGGGACAAGAGCAAATGCGTACATGATAATGTTCATAGAATTTGAATTTAATATATAGTTGGAACCAGTGCCGGTTCTACAGCAAGGGCAAGGTAGGCAGCTGCCTACCCAAATTTTTTCAAACAAAAAAAAAGAAACCTATATGTAAGCAAAGTTATTCCTATCCATCCCATGTAATAGTGTGAACTCATGCCTACCCAAACTTAAGAGCAACCCACATATTATATGGCCCAGTCAAACTTAAAAAAAGAAGAGGGGAAGCAATATAAGCAAGTAGCCAATTCCTTTTCGGTTGTGCAATAGTCGATAGTTCCAAATTATTATTTTTTGCAGCTTCTTCTTGAGTCTGGACATTCTCTCTTGGTAGCATTTTCTCATATCTAAGGCCAATAAGTATTCTTCTATTGGCTTTTCCTAAAATAAATGTATGCATCTTAAGTTTTTTAATAGTTTAATTTAGTTTTAGATTTAAATAGTTTAGTTTTTTGTTGCATTGCATTAATTTGTTTTTTTAGTTTTTTTTGTTAAGTTTTTATATATGAGAGTAAATCTCATTACGCTCTCCCCGACTAGATGTATCTTATTATTTTTTTGAATGAAATTCATTTATACCGTCGAGTTTTTAATGTAAGTTTCGCCTACCTGACTTTTGAATCCTAGATCCGCAGAACATGATAACACATGCATGTTGAGAGAAAAAGAGAAGGCAAGAAATGGGCTTAGATGTGCAAATGCTTGCATATATAAAATATATGAATTTTGTAGAGAATGTGGTACCAACCTACGAACAAAGACCACTAGGAGTTAGTGCAAGCGCACTTAACCACAAGGGCAGGTTGAAGGCCAGTATAAAATATATGAGTGTTGTATCTTATATATATACACGTATATAAATTCAAAAAAACCTATCAACATCTAGTATATGTTTTATTATATATTAATCATATTTTTCTTCATCAATTAAAAAGTGTCAATAAATTATAAAAGAAAAGAAATTATTAAATTAATTTTAATTGATGTGGTTGTCCACCTCATTTGCTATATAAGATGGTATGGAAATGCGATATACAAATGTGATAAGAGTAGCATTATTCTTTTTAAAACAATAATGCATAACAAAATAATTTCAGTTCGACTTCAAAGAAACATAGGGAAAACTAGTTCTATGCATTTTTTCAAATAATCAAATAGGCTAATGAGCTATCTAACATGCATTTTAACTAAATACAAACAAGCGGGAAGCAAAAATAGAAACCTAAAAACTCATACAAATCCTATTTAAGTCATTAACTTGCCTTACTTGAACACACTATTGTACCTATTGGAGAGCCATAGTGGATTATCAAGCAAGAAGAGAACAAAAATTACTTTACTTGACACCTTCTTAGGGTTCAAGATTCACTCCAATGGTAACTACAGCTCTAATCCCTCTCTTTAATTAGTTCTAGAGATTCTATGATGTAACAACCCGGTCCTTAATTAATATTTAATTATTAATTTATTCCAATAAAAGACTACTATACCCCTAGAATATTTTAATAATTTAAAAGTTGACTTTTTGACCTGGAAGGAATTTTGGGATTTCAGTTATACCATTGCGTAGAGCGTGATGAAATGAGTCCGTAGACACGTAGTGGACTTGAATCGGAGTTGTAACAAAGGAGTTACGATCAAAAGAAGTTCAGTGGCATAACTGTAAATATTTCGAAGTTGAGTTCTTAAAAACCCAGATTTCTCCTATGTCGGCAGCTCGACCAGCTGACTTCCAAAGGTGATATCTCTCAGCCCCGACCACCAAATCGAGCAAGCCCAGTGCCAAACGAACCACCTTACTCCCCTCTTTCAGTCTTAGCCCATCCCAGCCTCGATCCGTAGTCGTGGTCGCCGGAAACCGCCACGAAACAGAGAGGTTTGGACAGTTTTTGATGGAATTTCATGGAGCTCGTTCGGACACCTCCGGCCACCAAATCAGACGAGTGAGGTATGGTTTTCTAGCTATTTTCCATGCTCTAGCTGCTGGTTGGGTAGTATTTCAGAAATTTCTAACGTAGATAACTTGATCTTGGATCCAAAGTTTAGCCAGATTTCGGGTTGAGATTCCGGCCACTTCCGGCCAGTTTTTGGGGTAGGTCCAAGAACAAAAGTGGCTCCAACTAAGGTGTTACACCTAGGTTAGGATTCTTGAGCCGTGGTTTGGAGTTTTTCCGGCGAAGCGTTATCGCTTTAGGCACCACTCGCTGCCGGCGCGTGTGGCAGCATGTGGACAGCAGGGTGGGAACCAGAGTCAGCCCTAGAGTAATCTCCTAGTCCTCACGAGCACGTAGGATTTCGCGGATCTTAATTCGGATAACGTTTGAACCCCGAACGGATCTCGCTTAGTGTGCGATTTTCGGGTTCGATACGTTTGAACCGTTGGATTGCAGTCAAATTCAAGTATATTGATCTAGGTAATTCCAGGATCGTATAGCAGTTGACGGATCGTAAAACGAAGTCCCGGATACTCCAGGAATGTCAGCCCTAGTGCGAGTTTACGGATAAATAAATCAGTTACAGATAAACGAACCAGTTGCAGATCAGGAATAGAGGAAAGAACTACGTGTGACTTGATCCCTTAGTAAGAGTATGTAGGCAGCCTATAGTTATCAGGCGCAGCCACGAGTTAGGGCCTCAGGGTTTGTGTTATTGTTTTCAGGGCATTTTGGTAATTTACGACCCACAGCCACCAGGTGTCAGTTTTAAACAAGATTCGACCCAGATTCGAAAGTGGAATTTGGGTTGAGTCGTTTCATATGATGCAAAATTTCATATCCCTAGAAAGATTTTTGGTTACATAGGATTTGTATGAGTTTCTAAGTTTCTATTTTACTTCGGCTTCTTTGTATTTAGTTGAAATGCATGTTAGGTAGCTCATTATCCTATTTGTGTAATTGAGAAATGCATTGAACCTAGTTTTCCCTTCAGGATCTCAAGTAAAGACAACCATCATTGAATAACTCATCTATTCACCAAAAATCAAAGAGAAGAAACTTGTTTGTACTCAAAATTAGATGACCAGTAGTGAGCCCAAACTTAAAGATGAGGTCGATGATCGAGGGATCATATCTGCCTTCAATAAGGATTTTCCTTCGGTAGGTTGAACGTTATCTGTGCAAAGAGAGAGAAGAAAGTAGCGGGTAAGACCTAAAGCACAAATGTGGTACTGGTCAAAGGCCCTCTGATGCTAAAGTTAGCGGAAGGAGAGAGGAGTTAGCTAGTGAAAAAGCAAGGGCATATGTGTCAAGTAGCTATTACCTTATACCCTAGGGGCAATGAGCTCTATTTATAGAGGTTTTGAGTGTCCTCTTGGTGTAAAATTTTAATGTGGGATTTGTAGAGTAGCCTGGAAGGCTGCCACATACCCTGCTTGGTGTCAAGACCTTTTCACGTGTCATGGCATGAGAGGCTAGTCAAATATAGTACAAAAAGAGTCCCCTAATTTCCCGAATGAGAAGGGACTTCTTGGTTGGGGATTTGCATGTTTCTTCGACATTCTGACCTGGTCCTCAATACAGAGATTTTAGCAAGTTCTCCATAGCTATCGATGAAAGTCCTACAGTCCCCCAAGTCTTCGACCAAGAGGTGCTTGGAAGGGCGTAATTGGTCCATGGCTAACAAACGGTAGGCTTGCTCTGGCACTGTGAGTTGGTTTGACCCTGACGCTCGACATGTGGTGATGAATGGAAAGGGAGGGGAAGAGACAATAGCATGAAAGGATGAACGGGAAGGGATAGGAGGAGATTTGACCTCGTGCCGTTCAATATGTTGGGGTTGTTGAAGCAGATTGTGGAGTGCAGCATTTAATGCTTAACTACAGACATGTGTCATGAGGGAGCTGAAAGTGTTGCATCGTTTCGTTTCCAGATGCTACCTCCTCTTATAAAAGAGGAGGGGTCATGTTTGAGAAACTAGTTAGTGTTGAGAGCGAAAATTTGGAGTTTGAGAGAGGCGAGTGGTGAGCGACGAAGAAGCGATTTTCGATGGCTCAAACCACCGTGTGAAACAAGGAATGTGACCTCAGTCCTGCTCCTTTTGGATCAAATTGCCTGCCTTGTTTGAAGTTTGCATGAACATGGTAGCTTGATCTGAGCATGAAATTTAGTTTCCTTTCGCTTGTGTTTGTAGATGTTAGAGAACGAGTCAGAGCATGAAAAATATGGGCACAGTTTTGCCGTGTTCGATGGAGATTCATCACGCGAAGAGTAGGGTGCTGAATATGAGTGTGTCGATGCTGGGCACTGATTTGAAGAGTAGGGTGCCGAATATTAGTTTCTAGTTATGCCTGCCGAGGCTGCGAGCACTTCATGTCATGGTTCGAGTTTGCTTCAGGCCGCTGACACAGCTCAATATACCGAGTTTCTAATGTGTGATACTTGTGTGACATATCAGCATGCAGGTTATCATTCGAAAACTTCTACGTCTGGGCATGTTAATCAAGCAACTGAAGTGTCAACATCGACTCCCGATGAGGGCGTATTGAGGGTTGTGACTGGCAAAGGCCCGATCTTCAGCTCAGACTTCTTGGAGCCGAATATGCTGACCGATTGGGAGTTGGCAAAGATTCGGGTAGAGTAACATATTCCAAATTCCCAAGCCGCTGGAGTCTTTGAGCAATCCCAAGAGCGAAGTCGTCTTCTTCATGATGTTTTCAAGCACGACCTTTGGCTATTGTAGAGGCTAGCGGTGCAGAAGATATTAGTGCAGATCGGTTATGCACCAGGGCTGTCATGCCCAGGAAAAAACCCCGGTCACATGACAGCATCACATGCCCCGAGAACCCCGAGAATACAACGCCCAATTGTCAAAGTGTCCTACTCCTAAGTGTTCCCGAAACATATTAAGCCATTTTTGTTTACTAAAAATGGGTTGGATCAAAGTTTTGTAAGCAGCGGAAATTCAACACAAATTTTTTTCAAAATAAATATTTACATTACACCAATCCCGAGGTTAAAAGAGTTTGACAACATACAATATGCTCATACTTAATTTACAACAAAATTGAGGTTTGAAAAATACAACCCTAAACGATACGATTACAAGCTATTTATACAAAAAGAAGTACAAGATGGATTCATAAAGTTCAGTATAATGCAAGGAAAGTGGTCATGACCGACAAGGACGGTTCAGCAAAACAGGAGTTGACAAGCCTCGAACGCCTCATCTTAGACCTAGTCCAAGTCATTGACAGGTATGTGTTCTACACACAAAGAGTAGGGGCAAGCATCACATATGTACATTTGCATAGTAGGGGGGTGCCTAACCAAAAACAATATATCATATCATAAATTACATTGGCATGCTCAGGCAACTTTCACAAATTCAGGTTTAGGGCCCAATAACAAACATTTGATGAACGATCCTTAAGGCCAATTACCCTCACCGCAGCAACAACTCATGTGGTTTGGTAGCAAGAGTGTCCATGTCGAAGGTTATACCACATAGACTATCCTCACCTAGGTAATGGGTCTTATAATAGTCGGTCCGTACAAGTGCCTCTGGAGGTTTAGGGAATCAATACCCAAGGTAGTCGTTATGCCCCTTTCACTCTCAGGTCATCCAAATGGAACACTGTTAATGAATGAACTTGGTGCCCAACACAAAATAAAACCATACAACAAAGGCATCCAAAACTATGCAAGTTTTCAAACATCCATATCTAATAGATATACAAGTAGGAAAATTACAAGTCCGGGAGTGAGTCTCCCTACCTAGAGTCCACAGCTTTAGCTAGCATAAGCACACACCGACACCCGACTCAATCACCCTTACGTCCACGTTCGGCTACTCGAGCTCTTAACCGGACAACAAGTAACAAGTTAAAACGTGTCTTAGGGACGAACGTCACTGGCTAGGGTTAAGTCCATTTCGTTTTGCTAACCCCTAAGTCGAGGTCGAAACCATAAGTCAAAAACCCTAAGTCGTAATTACATGTTCCCTACCCTAGAAGTCGAATTAGGTTAGGCTTTAAGGTCTCAAAATAGGTTTGAAACAAATGTGGACAAGCATCGAAAATTAGGGTTTACGTTCAAGACTTCGAAAAATAATTTCAAAAGTTTAAAATCATTTTTAAGTAATTAAAACAAATTTTGGAAATTAAAAACTAATTTCCAAAAGTCCAAAATAATTTTAAAATAATTAATTACAAATTTTAAAAGTTTCGAAATTAAATACTAATTAAAAAATAATTTTAGGAATTTAATTACTAATTTTCAACTCCATAAAATAATTTAAAATAATTAAACACAATTTTTTTTATTAATTGTTAATTATTTTTCAAAAATTAATTAAATAATTAAATATTAAATTTAGGGTAATTAAATTCTAATTACTAATTGATGTAATTAAACAAGTCTAAATTAATAATTAATTCAAACTTAAACTTATTAATCCTAATTAGGAATTTTCAAAATTAATTAACTAAAATTCGGAATAATTAAAATAATTAATAAACTAAAACAATAATTAAAACTAACTAAAGTAATAAAACTAACTAAACTATAATAAAACTAATTTAAAAAACTTAAACTAATTAAACTAGAATTAAGCTAATTAAATAAAATTGATTTAAAACTAGAGAGAGAAAGAGAAAATTTACCAAGAGAGAGAAGCTCTCCACTAGATTTTAGCCGAAGGATGGAGCAAATGAGCAAGAGGGAGCTATTTATAAGCAAGTCAGGGTCAATGCAAAAGAGCGGTGCAATCGTGGCCATTGGATCGTTGCCAAATCCTGACAGATGGTCCAAATTGCGCCAAAAAATGCAGCGAACAACATGTTGTTACGGGCAACGACGTGTAGTACATTGCGAATGATCCAGATCAACTCGTTCTCGTCAAATCTAAGGTTGGAATCAAATCGGGTCAGCAAGACTCGTTTAGAAAACACGCGAATCCTCAATCGAGTCGGGTCCGCCTCATGGGTCCACTAACGACCACACCTTGTCACGTCATCCGTTGTCAGTCCACGCCTCATTCGTCCGATCAGCTACTTCAATGGGCCATCGACGCTCCAGGATGCACCACGTGTCATGTCAAAATTAATTTTTCTTTTCTAATTTTACTTATTTTCCAGAACTTCTAAAATACACCAAAAATAGCTTCAAGCTCCGAAAAATTCCCATAAAATTCCTACGAACTCATCTCGACCATTATTAATTTCCTATAACCTTTAGTTCCCCAAAGTCCTCCAAAATTTCTAAGTAATTTCATACACTTCCAATTTAACTTCCAAAAATCCAAGTCTCACTACTTTGAGCTACAAAATTTTGTACTTGCACACAGATAACACCAACTAAAAATTTAAAGTTTTCCAAGGGTTCAGAAGGGCAATTCAATCCTAACTTCTCGATCACTCTCCTCGGTATCATTACGGCATTTGGTATTGCCAAGGAGGGTGTGCCAAGCTTTGAGTAGTTCTTGCACTTGTATAGTGTGACGAGGGCAAAGAACTCGGACTAGGGGACTGGGTGCAGTCCAACTGCTTGCATGTCAGAGAGCGAGGGCACTTCATGATTGGCGTGTTGAGCTCTCAGAAAACATGGCGGCATCGAACGGTGATGGTTTCTAGAAGTTGGGAATCAGCACCTGATGAGGCCATGGAGAGGAACATCCCCAGGACTTGCCAAACAATCGATGGTTGTTCTGGGGCAAGTCGCTCGCTTAGATCCTAATCCAACTTGCCTTCACTGATGAGGCGTTCGACAATTTTGCACAAGGCATTGGACGATTTGGTATCATGGGTGTTGTACTAATTATATCGGCAGAAGACACTGTTGTCTTTGCAGTTCTAGCGAAGAGGCTTGCGGTTGCTCGGCTTGGGGATTATTTGGTTTTCATTCATGAGAACACGCTCATAGGTGGTGTTGAGCTAGGTGAAGACTTCAACCTATCGATTCTGCCTTGGGTCCTTGATGTTGTTTCGGCCTCCTCGGTCCTTACTAAGGTTGCTCTTGTCCTGCTGTGTAGGAGTTAGACTCGAGGAGTACTGAATAGCAGAGGGCAGAGTTGGGTTTTGGGATAAAAGGGTAGCGGTAGTAGGTTGGAGCCCGGGGCCAATATGAAGTCGTGGTTCGGCTAGGGGGTACCAAAGGTCCGCCATTGGAGTTGAAATATCTGGCCTTTGCGTGGATCGCGACTTGCTTCATTAGTTCCTCATAGGTGGCCCAATTGTTATTATGGACCTTGTAACGAAAGTGATATGATCGGAGGGCATTCTTGAAGAGGCCGAAGGCTGCTCGATCATCGATCTATGGACACCAAGGGTATTCATGGATGAACCGAGCTGCATTTTCCCTCATAGTCTCATCGTCTTCTTGCCGAATAGTTTAAAGATCATCGGCAGAATAGAAGTGATCGATTTGTATCATGAAGTGATGAAGGAAAAAAAATTTTAACTGTTCAAAAGAATTGACTGTACCCTGCTCCAATTGGTAGAACCAATTGAGGGCAGCTCTGGCCAAGGTGGAGGAGAACGTGAGGCATTGACCTTCATTGGTGAGGTCTTTGCAACCCAATGCCTATTGAAAAGTGTGTGTATGTGGGTTAAAGGATGATTAACCCTTGTGTAGAACGACACCCTGAAGGTTTGAACGTCCTTTACCTGGCTATATGTTCTTATCCGTTCGGAGAATGGTCCTGGTTGGCGCTTTCCCAAAGCTGGTTGTTGAGACCTATTATTTCCTCTTCGATCTATCTGACCTTTTGGAAGAGGAGTCGGACTGTTGGATCGGCAAATGGTGGGTCATTATGTACGATGATCATGTTGTGGTGCTCCTGCATCATGGTCATGTCCTACCATATGGCTTCTACTTGGGCCAAAAGGTTGGCTTCAGTGTTGTTGTATATTGAGGCCCAAAAAATTCAAGGTTGGGCCCAAATAAATTCTCGGCCCAGTGCGATACCTTATTAAGAAAGGACTCGGTTCGGAGCATGCGAAATTCGTCATGCACAATTGCACGAGCCACAACCACGTGTCATACCAAATAAATATGTTATCCATCACTCTAAGAATTAAAATGAGCTTATAAAATGCACTGGCTTTACAAGCCCATGCTAATTATTCCGTCAAGCATCATATCCCTTTTCAAAGCGATAAAATTTAAGCACCCCGATCGACATGCAATGCCAAGTAGAAAACCCTTATTTTGCACCCAGCCACGCTATAAGCTTAAATGGCCCAAGCCACACAAATGCCCGGGGGCTTGCTGAGTGGGTTGTGGTATGGATGGTAACAAGTTTTTATGAGGCCCATTGATGAGTCGAGAAATGGAAGTTTTGGGCTGCTTGGGAGCTCCAAAACTCAAGCCCATTTCTTGAGCCCAAATATATGGGTAAGCATAAAAGACAGAAAAAAGTCCAATACTCTAGAGGAAAAAGCCCAATACTTTAGGAAAAATTAGCTAATCATCTTAATAAAATAGCCTATCACTTTAGGAAATTAGCCCATTTCCTTAAATGGGTTAACCCATCACCTTAGGAAAGCCCAAGCAACCAAAGAAAATATCTGTAATCTCCAGCACTTAGCTGGAAACAAGAGCCAAGATGAAAGCCAAAATATCCATGTATGTAAGCTGCTGGGAGGCTCCAGCACATGGGCAAAAACGAACATCAAGGTAGAACACGTAAAGAACCAGGAGATATTGGCGTGCACAGGTTGCTAAGAGCAGAAGCACCCTTCAAACCAATGCCCTTACCCATTTCTTTCTCCCACCAGCTCTTACCATGGAAGAGGGAAGGAAAGAAGGTGAGGAGGTAGCCAAAAATGGGAGTTCATTACTGAAGCAGCTGCGGGAAAGCTTGAGAGCTCCCAAAAATCTTGTCTTTGTGTGTTTGGACAGAGGAAGATTTCACAAAATGGGATAAGTCAAAGGGAGGGAAGAGAAATGAAAGAGGAGACTTGGCAAAATTGGAGAGAAACCATTAGGGTTTCTTGGAAAGGAGGAGCTTCCAACGGCTATAAAAAAGGTCATCTCCTACCCATCAAACAACACACATCCAGAGAGAAAACTTCATCTTTCATCCCTGAAACCTCTGCAATTTCGAGCCCCATTACTCCATCTCCTCCCATATTCTTTTATGGTAAATCATTCCAGAGCTTGACAGAGCTTTCGTCAAGCTGCCGAAAACTACTCAACACACCTATTGTTATTCCCTCACATCTCTCTCTTCAACGAACCCTCTTAGAATTCCTTCTCCTCTATTTTGAAACCTCTGTTTCTCATAGGAACTCGTAGCCCTCTGTCTGTTTAATGCTAAACTCATGACTACTTTGCTTCCATACCGCAAGCTTCTTATGCCAAGTTAAGAATCTATCTGTAAGAGATTGTTAGTTTTGCTGGTGAAGGTAACCAAGGTGCTTCCTAAGGCTTAGCTACCCTTTCAAAGCATTGTTGGGGTATGATTCTTGAACTCAAATCCAGGGGTAATTTTCATACATTTGGCTCTTTATAGCAGCTCAGGCCCGCAGGGGGACTAGCTCCGGTGTTGAGGCCGAGGATAGGTCCATCCGGTGTGAGGGATGAAGATGGATACATTTTTGCTCAGTAGAGATATGGGCCAATTACTGACAATTCTCACAAATGACGCCAATCTATTTGTGCTCAAAACTAGGTGACCAGTAGTAGGCCCAAACTTAAATATGTGGTGGATGATTGAAGGATCAGATCTGCCTTCGATAAGGACTTCCCTTCGGCTTTCTGAACATTATTTATGGATAGAGAGAGAGAAGAAAGCAATAGGTAAGACCTAATGCACCAGTGTCGTATCGGCCGAAAGCTCTTCGATGCTAAAGTAAGCTAAAAGAAAGAGAAGTTAGCTATTAACAAAGTAAGGGCATAAGTGTCAAGTAGCTATTACCTTGTACCCTCGGGACAAGGGGCTTTGTGGGAGTTGTGGAGTAGCCTAGGAGGCTACCATGTGTCCTAGCGAATATACCAGTGAGGAACCCTAGAGATTCCTACAAGATACCCTATGGGGGGCTAAATTGGCATGGGGTGCTAAGGGCACCTGCGTATTGTTGATTGTGAGCCCGTGTGATTAGGCTGGCAAGCTTGGAATTAGTTAAGGGTGCCAAGAGCACCAGTTGATTGCGAGGCAGGGTTGGCCAACGTGGAATCTTGGGCCTTGATTGGTGTAGGATCAGTAGGTGGTGCCAAAGGAGCAACTACCGATTGTAAGGCATGGCTGACAAGCGTGGGTTCCTAGGCCGGTTAGATATGGTACAAACACAACTTACAAAAAGCTAGGATTTCAAGAATAACTGCAAACATTGGAAGTCCCCATCTCTCACAAAACTATATGAGATATCTATGATTCCATTGTCTAAAAATCTGGTAATGGAAAATCATGAAGAAAAAAAATATATAGAAGGAAAACAACCATAAACAATCAAACATTAAATAAGTCAATAATCATGAAAGAAGAATGGAAGTACCGAATGTGATTTGTGGCCATTAACAATAGAAGAAATTGATTTCTTTATTGCTAATTGGACAAAAGCAACACTAAAACCAACCATAACTAATTAAAAAAGTGAAAAAGTGTATTTTGTCTTTAGTTTTTCTTTTTTTTTTTTTTTTTTTTTTTTTTTTGTTTTGTATATATATATATAAAAATTTCCACCCCCTCCCAATTTTGGGCCTCAGGATGTGTCATTTGTTGCCTTGGGCCAGGGCCGACTTCGGCTATAAATACTAATCTATAAGATAGTTTTTAACACAAATTAGTTACATGTACCTATCATTTGCAGAGTCATTCTATAGTGAGGGCCTTATATATGGCACTTAAGTGAGGTCCTATCTTTTAACCGTAGGATCAAGCTAACCAATTTGATCCAACAGCTAACCAATTTGATCAAATGGTTAAGGGATAGGACCTCATCTAAGGACCATATATTAGGGTTTTAGGGTTTAGGGTTTAGGCCCTCACTATAGAGTTCTTGATCATTTGTAATGCATATTAAAATAGTTCTTAACTTTTTCAGAATTTTAAATAAAGAGGTAAATAGCAACTTGGACACGTTGGGTGGATGTTTTTAGTTAATATGTGGATTCTAAGGAATATATGAGTGTTGTGAACATGAGAAATTCCTTCAAGAAATATGGGGTGCCTTTAGCAAATAAGACTATTGTTGTGCTCGTAGATGGTGACATTTTTAAATTCGGACTTTAACTTTGTTTTATTTTTTGGACTTTTAAAATACGCATCTAGAAAAATACTGGCCATTAAAATAAGAAACAATTTAGATGAGCATCTAGCAAAATACAATTGCAAAAATAAAAGAAGAAACTTTGTAAGTCGCGCATAGAGCGCATGATTATAAAAAGGCCACGTGTGCTGGGGGTTAGTAATCATATAAAAGTACCTTCGGAAGTATAGTTGCAGAGAGGCTAGATGTGCATTTTAAAGGTTTTTTAATCACTCGGAAACCTTGCTATATAGAAAAACACCTAAAACATGCTTCTTAAAATATACAATATTTCATAAGAAAAAAAAAATTGTATGACACGTGTTGCATGTATGATTAAGACTCGGTTGTGCGGAAGCGTATGTAGAGTTACGTTAGTTATATTTAATATTTAAAAATTTTGTTAAATGTTAACTTTTGTATTGTGTTTTTTTTTTTTTTTTTTTTTTTTTTTTTTTTTTTTATTTATTTTTAATTTTAATTTTTTTTATTTTTTACAAACACCTGTCTTATAGTTTTTTAGTTTATTTGAAATTTTCTTTTCTTGTTTTAAATTTTTTTTTATAGTTTGTTTTTTAGTACAAGCGATAGTCTAAACAATAAGGGAGGGGCATTTCACACACACACACACACACTACTATGATGAGGTGGGGATTCGAACATGAAACCTCTGATTTGCAAGTCTACCTTTTCCATTGGGTTAGACCACATTGGCAGTCTGTTTCACTTGGTCTCTTGCAAGAGACTTATTCTTATTGATGCGTAACAGCGTCCTCTGCTCTGTAGTTTTCTTTTGCATATAGTTTAACTAAGCTCAAGTTCAATTCCAAATAAAAAATTACTTGAAATAAGATAAAGTATGCAAGGGTGAGTTAAACACAATTGTGAAAAGAAAGTTATGAGAACACCAATGCATTAGCTTATTACTGATGGTACCAAAGTTGAGATATGAAAGTTCCTATTTCATTTCACTTGAATCTGATTACATAATATTAAAGGAAGAATTCTCATACTCCAATGATCTAGTCTCACGATAACATATAATCTTCTCAATCCAACTCCATTACTTGCATCTCCAACTTGAGAAAAACATACCTTGAAAAGTTGAAACAAATAAAAACAGAGGCCATTTAGCACCCAATACCACATTCGGAAAACAATTTACAACTTTAAGTTGTGTTGTGTGTTCAGAAATGTTTAAGATCACAATTCCAGGATTGGATAAAATGATCCTTGTGTAGATTCAGCTACTCCAAAAGGTCGATTTCACAGGGATTGATGATAGAGTGATCCAATGCAGTTTCTTACACAAAACAGAAATGAAAACACAAAAACAGAAAACAAGAAAATAAGAAAAGGTCTAAGACAAGATGGTAAGGCTTTAGAATCCACCCTAATTGTCCTAATCATGTTATGGCAGCAAGTATACAAGTACAGATTCATTCATGAAGATTTTCGAAAATAAGTCCCTGATGTTTAGATCAAATTGCATATATTCTCCTAAAGTATGCTCTAATGCATGACTGTGCTTGTAGTCCTGAGTGCAATCTAGGCGTGGTATTTACATAGACTGAAAACACAAAGGAATCCATTAAGCACATATGAGAATATGAACATCACAAGAACCCTAAAGCAAGATGTTTACCTTAGGAGTTCTAGAAATCAATTCACATGAACAATTCATATGCAATTCATGAGTTTCCATTTCTGTATAATTGGTTTTTCTAGAAATTGTTAAGCATTATTTTGTTTCATGTACACTTGTTTAGGGATCATTTGGATTTTAGTATGAATGTGTGAAGTATATAGAACTTATACAATTCTATCAGCAATTGATATGTTTTTTGATTTTTTTAGTACTTTCATCATGGTTTTGACTTTTGGTTCCTCGCTTATTAATAGGTGCATTTTTACACAGACTCTGCAATGCAATTTGTAATTTTATAGAATTGATTTTTGTTTTTCTTGCTGTTTATGTTTATGTTAAATATATATATATATATATATATTTTTACATTATTGATATCTACATTGTTTTGTTATAGAGTAGTTTTTGTATAGCAATTTTTTTCTGTTTTTGGTTGCAGTTTCAGTTTTTGTTTGTAGTTTTTTTGTTTTTTTTTGTTTACAACATTGATATGTACATTGTTTTGTTATAGAGTACCATAATAACTTAAATTAAACTTTGCAATGTTTTTTTTGTTACATCATTGATATCTACATTTTCTATTATATAAACCTAAAAAATACCAATATAATATATATAAGGGTTTAAAACTTATAAATTTTTGTAACTTTCTAGAGCATGAGGTATTTGGTACAAATCTTGTGTGAATGGGTGTTGACATGAATGGAATTTTTTATTTTTATATTTAACAAAATCATTGACTGTTAACATAAATATTGTGTAATTGAAAAAATATCACAAAAATAAGGTTGGTGTAGCGGTTTGTGAATGAGCTTCCGCCTTTGAGGGTCAAGGTTCGAATTCCTTCAATGACTTAGATTGAGTAATTAATAGGTTTAATGCAGGTTATACTTGGGCCATTACTCATGTATAGTGATTGGGCTAATTTTTTCAAAAAAAAATTTTTTTATACAAATTTCAACTAAAATTTTATTTTTTGGGCTTGAAAATGAACAAATAATCCAATTTTATGTAAAGAGAGATGTTTTGAAGTTGGGCTTGGGGAAATATTAGTTATGAGATTAAAAATGTAGCATTGGATTTAAAAAAAATAAATAATACACAACTAGTCTGGTCCGGTTTGATAAGGTGTGAAACCAAAATTGGAACCAATTCGGGCTGGTTCAGTGCCGATTTGTTGACTTTTTAGTCAATTGGTTTTTTCCATCTGGTCTGGATCAGTGTTCCTGTTTTCCGGTTTCGATACCCATCCTTAGTTGAGCCTGTGGGTGAGGATATCCCCTGTTAGTTGAACCAAACGTTGTCATGTGTTCCTAATTAATGTGTGATTGAGCGCAGATCCCTTTTTCACACTTGTTCAGAGTAGTCTTATCTATTCATCTATGTTCTTGTCCGTCTGTAATTATGTCATTGGCGTGTGAAATCTTACCTCCACAATAATACTATGATTTTACTAATTTACTACCGAGTTTGGAAGAATTTCTTAATATTTCGAAAAACTTCATTATTTGATATTATACAAATATTAACATAATCAAGAAGCATTTCCAAGGTGAGGAGTTATGTTCTTGCTGATCATTTATCAAAGTAGTTGACGTCATGATCTTCGTCAATTACGTACTGAAGTGATTTCACTCCACTTCGCTTGCTACTTTCTAATTTCCAACTACTCCCAAATGATATCTCACCATCGTAAGTTATCATTTTTCCATTGATCTTTGGATTTTCTTCCTCCTTGGTGATTTCTGGAATCGATACACTTGTTGTATCTGGTTTTGGAAGAGAATTGTGTGGGACTTTCTCTTCTATGATTTCAGAGGTAGAAGGAGAGCTTTCCACGACTGAATGTGGAAAACTTTCAAAATCTAGTATTTCAGTACTCATTTGATCTGAAATGGCAAAGTCAGTTGCTTCAACACTGTTCTTGGAAATGGATCTGCTCTTGGAGAGCCTGTGTTGTGCATTCTTGTGCCAGTTTTTTAGGCCATCTACTACACGTTCAGTAAACACTGCTTTCTTCATGCCAGAACCCATCTATGAGGTAAACCATTATGGGGAAAAGAAAAAAGAAATTAGAGATGTCATTTGATTTGAAATTATGCATGATTTGTAGCTCAATCCATTCAATCTTACATATATATACATTTTTCTTACCTGGGTAACAAGTGCATGAAGAGGTAGGGTCACATAACCGCAAATGAACTGCACAAGAAGTCCCATGGAAATCCTTATGGCGATGACTTCCCTTTTGCGATTTAGGCAAGACCCTTGGCCATACTGAAACTGTTATTGCCAACATGGGATAAGCTTTAGAATATGAAAATTGCTGGAATTTGCCAACATATATAAGATTTACATACCCATGTCCACGTTAAGAATGCCAGTTGAAAGGAGTTCTGCAATCCATTCAAATACTTATTCAAATCCCCTATCATAATTTTAATAATATATATACACTATCTTTTTGCTCCACTGTTGTCAATATATGATGGTAGATTGTAAAATTCGACGATTTTAATTATGTTGATTTTTACTGATGTGATTCAAATTCACAATCTAACAACATAGCAACTGTATGACAAGAAATTATTTTATTATTTACATGCATAAATACCTAACCATGAATAAGCTTTTTTAATTTTAATTTTTTTAAAAAGAAAAAAAGCAAGTAAGATATGGTTACTATATGTAAACATAATCTATATCCATTGAACCTTGCAATATTTTCATTGGTCACATTTGGAGCCAATGATTAGATTGAATTGCATATCTCACTAGATTCAAGGTAGGTTGAAAGAATAAATGGAGGCAAACTTTCAAATTTTGTTCAAGTTGAAGATAGAAAGATTAGTCATGAAGGAAACTTATTTGTTCCAATCCCCATAAAATGATAGGATATCAACACCTATAATTTATTTCCCACAAAATGAAAATTTCTTAAACTCTATCTTCATTTCCTACTTCAACATATCTTGAATTTTGCGAGCTATCCAATTCAATTCTTAAACTCCATCTTCGTTTCATTACAATTTAGAGGTCATGTCGGGAATTCACCTTATATTGTTGGCTTCTTTTTCGTATTTATTAATCTAGTATGATGAAGAAATTTGAAATTCTTGTGTTGTATCTACCTGGATTAGGACGAATTGGATGAGATGAAGAAGCCAATGTGGCCGACCAAACCAAAACAAGTCATCATTGAGCTTCACTACAAGACGACCTCGAATGACGGGATTCTTGCAACTCTCCACACACATTTTGGTTATGATCATTTCCAGCTTTGCACCCACAACTATAACAATCTACACGAAAATATTGACAGAATATTATATATAATTAAGAAGAAAAAAAAATTAAAGTCTTCAAATAATATTTTGCTATATATATAGAAGATGATGTCATGTGTTGTACCAGTAGGGGGATGAATGGTAGCCAATAATGGTTATAAAACACTGCAAAAGAAAAAAAAAGTCAAGGCATAATGTTACCACCATTAATTGTCAATATATTTAAGCATAAATGTCCTTCAAAACTTATGTTGAAGAGAACCGAACCCTGAACTTATTCTAATCCTACTCCCTTAGCCCACGTTCGTTCAGAGTCAAGAGCTTAAATGATGAGAAATAAAATAAATAAAAATGCTGCAGTTGTCTTACCATGTGCACTTGAAAATATGAAAAGGATGGAGAAGAGCCAGATCCAAATCTGCAAAAAGAGTTCCAAAATGTTTGTTAAAGAGTCATCTCATGAAATGATAAGCTATACTTAGAAAAATGTATAGAGTTTTACCTTATTCCAACCACTTGCTCAAAGTCGTCATCGAAAGCTCTTGCAAGGAATTTCAGGAAATTGAAGTTGCTACTTTTGGTGAAGTTTGTCTGTGCAATCCAAACATGAAAACATCAGATCCGAGCTGTAAAAAAGTAATTTTTATATTTCGTTTCTTACTCTTTGTTTTCCTTAACGAGATTTTTGTTTCTTAATTTTTCCATATGACATCTATCTATGTGATCTTGCTTACCTCAATGAACCCATTTCGCAGCGTCATGTAATCGGCTTTTGAGATTGAACCACAAAACTGTCGAGCAAAACAAACCTATATATAAACCATATCAGAGTCCATATGGTTGTTTATATTATTATTATTATTTAGTACAAATGATTGGGAGAGGAGGATTTACACACAAATATTTATTGGGTGATGGATTTCGAACCTATATGTTCACATTTATCTTTACCCTGTCTCTAACATAAGCAAGGTCTTCTTTACTCTGCTCATGAGCTTTTTTTGTACATACAACCAAAATTTGGATCGGTAGATATTGAATACAAGATTTCGAATGTAAGGATAAATGTGTAATACTTCAACTACGAACACCATGGACCTCCTATTTTCCGTTTGACATTGTTGTATTAAATTAAACAAACAACAAATTAAGTCTTGATCTAATTTACTTCTCTTCCCAACATCATAAGAGCTTTCAAACTTGATGAGTTAATATGATTATGACTTACAGGCCAAAGCAACAGAGGATGTTTACTCCAGAACTTCAAATGTCTTTTCCCAAAAGGAGTTTGATGGATAAGCTGGAACCTCCTTGAATCTGTATACACATAAGAAATTTGATTACCATTAATCGGCCGTACAACCGTGTTTGCAGTCATAATTTCCTTCTAAACAAGTATAAATCCAAAATAAGGAGAAAAAAAAAAATCAGACAGAATTGTGCAAAATCTAGTGACAAAATGAAGCCGAATTGCAAGAACGATATCATGCAGAGGGATTGCTCATCAAGTCTTGGATGCTACTAATTGTGGAAGTGACAAAGTTGGGTATCATAATAACAATGACCATTACAGATGGATGCAGAGGGGTTACCGTTACGAATCTGGTATTCTAATGTTTGAGTCTCATCCTCCCAAGCATTCCATTTCCTCATCTGGTATTCACAATCAAATTTCAATGAAGGTCAGTATAAGATGTAAGTCATTTCAAGAAGAAAGATTGCCTAGAAGGAGATAAGAGAGGTGAGGTAGGAAACTATTGTCGCATGAATTTTATCACCGGGTTAAAATAAATACTACTAAATAACTTGAAAAATTGTCAGAAATCAATAATCGATTAATTTTTTATCAAGTAAACGTCCATATACTTTTTGTATAAAAACATGTTAAAATAAATAGGACAGACCGGGTTTAATGTGTAAAATATACAGACCGACTTAAGTATGACCCAAAACACGATTGGTTGTCCTTTTTTCTTTTTTCATATTAGCAATATTGGGAGAAGAGAAATCAAACTTAATTAGGACCTTGAATGCAAGATTAAATTATCTTAACTACTTGATCCCCTTGCTGGTTGGTCCTTAAATAATCCTGGCTGTTGTTACAAAAATAGCATGTGTAAGGTTGCTACGTCATATCTGTGGCCAGGACCAAGAATGAACTCATTTTCTATGCTTGAATATCAATTTAAATTATAAACCATAGGAAATAAAAATAAAATATATAATCATAGCAAGACCAATGCAGAGGCCTACGCCTAGTCAACCTACTCTCCTTTTTTTTTAATCATCTAATTGAGATTCCTAAGCCGTACATGGGGTGACACCACAGTGGAAAAGTAGGTTAAACTCTCCTCCTCCCTCCAAGTGCATTCGGGTTCAATTCACCAAATCCAATATAATACTCCCCTCCCCCTCCCTAAAGAATGACAAAAAAAAATTGAGATTCCTAAGCCCAGCTACTCTAGAGTCCGCCGTAATTTCAATAAATCCAAAAACACAGACAAGCAAACTGAATCTCTTATTTTGCAATTAGGTTCTAGTACTTATTAAATTTCTCCTTTTTTTTCTTCCCTATATAACGGTACGTTTATTTATATATAATATACATAATAGATGTATGAATTGATACCTTGGCCATCCCAAGAAACATGGTTAGGATGCAGTAGAGCACATGAAAAACTGCCAACAGAGAGATAAAGATGTTCAGTTGCAAGACTCCTTCCCTTGACACTAGAGAAACCATCCCCTAAATATCACACAAAAACAAAAAACAAAAAACATTCTAAATTGAATTAGGTAAGGCTATAAGGTTATAATTGTAAATTTAACTAGTAGAGTGGAGTGCTAGCTGTACCTCGAAGAAATATTTTTTATTGTCTGATCGAAGAATATTTCTTACATAGATAGTTTTAGACAATTATGTATCTGTATTTGTTATTACGTGATATGTAATGATAAGAATTACTTAGGGTTGTTTGATAATTATTTCAATTTTAGTTTTTAGTTTTTATTTTTTGTGTTAGAGTATAGAGGAAAATGAAAGTGAGAATGAGAGTGAGAATGAGATTGAGAAGTGAAAACAATTTCAAATGGATTTCAGTTTTTAGTTTTTGTTTTCACTTTTGTTACTCGTCCCTCCCATCCTCCCCTCTCTTCTTTCCTCTCATTATTACTTCCATTGTCCCTCTTCTTCCTCTATATTCTAACACAAAAATAAAAACTAAAAACTGAAACTGAAACTGAAATGGTTATCCAATAGGATTTTAATGATGAGATGAAGTTACGGTAGAGTCAAATATTTACCAAGAAGGATAAACAAAATTTAGTTAACAAAAATTATTTTACCATGGACCTCTCTACCTATCCGATGTAAAAAGTTTGCACTTAGTTTTCATGCCCCAAGGTTGCTAAGAAAAAAGAGGTTAGAAGCCGGCCATAAGCAAAATATAATTATGTAAGGGATGTAGCTTTCAAAATGGGTTGATCCTTGTGAGCAAGATTGTTATAATTTTAGTATGTATTAGGTTGTAGATCAAGATTGTTATAATTTTATAAATTTGGCGCACAAATTTGGTGTACCTAATTTACCTGCCCATTACACCAGATGTCCATAAAGTTTATTGTACCTTTGCCTCGCAGTAATTTTCATCATTGACTTCCTTAGAAAAACTGGTGGAATTTGATCCTGAAAGTTGCGTGGCGGATGAGACAGCAGGTTCTGCGTCTTCCACATATTTACATGGAAGAAAAGTGTCTGCCAAAGTTTGGGCAACGCAGATTTTTGATATTGGCACCTCTGATATCGTAAGAAGCAGTGATACCAAACCCAGTTTCATCATTTCTATTCAAAATCAAACAAACTAATCAAGAACAAATCTTATGGGAATCATTTTCACATAAAATATTTTTTTTATTCGAATAATTGGGAAACGAAGAAAACAAAATTTGGAAAACATGGTTAAGGACTTGTAGTTTAAGTAATTACGAGCATCTACCATACACTCGATGTCCTAAATTCGATTTTCCCCTCCCAAATATTTTTTTATAGGAAAAAAAACTTGGAAAAGGTGGCAAAATATTACCTGTTTTGAACTTCATTAAAGCCCTATTTAGGGATTTTCTTCTCCTTCTATTAAGAAACTGATGATGAAACAACCAAACTAAACGTTAACCACATCTAAATATTGATTCATGAAAGCATTTTACTACACATGCATGCATGCATACCGTTGTTAGATGGTGAATACTAGAGTCGATGATGAAGGATAGGACGAAGAAAAACAAAGCAAATACTGATACAGCCCAGGTTGGTGTCTCTTCAAGCGAACCTCCTTTCCTCAGGTCCATCTCTCTCTCTCTCTCTCTCTCTCTCTCTCTCCTCTCTCTCTCTCTCCAAACACTTCGTTATCTGATTGTTAATATAGGACAACGTACAACGGTACAAGTACGGAAGATCTTGTAGTGTTTTTAAAATAAAATAAAAATTAATCATGCTAATTTACAATTTTTATTGAAGTGATTAGTTGTGTGTGCGTAAATGGTGCAAAAAATAATCATTAATTATCATTGAATTTCTGCCCACCGAAAACGAAGTTATCATTGAATTTGTATAAAAAAAATATTCAACGGTTGGATTGAGAACACTCTGCCTGTATGAGGGGGATGTCATTGCATTGACAAAGACCAGTGCATGCATCAAACATTTTTTTAGGGAGACATCATGCTCGTACTGACAGCTTCGACAAAAATACGAAAGCAAAAGTCAAAGTTTCTTCCATCTATAATAAGCAACATGTATTTCAATTTTTTTTGTTTTGTTTTGTTTTGTTATAAGCCAAAGTTCTTATGCTTTGTACCTTGTGTTTGTAACCGCAAAATTAGCGGTAGACATTTGATCAAAAGAATTCTCATACCAATCATACCCATTTTTTGGTTTGGTTTGATCTGTATACAAAGTATCGATTAATAGTAGAGATTTTAAACTATCAAAAATTCGTATAATTAACGAGTTAAGCTCTTTACTGAAACGAACCGATTCATGCCCTATGTCTAAACAAAACTAATAAAATTAAAATAAAAAAAACCTAACTCCTTAAGACTAGAACATGTACTTGTGGGGAAACTTATCCAAACTTATCATCAAAATTTTAAAAAAATTGGGCATCAGTGTTTCATGCGTGTTTGCATGATGACCAATGCCTTAAGAGTCTACGTGCTTATATATTAATTGGCCAGAAGAAAAGGTCAAAGTCCTTGTGTGCTGTAAGATACGTTGAAGTTCAAGTACAGAGTACGGACGACGCAAATAGATTAAGAATTTGAATATTCCAAATGAAGGGACTAATGAAAGGGACTTTAACTTGCCGGCCATACCTTCTTCTTTGTTTTTTTTGGGTCGATGGCCATAAATTTTATTTAACAATGATTAATTTCATGTAGAAAATTTTCAACCGCAAGCAAAGATGTAAACTTAATAGGGGACAAACTATTCTTTGTACAATATGATTTGAACAGTGTATTTTTTTTTGGTTATGTTCCGAAAGTTCTTCGTGAAAAAGTTATCAAAATCAAAAATCGATTAGTAGTCTAATAAGTCAAATGAATAGAGGAACACAGGGACGAGAACGGGAGAGGGCAAATCTGACCCTGCCCTGCTCCTTTACCATCCCCTGATTACCACTATCTTGCTTGCACAAACACCATGATCGCCGCCACCACTACTATTGCGAGAGTCGACTTGAGCTTGTACACAGTTCCGTCTTTCGCTGTCATCACCCGAATCACTTGCGTTTGATTCTTTATGTATAACAAAATAAAAGATCATAAACTATAAATTAAAACCCAATGTTTGGTATGTTAGTCAAATAAAAAATTGCGAACTGTTCCTGAAATATTATACTTTACATTTATCGCATGGGACGAATTGGACTTGATTCCACTTCAAATTTCATGTATGACAAATTTTGAAAGCATAATAATTATTTTTTGTTGGAGTGGTTAAGGAATTAAAAAAAACATATGTTTTGTTTTTTTTTTTTTTTTTTTTTTTTTTTTTTTTTTGGTTGGGAAATACTATAAATATCTGATATAGGATAAAAGTCAAACGTGTCAGTAGGTAACAGTATTTATCCATGATCACTCATGAACGAAAGTTTTCAACTTTGATGGCTGAAGTAAGTTATTTTTCTCTTCCCAAAAAAATATTTAATTAAAGTTTTGTATGATCTGGTTTATGTCTCAACAAAGATGTACTCATCCCCTTTCGACCAAAAATAAAATAAAATTCCCCAGCCCCTCCCGGCAAAAACAAATATAAACTAAAACTAAAAAGAAAGATGTAACTATTACGTGATGGATTTTTCTTTTATTAGTTAATTATTTGGTGGATCTCTTTCATTCATCACAGCAGGGGCGGGAAATTGGTGGGCTTTTTTATTTTAATTTTTCTTATCAAGATATTAGGGGATGGGATAAGAAGACATGAAACTTAAACCATGTCATTAGACTTTTTCACCCCAAAAAGTGGTGTTGTGTATTTTACCACTTGAGTATTGTTCACCCTAAAAAGTGTTCCTCAAGCAATCAATTCACTGATAAAGTGAGTACCGATGTAAGAGCATCTACAGTAGGGGGTTGTAAAGCTATTTTTGCATCCTCTTTACACCTTTGAGGGTGTAAATGTGGGTTCTGCGCTAATGGGAAAGATTAAATGTCAATGATGTTTATTTTTTTTTGTTTAATTTTTTTTTTTTTTTTTTTTTTTTTTTTGTAAAGATGAACTTGCATTAACAAAGACCAAAGAGAGGTCAAGATCCACCGAGACTACACAACCAGTCAAACGGCATAAACAAGAAAAGAGACCAAAGCGACAAGAAAAGTTCAAACGAAAGAAAAGCTACAAGAGAGAGTGAAAAAGAAAAGAAAACCCAGCATAGCGCCAACAAAAGCATCACAGAGGGAGGGGGGGGAGGGGGCAGGCAACCCATCTTTGTGTTTTTTATTGTGTTAACTATAAAATTAATTTTGTGTGCGTTAGGTTTATTTTATTTTTCCAAACAAATAAATCTAAAAATATTTAAATTTGGAGAAGATAGGAGTTCATCCAAAAAGAACCGTTGGATTGTAAAGTACATTTAATCTAAACCGTTGGTATCTTCACAGTTTTTTCACACGTTTTTTTTCACACAATTCAAGATCCAACATGATAGAATTTGATCTCATCTTCAACCATTGGATTAGATGCTCTTATCTTTATCTCAACCCTTTGATTCTCATCTCAGATATCATTTTTTTTCTTTTCTTTTTTATAAATATCAAACATATCTACCATCACTTCATCAAAATCATCTAACTCATTTAAATATCTTTCTCCTCCCCCACAATAGAATGAGCAACCAACACTTGTTTGACATTGATTCAAAATAGGAAACGATGGAGGAGATGATAGTCAAATGGGAGATATCACAAAAAAAAAAAATTCAGAGAAGGCAACACACAATGGTTCATCATCAAGAAGGATGTATGTACAAAGAGCATGAGAAGTTAGCTATATGCGCCTTATGAAAAATTATTTTTCTGTCACTTCTGTGTAGAATGCAGATAAGTGTTGGAGGAGATTTCGCATGAGGCCTTCCTTGTTCAAATAAATCCTAAAACAAGTCATGAACTACGACACTTACTTCCAACAATGATGAGATGCTTGTGGAAATCTCGATTTTTCCACCCGTTAAAAGTTAACAGCTGCCTTATGTATGATTGCATATGGAACACCTGCCATCAAATAGATGAAAGCCTAAGAATTGCTGAAACCACATCCACTGAGAATTTGAAGAGATTCACCCATACAGTCCATGCAATATACGACGGAGAATATATACATGGGTATAATATATATTATAATATATATAATGTATATACATATATTATACATATAAAATATATGTGTATATACGTATATATATGTATATTATAATATATATACATATACGTATATATACATATATACAAGTATATTATTATTATTATAATATTAATATGTATATGTATATGGGTATATTATAATAATAATATACGTGTATATATGTACATTATAATATATGTGTATGTAAGTATAATATAATATAATATATATGGGTATATAATAATAATATATTATTATTATTACAATATAATATATGCATCTTATACATTGGTGAGCATGGAACTAGCTAATCCTCCCTTTCCACATGGATTTATCCCTTCCTAAGGAGGTGTTTTTTGTGGGCCCGGTATTAGTAATCCCATCTAGGACTAGGATTTAGATTAAATAAACATGGGACTAATTTAGGGCTAGTTTGGCATTTCTGTGCTTTTTAAAAAACTGCTTCTGCTGTGCTGTGAAAAAAAAAAAGCTACTAAGCGTTTGGTACACTGTTTTTGAAAAATTGTTGGAGGTAGTCAAGGTGTTCGGTAAATTTTTATCAGATTTGCTTTTAGTGTGTATAATGACAAAACAAAAACAATACATGATGATGAAACGGTTTGTTATTTTCTTCATTCTATTTCTACTTTTTTAAAAATAATAAATAAATAAAATAAATAAAAAACCAACTTAACTACATAATTTTTTCATCCTTCCTGGGCCACATTTCTTTTTCTTTTTTCTTTCTCCCTTTTCCCTCATCTCTCTTTTCTTCTTCCTTCCCAGGCCCCTTTTCTTTTCTTTCTCCTTTCTTCTTCCTTCCTAGGCCACGTTTCTTTTCTTTTTTTCTTTTTTCTTTTTTCGTCTTCTTATCTTCTTTCTCTTTTCTTCTTTCCTCCCAGGCCCCAGTTTCTTTTGGCTATCGTCGTCCAAACCAACTCCTCATCCAAAAGCTTCAATACAAAACTTGTTTTTGTTTTGATTTCATACAAATTCTTGTTATATAGACACATGAAGTTTCCAATCAAAACCAATTCCAACACAAGCAGCCCCAATCCAAAAAAAGCCCAAATGCAACAATTTCATACAAATTTGTGTTTGTGGAGGTATATATATACGCCACAAAGTCGAGCACTGCAATTTCATAGTCGAACACCTACAATTTCAATTTCTCTCTCCATCTAGTTCTCTATCCTTGTCTCGCTCTTCCTCCCGATCTCTCTTTATTTTCCCCCATCAAAGCCCCTTTTTCTCTTGACCCTCCCCCTGCTTTCTTTTCCCTTCTTCTTCGTTCCCTTCTCTACAACTCCTTTGCTCTTTTAGCTTGAGCAAGTTTAGGGCTTCTTTGATACAAGCCAAGCCACCCATCTCTTACCCTAAGATATTCAAAAACAAAACCAAAACCAAAACCAAAACAAACCCACTTGTCGTTTATGCCCAGAATCAAAATTCTACCAACACTATGAACCATTTTGAGAGAAAAGGATGAGATATGTGTTAACATTAACAATGAGTAGAGAGCACCTTCTTCAAAAAGATAGATGTAGATTTCATTCACAGAGAAGCAAACAAATTTTTAAAGAATCACAACACTTTTCTGGAAGAATTTCTCCAACTTTTCTTTCTGAGAATCGACCTCAGGAAGCTTAAAAAATGGAGATGGAGGAGGTGTGAAATCTGGGGGAGTGGAAATTATGGAAAAAAAATGTAATTGTTTAAAAACATATGAGGGTAGTATAGGGAGTATGAAAGTTTCATTAAAAGCTCCGCATGCTTTGAAAAGAAGCATATTTTAAAAGCAGCTCGCCACCCGCTTCTCAAATTTGCTCCCACTGACTCGTGATTTTGAAAAAAAGCTGCTTTCACTTGTTTTATCAAACACCTAAAGTCAGAAAATTTTAAAAATAAGCTTCTTTTTTTAAAATGTAAGCAACCCCAAACGCCACCTTAGTCCAAGTGAGACCAAGCCAAGCTTGTGTAACAAACAGCCCCTAAAGGTCTCATCGTAGTCCAAACCTTCCTTTTGATTGTATCCCTTAGCCACAAGACGGGTCTTGTGTCTTTCAATAGAACCATCCGCTTTCCTTTTCACTCGAAGACAAATTTGCATCCAATGACATTCATGTGTGGTTTTGTTGGAATTAAAGACCAAGTATGATTTCGCATGAGTGCATCATATTCTTCTTGCATGGTTGCTTTCTAGTGAGGGTATTTAGAGGCTTGAGTATAACTGGAAGGTTCCAATGACAAAGGATCTTGAAGAGTGGTTGTTAATCCTTGTGGCAGTGGATGTCGATGAGTTTCATAAACGAGCTCATTGAGACTTTTCAAGTTTTCATGATCAGGTGCATGAGTAGGACTGATGGATGATGCTTGGTGATTAACAAGAGCATTACGTGAAGCATGGGGGACTACTATATGAATTTTTGGGGTGATGCTTCATGATGGGCCCTACATACTGGTCTTGATCATCCACAAGTGGAAAAGGCGTTGAGGTTTGGGAAAATGGAACTTCAGCTTGGTCTTGAATTTGAGTAGTGGTCCCATAAGTTGGTGATTGGTCCGCTGTTATTGGTTCATGAGGGAAGGAGAAAGCTTTCTTCGTTGAGTTCAAACTAGCATCTAGAAGAGTAATGGGTTCCAAGGATAGTGGTTGTGCTGACTGTTCACCTTGTGTGGTTTTGAATTTAAGCTCCTGATAAGGAAATGTTAACTCATCAAATTGAACATTGCGGGAAATACAAACTTTACGTGAGGCAATATCCAAGCACCGGTATCCTTTGTAATTGTTGTCCTACCCGATAAGTCCACATTTGACAATTTTGGGCAATAACTTGTGTTTGTTAGATGGGACCATCAGAGGAAAACATGTACAGCTAAAGGATTTGAGAAAGTGATAATTTAGTAGGTGTTTGAAAAACTTCTCATAAGGTGAAATGTGCCCAAGATTTTGGAGAGGCAACCAGTTTATAAGGAAGATTACAGTGGTAAATCCTTCAACCCAAAAGCTTGTTGGCAAGTGAGATTGGGTCAATAAGCAAAGACCCAACTCAACTATATGTCGATGCTTCCTTTCTACAATGCTATTTTGTTGTGGCGTGTAAAGGATATACCATGATCATGAAGAAAGTTCAAGAACGCTCGACTTATGAACTCTCCACCACCATTAGATTGTAGATAGCACATTAGACTTTCTTACCAAAGGAAGTAACCACACAAACCGTGAATAATCATCAACAATTAACAAATAAAAATTTGTAGCCATAATTTGATAAAATAGTTGCTGGTCCCCATACATCAAGGTGTTAAAGTTCAAGGGGATGTTGTGCATGAGAACTACAATAAGAGAAAGGTAGTCTACATGCTTTGCCTAATGGGCAAATGTGACAAATTTTATTTGAAGAAGTTGTACCGCTGATTGGTATATGGTACTTATTGACCAACACACGAAAAATATCCGAAAAAGGGTATCCAAGCCTACATGCCACGCATCATGAGTGGTTCTCTCTCCATAAGAGAAGAGCTTCCTTGTAATATGAGAGTTATCACATATATAATACATGTCAACATGGTTATTCCCAGTGAGTAATACCATCCCCGTCTGCTTGTCCTTCACAAAAAAAGAAAAAAGAAAAGTTATAATCCATTTCAAAGTAATAAGAATTGTCACGGAAAACTCGATGTATGGATAAGATATTCTTTTTTATGGCATGAACACATAATACATCATTAATAATTAAGGAACCATGTGGATAGGATTGAGATGATTTCCCAATATATGATATGCTTAATTGGTTATCATCACCCCTAATAATGGAGTCGTTACATGTATAGGGCTAGACTTGTGTGCGAGAGGATGGATCTTATTTCATATGGTAAGTTGCTCCCGAGTTAACAACCCAGTTTGCATTAACTGGTCTAGACAGTGAAGGCGGTTTTTCATTGGCTGCAGCAACATAGGAAAAGTTCCCACATTGAGGACACACTCTAGATGTTTTTGATTATTGGCTCAAACAATAGTCAAAATGTGGAAAACACTTTCGGCTGATTGACTTTGTGAATGAGAGTGCATTATGGGCAGCTCTAGGCTTTGCCTATATCTTGAGCGTTGGGCTTCATTAATTGGCAAAGATGGGATAGCAGCATTAATTGGCAGAGATGGGATAGCAACATGTGGGAGACAAAAGGCATGCATTCATGGCTGGCCTTCTGACTTGATTTACAGCCCCTCACCCGTTGGCTTCTTTGAAAAGCCACTCATCCTTCAACTTTAAAAGGAGAAGTAGCCAAGCAAAATAACAAAGAGAAGAGGGAGAAAAACAGCAAGAAGCCATTCAGCCAGAGAGAAGAAAATTCTCTTAAATTGTTCTTTACTTTGTATTTTTAGTTTTCTCTTCCTATTGTGAGTGTGTGAGCTTGGGTATATTTGGGGTTTGGGTTTCTAAGTGTTAAACACTTTTGTATTCTCTCATTTGATTATAGTGGATTACTCCATCATCTCCAAACTGGATATAGGCATTGCTGAACTAGTATAAATCTTGTTGTTCTTGTTGGTGTAGTTTTGTTCCTTTTATCTTTTTCCAGTTGTTGTTTAGTTTTCACTCACAGTTGGTTGACGCTTCCGCACAACAAATGTGTGACCGGGTTTGTCACATTGTTGGCAAATAACATCAAATTGGTAGTGTGTTTGTGTTGAGGTCGCGAGAAGAGGCAAACGATTGTCAATAAAGGGCAAACATGATCTGTCACCGTTGTGATTGGAGACCCAAGGACAACTCTAGTTGTTATTTCTGTTTGAGAGTCATCCACCACGTCAATGTCCACATTCATAACCTCGTCTTTGCCCTCGATATCCATTGTACTAATGGGTGTTGTTGGTGGCCCTCGTTCGATGTTGAAGTGGGTTTGAGGATCGGTGGAAGCACGATAGACATCGATTGACACCGAGACTGATGACATCTTGTTGAAAAGTTGTTCCTCCTCAACAATAAGATCATATAATTCGTCAAAAGAGAGTGAGGGACGGAGATGTAGTGAAGGACTGAATCCCTTGTACTCATGTCCAAGTCCATCAAGGACATATTCGATTAGTTCCTCATCCGTCATGGTTGAGCTAGCGGCATTGAGTGAATCAAAGAGAGACTTTGCGTGCATCAAGTATTCAATGATGGGTTTTTCAGAATCTTTCTTAAAGGTGCAGATTTGATCATGGATAGTGTGGATATGAATCTTGGAGAGAGGAGAAAGCCGTTTTTCAAGGAGAGACCACACCACATGGTCTAAGGTGCAAGGAATCAAAATGGTCTTGATTGAGGGGAAAGAGGTTGCCTTGATCCAACTTAGGATTAGTTTGTCCTTGGAGTACTTAGGGTTAGTGGATTTGTTTGCCAATCTTTGGTGGTTTGGTTTCACGCTTCACTGTGTCCTCCAGATCATAAAGCTCTAGAATTTCTTCAATTGCGATCTCCAGCAAAGGTAGTTGCTTTGGTCCATAGGTGTGTTTATCATGTGAGAGATGTTGAAAGAAGTGGGGATTGAGGAAAGTGTATTTATCATGGTGATGTCAGAATTTTTTGAAGAAAGTAGAGAGTCTGCAGAGGAAGAGATTGGGGAGGACTCGACCAGGAGCCAGGATTGGGATCGGGTATTTTTTTTTTTTTTTTTTTTTTTTTTTTTTTTTTTTTTTACTAGCCCCTGTGGGCTCTGATACGAGTAGGAAAAGAGGTGTGAAGAGGAATTTGGAATAAATGAGGTTTAGGAAGAATGGCTCAATTGGTCTTTGCTATATATTGATCTTTAATATATACAAGGATATATTTGACTGCAAGAAATTACATATGGTAAGAGAATAATATATTCTATGTAATTACAAGATTATAGGAATTATTGTAGGGCCCAACAATGATCACATGGTTGTTGAAGGAAAAATGTGATCCTCCCAACATAATTTCACCACCACTAATTAATTAATGGGGTTTTATTATTTTAGGTTCGACCCATTCGAAATGTAGTGTCTCTTAATTACAATCTCTTGCTTCAAGGGACCACCCTTTGATTCCATCATAAAGAAACAGAACGTGTGTTTGGTTTTGCGGCTGCCCCTAAGTCGAACCTCAAGGTGCCTAAGTATCCCTTGAGAGAATCAAGCCACTCGTAGTTCAAAGAATCTCAATGAGTAAATGACTCGTTGTGGAGGGAAATTTGATTTGAATTGTATTGAGAAGTGTTTGAGTGAATTTAGCTGAATAAACCAGGGATTCGATATGGAATTGAGTTTTGGTAAGTTGCATCTAGATTGAATCTCTAGATTTCTACGTACCCTTTCAAGGGGATCAAACCAACGTAGTTCGGAATTTGGGAATTAATGGGTAAGTCTGGCCCACCAATTGAGAATTTGTGTCTTTGGGACATTTTGGGGATTTTCATAGGTGATGATTCATGGGAAAAATTAGAAATTAATGGGTAAGTGTGGCTCACTAATTGAGAATTTTTGTTTGAGAGATTTGAATTTAATCTCAATGAAATTTGCATGGGTAGATGACCCCTGAAAAATTAGATGGTTTTGTACCACTTTTCTTGTTGTCAATGTACGAGAAAAATAATGAGTAATTTTAATTATCCCATTAATTTTTCCTAAAAATTGACAATTGCACTTGGGATAGTGTTTTAGCAAAATTTGGTTAAGATAAACCATGGATTTAAATTTGGTTGCAGTGGCGTCTATTGGGATGTTAGATTGCCTACGTACCCTTGATGGGATCAAATTGACGTACTTTTGAAATTTGATTTAATTTGCGTGGTTTTGTACCACTTGGGCCTTTGATGTGGTTTTATACCACTTGAGCTTCAATTTGTTGATTTGAGAATTAATGGGCATTTTAGAATTTAAGCCCATTATTCCATAATTTGTGGACTTGAGACTTTGCACCAACTGTTCACCAACTGGATTTTTTAATCGATAAGTCCGTTGTGCTGGAGATAATGGAATGAGCCCATTTAATACCATTGAATCTTGAGATGCAAATTTTGGAGACGTCGGGTTTTGAGATATGAGATGAACCCATTGTGTCTTGATATCCATTTTGACATTAGACCGTTGGGTCGTGAGAAACTTCACTTTGGTATCAAAGAAGAAACCATATTGTTTCTTCCCTTCTGGAGCCTCACGTGGTGGGAGATTTTTTCACCACAAGGAATATTGTCTTCTGGAGCCTCAAGCTCCCTATACAATAATATTGTCTTCATGCCTTCATGTGGCAAATTTTTCCACCACGAAGAAATCTTTGTTTTTTTTTAAATATTTGTCTTCAGCTTCAATTCTTTTCTTGGAGGCCATAAAGACTTGGGAATCATATGAGCCACCCCTTTGTTTCAATTGCAATAGCAACATCAGTGGTTTGAACAATTTGGTTGTCTTGAGCCTTGCCTCCACCCCATATGACGAGTAGCATTTCTTGACCACCATAAGTCAGCAAAGGGAACTAGCCTTTTTCTTGCTGGTGGATCTTTGTTATCACAAATAAAAAATGATATTTGTGTGCCTTATCCAACTCGTTCCTTTCGGCTTGGTGCCAAAAGTAAATGCCTTTTAATTTGATCAAGACACCCAAGGATAGAAATCCTTCTCCCAGTGAAGTATGGATAGGCCATATTGTTCCTTGTTGGATTTGAAGACAAGAATCACAAGAAGAAAAGGGCCTTTTCCGAATAGGACTAGACCACAACAATTTATTTTAAAAAGGGTATACGTGCAACACAACTTAAGAGCACCAACAATTAAAACGAGAGCGCTCGATATTTTGTTGTTGTTCCAAACCAGTTCGTACACCTTCACAGGCTGTCTGCTGCATCATCAAAAGAAGAAACAGATTGTTTCTTCCCCTCCTGAGGTTTCATGTGGTAACCCACACTCATAATCTTCATTTTCTTCTCTCTCTTTTTTTCTTTTGTTTATCTCCATGTCTCTGACTTTTTGTCTTCTCTTTTGCATGTACAGATTAAAGAAGTGCTTTGCTGTATGCCACATTGAGAACTCCAGGAGCAGTTTGTCTTCTTGCTTTGTTAAAACAAATCCAAATTGAGTACCTGCTTTGTCTTCTTCCATATTGAAAGATTTTTCTTTACTTATTCTTTCAGTCAAAGCTGATCATGAATTTTGATTCAAGATAAGGAGGGGCTATGCAACCCAGCCTCTTTTTTTTTAATTTCATTACCCTTTTTTTTTACTACGTTGCCTCTTATTTTGTCTCTTTGCAAACAAAACACAAGAACAAAGTCAACCACCATTTTTTCCTTCATTATCTCTTCTTCCTTACTCCTTTTTTCAATCAAAGCAGACCAACAGTGGGAGGGAGGGCTGTGCGACACAGCCCCCTTTTATTTTTTTCAGCAGCTCTTTGTTTTGCTTCTTTGCAAACAAAACACAACAAACAAACCCACCATTTTTCTTTTGCTCAATTATCTCTTTCTGCGCTGGCTCCCTGCATTTGGAAGCATTTAACTGAAGTTGCCTATTGGAAATATGATGATTGAAATCATCATGGAAGACAATCTTCCCTGTTGGTGGTGTTGAAAACATCGATGGAATTATTTTAACGGAGCCAAGCCTCAAAGAGATTCTTAAGTTTGTTTATGATGATTGAACAAACATAGCTGGAATTATTTGAGCGGAGCCAAGCCTTGGAGAGATTCTTAACTTTGTTTATCATCATAGCCAAGAATCTCTGTGGATTGATCAAACAAACTGCTGGAATTATTAGAGCGGAGCCAAGCCTTGGAGAGATTCTTAACATTGTTTATGATGATTGAAATCATCATAGCCAAGAATCTCTGTGGATTGATCAAACAAACTGGGTGTAGATCATATCCTCGAAAGTACTTGAGCAGAGCTGTCCCTTTGAGAGATTCTTGGCCCTTTTTATGATGATAGAAATCATCATAGCCAGGAACCCTTGAGTTGAATGAAACCTGAAGTCTTGAGCAAAAACCAAAAAATTGTGCCATGAAACTAATATTTTTACCTTGAAATGGCTCTTCCCTTTCTGAAGTGTGCTTGCTAATTTTTCCGTCCTACGGTTGTTCTCATTTCTCCTCCTTTTCTTTCCCGCGGTTGTTCTCCTCTCTGCCTTCTTTTCTTTTTGGTGGCTGGTCTCTTCCTGGTTCTTTTATAGGCCCTTAATTTTGGGGAGTTCGAGATTAAATGAATAATCACTCTTTGGCTTCAATGTTTGACACAAACACTTTAACTGAAATATCCTGTAGGCAAAGAACTGTAATTCCATTTGAACACGTGCTCCATAGTTGGAATATTGGTGTTATCTTATTTTATAGGTTTCCATGTGTGCAGCCATCTTCTCTTATTTAATGAAAATTATCATTTAAACAGTTGCCTTCTCAAGCGTTGTGCATAAAATGACCTTTTATGTGCAACACTTGATAGCTTTCCCTTTGAACTGAGACTTTCCTGACTTTTCTTGCATTAATTATTTATTTTTTTGAAAAATTCAGGAAATGGACGCGCAAGGTCAATTCGGATTTGAACGAGTCTTTGATTCACACGGAAGGGAATTTGTCTATGGCCCCCAATATGCGATATCACTACCTTTGAGTTTCGTGCTGCTAAATGTACCTCCTGAGAGCCATGCAACCTGGTATACCACCGCCTCCGTAAATTCAGGGTATCTTGAATTCAAACCCCATGCAGAAGAAAAGGTGATTTCAGTATGCCAAATGCACCGTGCTGTGTTTACAGCACATTGTTTGGAGGATGTCAATAATGAAGTGGATGGAGACGTGAAATTCCAAATCAAAGATCTTCCAACACGTGATGATTTTTACCCTGCTTTGCATAGAATGATCAAGCATAAACTGAAGTGGGGGCCCCATTATCAGTTCTATGGCCGAGCCACTTTTGAAACTGGCGTTGCGGAGTGGACAAAACGCGTTATGAGTGACTTTGGAGACATATTGCATAAGGCAAAAATATATGTTGCCGTAGCAATCTCCCAATATCCTTACGAGTGTTGCCCAAATATATGGAGAGCATTTTGTGAATTATGGGGGCCCTTGTGCAACACTTTTCATCATGGCAATGGTGAGATGGGGATTTCTCTCTATGACATGAAAGTCATTTGTGAGTTGCCAATCTTAGGAGATTTCCCAAAATAAAGACTTGCAACAAAATGGAGTATATCCTCCGGCTATCACTGAACTTCTGAAGATCCATTCTCAATTATGTATTTATCATAATCAGTCTACCGTCAGCTGGGCCCAATGGATTGGGCACTTTTATCGAGAGAAGATTATTTATAAGGCCTTTGGAGATGGCAAGAGAAAACTTCAAGGTCAAACTTTAAAGGCTCCATAAATCACTTTACGTATTTCAAAGGAAGGGAGGTTGGCTGCATTCTTGTCATTTTGGTTGAGTAGATTTGTGTTACTTCCACGGATCACAACGTCAGACCTGAAACTTTTCACATGGCATATTTGATGGCACAAGGGGTCAGAGTTTCACTTGAACCAATTGTTTTGGGATATATTTACCATGGTCTTGGAGAAATTGCCACTCATCCAGAAGGTCTAGGCTCGTCAAGTGCTTCTTTCCCAATTCATTATGTTATCGGTTGGTTAGGAGAACATATTCCGGGCTTGTACGTGCCACAAACTGATAAGGGATTTGTAAAATACTACCCTTTTTTAGTGAGGTATGCGAGTGTCAAGCCAAAAGATTTTAGACTTAATCGTGCCAAAATTATATTTCATAGCGACAAATAATTGATTTATCGCCCAACTACATTTATTCAAGATGAAGGTCGTTCCTTTGCTGACAAGAAGGATCTATCAGACAGAAAATTTGAATTTCTAGTTTGCACACGTTATGCGCTTTTGCCTGTGAGAGTGAACAACAATCTTTGGTTAGAACCATACTATCCAAATAGATTTGCTCGCCAATTTGGTTTTGACCAAGGTGTCTGTTTGGGGGTTGTGGAAATCCACTTAACCCATGCACAAGAATTGGCCGGGCGCGAGAATTAGCTGGGCACGGGTGAAACGGGGCAACTGGGTTTCAGAGTCCCTGGGATTTCGAAAATGCGTCCGGGGCTTGCTAGATTGGAGCGGCCAACTGTGTCGAATGATGGTGGCGGCTGTAGTTGTTTTCCTAGCAAATTGGGCAGTTCGAGTGGAGTTGAAAATCTCAACCGGGATTGGAGAAATTCGCGGCCGGAGGTCCTCAAAGAAGGTGCGGCCGAGTATTGTGGATGAGTGAATTGCTGCCCGGTTTTTTGGACTGGAAGCTCTTTGTGGCCGGGGCCTTTGTCGGTCTCCAAAGTTAGGGCTGGAGTATCTGGGCTCTTTAGAAATCGGGCGGAAGAGTTTGCAAATATGCGGCCGAAGGTTTTTTGGGTTTAATGAAGCGGTGGATTATTTTGAATTGTGCGGCCGAACCTTTGCAAGCCTTCCTTGTCCTGTTTTATAATATATATATATATATATATATATGCGCATATATAAATGAATGGATGTACAATTAGTGCTTTAAGAGTTTTTGCAAAATGGGCAGCTGTGTTAGGGTGAGTGCGGCCAAAGGTGAATAAATATGCATATGGATGAATGGGCTGTTTTGGAGTAGGCTGCTTTAAGAAGGCTGGGAGAGGAATCAAATGCCCAACTTCAAGCCAACGATCCGAGCCCAGATTTTCGGAAGATTATGTGCACGTGACGGAGGGCCTCACAAGGAAAGAAATCCGAGTGTTCCAAAACAAGGAAGAATCAAGCATGTCAGAATATCAATGCAATCCTACGGATTTAGAAGGGCTTCGAAAGGAAAGATTTTAAAGAAGAGTTGACATTTGGCCATTCAATGGCCAGCCCATGGGCTGACGAGTGCCCTATATAAACCTTGCTCAACGAAGACATCAGACACACAACATCAGACAAACAAACCTATCTTTTGTCTCGCACTTTTCTTTTCCTAGACTTAGGATTTTATTTTTCAAGCACCTAGTGTAGTGAGTTCTTCATATTTCTAGTGTAAGTTTATATTTTCCTTGTCATTTAAATTCTTGTTCAATTTATATTTCTTGTCATTTCAATTCAAGTTTATTTTGATTCCTTTACATTTAATTGTTATCGCACTTCGATTAAATTTAACTTCAAGTTTATTTCCTTTTCGTTCTTATCGTTCTTATCGCTTTTATTTTATTCTTGCTTTATCTATCGCTTTGATTTATTTTATCGCATTTCAATTCTTGTCTTTACGTTTATACGCATATTTAGTTTAATTGCATTATTTTTACTCAAACCATAAAAATCACAAAAAACATCCGTACGAAACCTAACCATTCTCGAGCCCGAGAAAGTGAAAGAATCTAGACCAAGAAGAGGTTCCTTGCTTGGCCGATCAATCGTTTGGTCAGAAGTTAGAAGCGCAACACATCCATCTATTCTCATTCCATTCAAGCCCAATTTCGGGGCTTGGTGGTGGCACGCCCCGCATCCAAAAGAAGAAGGACCAAAAGTTCCTTCTGTCGGCCGCCCCGGCCGAAAAGAGGGTAACAGTGTCCCTTCAAACAAGCTTTCCTTTAGCGTTCGTGACAGGCGCAAGTGTGGCATGGAGGTTAGCCAGAGCACAAATCACTTTACTTAAAAGGGATACAATAGCTGGATTTTATATCCCACGCTCTACTTGCGTTGGAGTTTGCACTTGGTGGTATTGCAAATGGTGGATGGGGTCGTCAACACCATATATGGGATTATCTGTAGCTAGAATTTTCTTGCCTTCTAGCAAACGCCTTGAAAGGAACGATAATGTTTTTGTTGTTAGGCCGGAGAATCAAGACCCTACAGGTTGTCAAAAAGAGGCCTCCAACAAGCGTCCTTTTTCGTGTAGTGACAACAACAATAGTCCAAAGTGAATTCGAAGCCAGAATCTTGACAATCCAGTTGATGACAGAGTCAGTTCTTCCCATGCAGATGCTGCTACTCTTATCGGAGACTTGGTATTCCCCATGAATGAAGGGCCATCAGAACAGGGCAGTACCACAAACTTCCCAAGTGAAGCAGACAATGCTCAAGAAGTGAGCAATGAACCAAATGATGCAATCATTGCACTTGATGTGAGCAATGATCCAAATGCAATTGGTGCTCCTGATGTGAGCAATAAACCAAATAAGACAGATGATATTGTTGAAGATGATTGCCCCTTGCCATTGATTGAATACTTGCCCTCTTCACCTTATGTGAAGAATTTCATTCACTGCATTCTTGGTCCAAGTGTGGCTCCATGTAGGCGAAGGTTCATTGCTGAGGAAATGCAAGACGTCTTTGATAGAATTTCTTCCTCCAAATCACCTATAGACCTACTAGCTCACCGCGATCGTATTTTGGGGGCACTTGGTCTCTTGCAACCTATGATTAATACCCTTGAATTGGGCCAGGATGAGTTTCAAGAATTTGAAACAATTATCCAACACATTTTTGAGCTGGCTACTTCATTTTCCAAGAACGTTGCCTTCGTGGGAGAATATGCCCATGTAGATGTTGACCGCATCAATGCCTTGACCACCCAATATGAGCAATGCTTCACTATCATAAAACCATGAACTTGCAGCTAACAGAACTTAATAGTGAGCTTGCTGATGTGAATGCTACAGAGGTTGATGTTGAAAAGGCAGAGAAGGAAGCTGAAGAGGGGGGAAAGCGAACTCATGAAATGCGACAACAGTTTAAATCGAAGACAAGTGCCCTTAAAGAAAGTGCAAAAGATTTGCAACAATCTTTAGACCAACAATTCGAAAAGGAAATTGGGCCTCGACAGGCTAGAATTGATGCCAATGAAGCAATGCTCCCAAAACTCAGAGAGGCGGAACTTAGGCTTCTCACAAGAGAAAGAAATTCGCCAGTTAGTTAGCTCATTGATTTCCCTTTGTAGTAGAGTGGAGTACTCCTTTTCCCATTTTCCTTTCATTTTTCTCTTTTTTCATTACCTTTAGTTATTGTAAACTCATTTGTCCACCTTAACTAGTATTGAATGAATTTTTCTATTTTATACACTTACTCATGCTAATATTTTTTTTTAGTACTTACATCATTTAGCAATTTTGCCACTCACAAAACATGGGTGAATGATAGGGTTTTTGGTGATTTACGGCTGCACTCAGCTTTTTAAGCTAAGTTGCCTACGTACCCTATAAAGGGATCAAGCCATACGTAGTTCACCCCTTGATTTTCAGGGGAAGAAAGGGAAAAATGGATTTTGTGGCCACATCTAGTGGCAAGACTAGACTGCATACGTACCCCTTTTGAGTGATCAAGCCACCGTAGTTCCTTTGCTTGGACCGCCCTCTCGGGTTTTTAGCCCACAAAGCTTCTCTTTTTTTCTTTTTTCTTTTTTTACTCTAACTTTTGCTTGGCCCACCCTTTCAAGTTTTCAGTTCAACGAGCATTTTTTTATTTTTAGCTCTAACTTTTGCTTGGACCGCCCTTTCGAGTTTTCAGTCCAACGAGCATTTTTTTTTTTAGCTCTAACTTTTGCTTGGACCACCCTTTCGGGTTTTCAGTCCAACGAGCATTTTTTCTAACCATCAGGCATAAAACTTCTTGATGAATTTCTCATTCACACAAGGATATACGCATTTGCCTTCGGCGTTTGACAACTCGTAGGCACCCTTGGAGAAAACTTTAGTAATGACGTAAGGCCCCTCCTACTTGGGTTCAAACTTACCGTGCATTTTCCTGGTAATGACAAATGGTCTTTGGACAGTTAAAACCAAATCTGCAATTGAGAAAGATATGAACTTAACTTTTCTGTTGAATGCCCATGCAACCTGAGCTTGATATATTTCGAGCCTTTGTTGAGCTACCAGTTTTTTCTCATCGAGAGCTTTAAGCTCTGCCAGTCTCACATTTGCATTTTTGTCAGGGTTTGCCAACTGTAAAGCTACCCTTAACGATGGCAATTGGACTTTTAATGGTAGAATAGCCTCGAAGCCAAACACCAAATTGTAGGGTGTACATCTTGTTGAATTGCGTATGGTCGTCCTATAAGCCCATAATGCTTCAGGGAGGCGCTCATGCCAGTCTCTTTTATTTCCTGAGATCATCTTCTTTAGGATGTTGCACAGTATCTTATTGAAAGCTTCAGATTGACCGTTTGACGACGAATTGTAACTCGCGGAAAACGAGTGCTGAAACATATACTTCTCGCACAACTTGGTCATGGACTTGCACTTGAAATACAATGCATTGTCGGATATTATCTTCTATGGAACCCCATAACAGTAGATGATATGATTCCTTATGAAGTTTGTAACATCGTCTGCTCATACCTCCAGTAATAACCCAATCTTTTTAGTTGATTTGAGAGTTTTGGACCAACTTGATGAGCACCGCAAGTACCAGCATGAGTATCATGATGGGCTTTAGTTGCGTCTTGTTTCGACAGACACCTTAACAACATACCATCAAATGATCTTTTGTACAATGTGTCGTTTAAATACTAAAACCGGGTGGCTCTGCGTTGAACTTCAGCCTTTTTCCTTGAGTCATTTGGCAATTTGCCATGTTGCAGATACTTGATTATGGGATGATGCCAATCGAGATCATCTAGTTCTTCCTCATATTCGGAAGCTGTAATGACGTTTGAATCAACAACTTCTTCAATTCTTTCTATAGTTGGGGGTAGTAAATGATGTTCCCCAACAGTGATTTGGATATCCCTTTCATCAGGTAGCGTTAGCGATGTAGCCAAATTAGCTAGCGCAACAGCTTTATCATTTTTCGACCTCGGGATGTGACTGACATGAATGTCTTGAAACTATGACATGAGATATTTTGCCCTTTCATGGTATAGGACGAGAGTCGTATTTCTAACAACGTATTGGCCATTCAATTGTCTGACAACTAACTGTGAATCACCTTATACTTGCAAACAATCAATATGCATCTCGAGAGAAATTTCAAGGGCAATGATAAGTGCCTCATATTCTGCCACATTATTTGAACACAATGCTAGTAGAGAGAATGAGTATGGGATTAAGCCCCCAGACGGCGTGATGAACACTAATCCTGCCCCAGCTACTTTTCCTCTTGTTGCCCCATCAAAATATAACTGTCATGTAAGTGCCTCTGTTGTGAACTTCTCTTCGTTGAGCAAATCATCAGGTAACTCCATGTTGTCGGGAGTAGGATGATCATCCAAGAAATCAACCAGAGCCTACCCTTTGATTGCCTTTTGTGGCACAAACTTTATCTCAAACTCAGAGAGGAGGAGTGACCACTTGGCTATTCACCTAGAGAGCACAGGCTTGGACATTAAATATCGGAGTGGATCTGCCTTGGAAATCAAAATGACTCTATGAGAGAGGATGTAGTGTCGTAGTTTCTGGACAGCAAACAACGAAGCGAGGCAGACCTTTTCGGTGGGGGTGTAATTTTGTTCTGCCCCTACGAGAGTTCTACTCAAGTAATATACTGCATTCTCCTTTCCATCCTCGTTCTGTTGGGCGAGCAATGCACCCAACGAGCGTTCTAATGTTGCAATGTATAGGATTAAAGGCTTCCCTTTAATTGGTGCCGTTAGAACTTGTGAATTCAACAGGTATTGTTTAATGTTTCCAAAGCATTTTGGCATGCTTGATCCCATGCAAACGGAACATCCTTCTTCATTAACCTCTAGAATGGTTGACACCTTCCAAAGAGATTTGAGATGAAACGTCGTATATAAGCTAGTCTTCCTTGCAGCCCTCGCAGCTTTCTTAAATTTCGAGGGGGAGGCATTTCACGGATTGCCTTTGATTTTTGAGGGATCATTTCAATTCCACGATGTTGAACAATAAAGCCAAGGAATTTGCCAGAAGTTACACCAAATGCACATTTTCAGGGGTTCATTTTCAACTGGTGCTTTCGGAGCCTATCAAAAACTCGTTTTAAGTCACTCAAATGATGTTCTCTTTTTCTGGTTTTGACAACCAAATCATCAACGTAGCACTCAATGGTATTGTGAAGCCTATCATTGAAAATTACCGTCATGGCTCTTTGGTAAGTCGCCCCCCGCATTTTTCTACCCAAAAGGCATCACAATGTAGCAGTATATTCCTTTTGGAGTGCAGAAGCCAGTTTTCTCTTAATCCTTTGGAGCCATTTTTATTTGGTTGTAACCCGAGAATCCATCCATAAACGATAGAGCACCGAAACTGGTTGTTGCGTCTACCAATAATTCTGTAATTGGAAGTGGAAACTCATCTTTTGGGCATGTATCATTGATGTCTCTATAGTCCACACATATACATAGTGCCCCAGTTTTTTTGAGGACTGGGACAATATTAGACCACCAGGTGGGATATTGGACATCTCGGATAAAACCAGCGGCAATAAGCTTGTCAATCTCTATTTCTATTTGGATTGTTAGCTCTGGCCAAAAATGGCGTGGAGCTTGCTTCACCCATCGAGTCTCATTAGGTATCCCAAGTTTGTGAACTGCAACGTTTGGGTCTAAACTTGGCATGTCTTGATAACCCCCATGCAAATACATCTTGGTACTCTTGCAAAAGTTGTGTGTATTCTTCTAACTGTTGCGGTGTCAATGAAGCACTAACAAAGATGGGTTTAAGACTGTTAGTTGTACCAAGATTAATTTCTTGGAGATTACCAATCGTGGCTTGACCTCCCTCCTCCATTTGTGGTGCAGCTGGTTGGACTATGTCAACAAATTCCTCGTTATCTGGAGGGCTATTGTCTTGACCCACTGTTTCTTTGAAAGAGGTGCAGTTGACTTGGGCATCGTCATCCTTTATTTTCACCCTTTTGACTGTTTTGAACACGGATTTATCTTGATTCTTAACCTTCCATTTCCTCTTATTATGGACTTTCTCTCGTTGAAAATTTGAAGGGCTCTCCAAGCGTTGAAAGACTGAGATGCGAGGTGGTTGTCTGCCCTTTAAGCGTTTGAACACAGAGATGCAAAGTGGCCTTGTATTCACCTCATCTTCTCTGAACATAGCTTGTTCCATAGTAGTGAGCACTTCGGGCTCGGAAGTTTCTGGTTGTGGCCTTCAAAGAGACACTTTGAGCATGCCAATCTCATTTTGAACTGTAAGGCCAACATTGCTTTTCTTTGCTTTACGGCCTTTAAGTTTTATCTTTAATGGAGAAGATGTTGCTTCTAGCAATAATGCCTTTTTGTGAACAACTACATGTTTACTCGGGCCATCGTTTTTGCCAAAAGTAGTCGAAATGACCAAACTGCCCCTTGGGATAGACTGATTGATCTTTCGCAGGGACGAGTGTAACTTGTTGTCATCAATGACCCGATTGTTTGTTTCAAGGACCCTGTTTCCCTTTCACTAGGCTTCTTTTTTGAAGTCTTGATGATTATCTTTGGTTTGGGAGCCTTTGGGACTTTTTCAACTTTTGAGGACGATGCACCACGAGGTGTTAGCTGCACTCAAATTACTCTTGAGGGTTTGGGCACTTCTGCCTTCTGTGATTTTCTTGTTTCAGCAGTCGCTCCCTCATTCTCCTTATCAACCTTTGATGGCTATGTAAATGAGAGACCAGGTGGACCTTAAAACTTTGCATCTGAGTAATTTACCTCTTCACCTTTAAATGGGTCCATGTTGGCTGAAACGCTCTTGACTTCTGTTTGTGCCTAATAAATCACGGTCATAAACTAATTGAAGGGACTTCCTCTCGGTCCTAGCGCCTATCGTTTCGTTAAGCATTTCGCATTCTTGAAAACAAAAGAAAAGCTGCAAAGGTAGAATCCTCTCAGCCTCGCGACCGCAGTATTGAAGGCCAAAGCCGAATGCCGTAAAAGACACGGCCGAGGAAACTGTGGTTAAATCGCCACGTAGCCTCAAGGTCCCACGCCCCATTTAATGAAGTAATGCCTCTGACTTCGCAGCAAACCCACTAGTCGCAAGAAGCATTTAATGCACAAGGGAAGAAGGGAAGTGACTGAAGTCAGGATTTGGTGATGGAAATCAGGGTGGTTAGGCGCAGACATTCTTACAAGTAATCTTACGACTTGAGGTCAGATCACCAACCACCAGACCAGGGCATTAAATGCGTTCCCACGGCCAAGGGGGCAGAACCCACGATTAAGGCGGTGGCCGAGATTTACCGGGATTTATGGGAGTCACACCACCATGCTTCACGATCCCAAACCACCATGCTTCACGATCCCAAATGCCGATTTGACTACCCACTTGCCCCGATCAGGCTCCACACGTAGGTCTTTTCAGCCTCGATTGTCCCTCCAAGACTCCTTCTATAAATACTAAGCTCAGGACTACATTCAAAGAGTTCAAACACCAAACCAAAAGCCTCCTACGGAGCAAATTATATTTTCCTGTAATGCACTTTCAATACCTTTACTTGCTTTCCTAGGAGTAGTGATAAATTGTAAGGAAAATCCATTCATCAATATATCATACGACCTTTGATTTTCAAGGCGCCGGAGCACCATCTCTGTTCTCATCTCACTCACCCCATATATCATACGACCGTCGCTCTCTGAGCAACGCGCCGGAGCACCACCTAAAACCCACCACCAACACCACCACTAAAACGGCCTTGTAGCTCAGGTCGTGAACCTGACGGCCGAGATCAGTTCCTCTCTCGGCCATAATCGTTTGATTCAGATTCGAACGCGAAACAGGCGCATCATTTAACCATCTTCTACCTGAACCTCATCACCATCTCAACGCACGGTAGACCGTGCTGGCACGCCCACGCACAACCGCACTGCACTCAAAAGAAGGACATCACGTGTTGACGCACATCCCCTCGGCCCGGAGCACCAAGCCGTGAGATTCGCAACAACAGCCAACAACTTCCCCATCCACCAAGTATTTAAAGCACTGGTGAAGTGTAAAAGGGACTACGCAATATGTATGGAGCCATGGGCGCCCTAGCAGAATGTTTTATGAAGTGTCAGCATCGATCACATGGAATAGAGCATCTGAATATAGGTCCCCTATTTCCATTTGTAGTGCAATAGAACCCATGGCTTTTTGCCCAAGTTGATTGAACCCTTGAATAGTCAGCATAGATAGAGACAATTTTCGGGCACTCATCCCTATAGCATGGAGCGTCTTTAAAGGGATAAGATTCACAGCCGAACCAGAATTTAACAAGATTCGACTGATGGTCGTGCCTCCAACTTCACCAGTGACATAAAGAGGTCAATTATGGGATTTGGACCCAACTAGAAAGTCATCGTCACCAAATGTAACTGTTGCCATACACGATGCACAAAACTTTGAGGTTTCAGTTGTGTGGACATCTGTTGATTTGAAACATGACTTGTACAAATCCGGGCTCATTAAAGCCATTACAAGTGCTTCCCTAAGCTCTCTCGACATTTGTAGAGCGTCATAGACACTTAAAGAAGCGGGGATACACTTAAGATGAGCCAAAATATCATACTTCAGTGCATGTAATTGGGACGACTCCTTTGTTTTACCAGTATCGAGCTTAGGATCTTTTGCTTTTGAAGTGGACATCGGAGCTTCCCCTGCAACAGTTTTTTCTGACAAGGAGACCTTAATTTCTTTCGCCTTCGACTTCTTCTCAGTTTTAGAGGGATCAGATTCCCCATTTTGTTGCGCTTTATCAGCAGATGGGATGCTTCGACCGGAGCGGAGGTTAATCTCATCAACCTCTATGTCGACCTCATATTCCTCTACAGAAACCATGTTGCATTGAATGATTTCTTCCTCAACTTCATATTCACTCGAGAAGAATTCAACTGGCAAAAACTCAGTGAGTGTGACAGGGCAAGGGTTTGGTCATATTCATCTTCTTGGGTGATTTGAACTTTCTTTTGCATCCTCTTCTTCTTTCTCTTATTTTTCAAGGATGGCATGCCTCAAATCTTGATACCAGGACGAGTAGTAAATCTGTGATTGGGTGAGAAATGTTTAGCCATGTGCTTGTCCCTTTTAACAACTATCTTCCACCCCTCAGCAGATTCGTCGGCTGAAGAATCTTCTCATATCTCTAGACTGGATGCAGCCATGAGCTCATGAAGAGTAGGAATTTGAAGATTATTAGACTGCGGTGCCTTCAGACAAACATGTACGATTGTGCCCTCGTTATCGGAATTAATACCTGCAAATTTCACTCCATCTAGTAATGCAGTGATGGGTGTGAGCTTTTCTTCTATCATATTTGCCGCAGCTGAATGATGTTGGGAAGAAGAGTCTATCTCTAAACCGCCATTGTTGAGGAGCTCTTGGATTTTGTCCTTCAAGATATAACAATCCTTGAGCGTATGACTGACAAGGCGATGATACCGACAATATCTAGGGTCATTTGTCTTGTTGGCCTTAGTAGGACGCTTTGATTCGGACAGAGTAATAGCTTTGGAGGCCAAAAATTGATCAAAGATTTCTTCTACAACATCATCGTCAAAAGAATATTTGACCTCTTTGCGTTCTTTAAGAGTGAGCTTTTTGGGTGGATCTTTGCTTTGGCCTTTTTCATTTTCTTTTCTGTTTTGACAAAAGTGGCCAACGACTCTCCTTTCGTAGACTTCTTGTCGTTTTTCTTCTCTCCAAATTGAATTTTTTGGGTTGCGGACTTTTGGCGAGCAATTTGTCTTTCAACATTGCTCATCTTTGACACCAAAGCATCAAATGATTGGGGGTTCAGCAGTGGCAACAAAATTCGCAATGTCTGGCATGAGGTTGTTGAAGCACATTTGCACTGCCAATTGCTCAGTAATTTTCTCCAGGCATTGAAGAGTAAGGCTCCTCCATCTCATTATGAAGTCATTAGCACTTTCCCCTGGCTTTTGTGTAGTTTGAGCTAGGTCCATGATCGAGACCTTTATTGAACTAACAAATTGTGCCAAAAATGCTTTTTGCATGTCGTCCCATATCAGGATAGAGCCTAGTGGTAGTTATGTATACCAAGTGAAAGCTGATCCTTTTAGGGATTAGACAAATTAATACATTAGGAGAGTGTCTGACTGTGATGTCTCGCCACATGCTGAGTAAAAATGTGCCAGATGTTCATGGGGTGAGCTATTTATGCCACCAAATTTATCGAATATGGGCCGTTCATAACCCTTTGGGAATGGTATAACATCATAGTGAGAAGGGAAGGGTTTTTGATACCCTTGAACAGGAGGTGCTATGGACATTTGGAACTCACGAATCCCCTCAACAATTAATGCCTTTATGTCGTTTGGGGAAATTGTGCTCATAGAGCTCTCTGCTTTTTCCACTTTTGTATATTGTTCTTGGGTCACGAATTCATTTGTTTTGCCCCTGTCTTGCTCACCTATGACGGCCTTTTCTTTCAGCCGAGCGAATAGTAACGCTATTTCTGCGTCTTTCTCTGCTAACTTCTACTGCATTTCCTTCGTAGGTCTTGCATCATTTCTTGGATTAAGGGTAACTGGTCCTCAATATTAGAAGTACCAGTCATCATGACTTGCATACTTTCCACTCCCTCATGAAGTTTGGCCCCTTGGGATGCTATACCATCATTCTCTTGAGTTTGAGATAAGAGATCATCATAAAGAGGATTCCATTGCAAATAATCGTCCAAGCGGGTTGGGTTTAGAGTGGATAACTCAGGAATAATCATCCCCATCATATCTCAGGATTTAGAACGAGTCAATGGACCCACGTAGGACCTCGACTGATCTTGAGGTATCGGGACTGCCCCCTGTGATGTGAGAATTTGATCCCTTGAAGCATCAATTGTCTTCACCTTTTTTCACAAGCTTCCTTTGTGGATGAGGTATGTTCACCACCTTCTTTTTCATGATGATGGCTTTGCATTTACCTTTGGGAGAACATGGGTAAACCTCTTGTAATGTGAATTCCACAACATGGGCTCTAGGGCTTGACGGAGGTTCAGCCCCTTGGACCTCGACGTTCTTCACAGAGTCGTCCTTTTAACCTTCATCACTAGTTTCATTGGTGGAAGTCATCATAACAGAATATGTAGGATATAGGTTGACCGGGATTGATCCAATCATGATTTGGACAAATCGGGTAGCCTTTGCCCCCTTGGGAGCCGGCACAACTAGGGTGCTTGAGGTGTTCTTGCCTTTAGCCACCATTGGGCTTGTCCTAGAAAGCTCGGCTAAAATTGCCTCAATAGACTCCTTATTTGCTTCTTTCTTTCTTAAAGCACATGCAGCCCTCTTTCTTGCATTTTGGAGAGCATTCTTAGACGATGTTTTCTTCAATTGGATCTTGACGACCTTAGGAGTGACCTGAGGCTTGACCCTCTAAATGGGCTTTGGAACAACGCACTTGATGAAGCTCGCACCACGAATGAAAGTCTTTTTGAACCCCACTCATTTGGTGCACGCATCTTGGTAGTTTCAATCTTGTGGAACAAAAATGTAACTTGTGGTGCCATCGTATCTGGTTTTTTTAACCTATGGCAAACACAAATTAATAAAAATATTAGTTACTTTATAATTGGAGATGAAAGGTAAATGGATCCCACAGGGCGTGCCAAAAATTATGTTGAAGGAAAAATGTGATCCTCCCAACATAATTTCACCACCAGTAATTAATTAATGGGGTTTTATTATTTTAGGTTCGACCTATTCGAGACGTAGTGTCTCTTAAATACAATCCCTTGCTTCAAGGGACCACCCTTTGATTCCATCATAAAGAAACAGAACGTGTGTTTGGTTTTGCGGCTGCCCCTAAGTCGAACCTCAAGGTGCCTACGTATCCCTTGTGGGAATCAAGCCACTCTTAGTTCAAAGAATCGCAATGAGTAAATGACTCGTTGCGGAAGGAAATTTGATTTGAATTGTATTGAGAAGTGTTTGAGTGAATTTAGCTAAATAAACCAGGGATTTGATATGGAATTGAGTTTTGGTCGGTTGCATCTTGATTGAATCTTTGGATTGCCTACGTACCCTTTCAAGGGGATCAAATTAACGTAGTTCAAAATTTGGGAATTAATGGGTAAGTGTAGCCCACTAATTGAGAATTTGTGTCTTTGGGACATTTTGAGGATTTTCATAGGTAGATGACCCATGGGAAAAATTGGAAATTACTGGGTAAGTGTGGCCCACTAATTGAGAATTTGTGTCTTTGGGACATTTTGAGGATTTTCAAAGGTAGATGACCCATGGGAAAAATTGGAAATTAATAGATAAGTGTGGCCCACTAATTAAGAATTTTTGTTTGAGAGATTTGAATTTAATCTCAATGAAATTTACCCCTGAAAAATTGGATGGTTTTGTACCACTTTTCTTGTTGTCAATTTCCGAGAAAAATAATGAGGAATTTTAATTATCCCATTAATTTTTCCAAAAAATTGGAAATTGCACTTGGGAAAGTGTTTTGGCAAAATTTGGTTAAAATAAACCAGGGATTTAAATTTGGTTGCAATTGCGTCTATTGGGATGTTAGACTGCCTACGTACCCCTTGATGGGATCAAACGGACGTAGTTCCAAAAATTTGATTTAATTTGCGTGGGTTTGTACCACTTGGGCCTTTGATGTGGTTTTGTACCACTTGGGCTTCAATTTGTTGATTTGGGAATTAATTGGCATTTTAGAATTTAAGCTCATTATTCCATAATTTGTGGACTTAAGACTTTGCACCAACTGTTCACCAACGGGATTTTTTAATCGATAAGTCCGTTGGGCTGGAGATAATGGAATGAGCCCATTTAATACCACTAATCTTGAGATGCAAGTTTTGGAGACGTCAGGGTCTTGAGATATGAGATGAACCCATTGTGTCTTTATATCCATTTTGACATTAGACCATTGGGTCGTGAGAAACTTCACTTTGGTGTCAAAGAAGAAACCATATTGTTTCTTCCCTTCTGGAGCCTCACGTGGTGGGAGATTTTTTCACCACAAGGAATATTGACTTCTGGAGCCTCTAGCTCCCTGTACAATAATATTGTCTTCATTCCTTCATGTGGAAAATTTTTCCACCATGAAGAAATCTTTGTTTTTTTTTAAATATTTGTCTTCAGCTTCAATTCTTGTCTTGGAGACCATAAAGACTTGGGAATCATATGAGCCACCCCTTTGTTTCCATTGCTATAGCAACATTAGTGGTTTGAACAAGTTGGTTGTCCTGAGCCTTGCCTCCACCCCATATGACGAGTAGCATTTCTTGACCGCCATAAGTCAACAAAGGGAACTAGCCTTTTTCTTGCTGGTGGATCTTTGTTATCACAAATAAGAAATGATATTTGTGTGCCTTATCTAGCTCGTTCTTTTCTGCTTGGTGCCAAAAGTAAATGCCTCTTAATTTGATCAAGACACCCAAGGATAGAAATCCTTCTCCCAGTGAAGTATGGATAGGCCATATTGTTCCTTGTTGGAATTGAAGACAAGAATCACAAGAAGAAAAGGGCCTTTTCTGAATAGGACTAGACCACAAGAATTTCTTTTAAAAAGGGTATACGTGCAACACAACTTGAGAGCAACAGCAATTAAAACCAGAGCGCTTGATATTTTGTTGTTGTTCCAGACTAGTTCGTACACCTTCACAAGCTGCCTGCTGCATCATCAAAAGAAGAAACAGATTGTTTCTTCCCCTCCTGAGGTTTCACGTGGTAACCCACACTCATAATCTTCATTTTCTTCTTCTTCTTTTTTTCTTTTGTTTATCGCCATGTCTTTGACTTTTTGTCTTCTCTTTTGCATGTACAGATTAAAGAAGTGCTTTGTTGTAGGCCACATTGAGAGCTTCAGGAGCAGTTTGTCTTCTTGCTTCGTAAAGACAAATCCAGATTGAGTACTTGCTTTATCTTCTTCCATATTGAAAGCTTTTTCTTTACTTATTCTTTCAGTTAAAGCTGACCATGAACTTTGCCCCTTATTTTGTCTCTTTGCAAACAAAACACAAGAACAAAGTCAACCACCATTTTTTACTCCATTCTCTCTTCTTTCTTACTCCTTTTTCAATCAAAGCAGACCAAGGGAGGGCTGTGTGACACATCCCCCTTTTATTTTTTTCAGCTGCTCTTTGTTTTGCTGCTTTGCAAACAAAACACAACAAGCAAACCCACCATTTTCTTTTGCTCCATTATCTCTTTCTCCGCTGGCTCCCTGCATTTGGAAGCATTTAACCAAAGTTGCCTGTTGGAAATATGATGATTGAAATCATCATGGAAGACAATCTTCCCTGTTGGTGGTGGACTTAAAACATCGATGGAATTATTTTAACTGAGCCAAGCCTCAAAGAGATTCTTAACTTTGTTTATGATGATTGAAATCATCATAGCCAAGAATCTCTGTGGGCTGATCAAATAGCGAGAATTATTTGAGCAGAGCCAAGCCTTGGAGAGATTCTTAACTTTGTTTATGATGATTGAAATCATCATAGCCAAGAATCTCTGTGGATTGATCAAACAAACTGCTGGAATTATTAGAGCGGAGCCAAGCCTTGGAGAGATTCTTAACATTGTTTATGATGATTGAAATCATCATAGCCAAGAATCTCTGTGGATTGATCAAACAAACTGGGTGCAGATCATATCCTCGAAAGTACTTGAGCAGAGCTGTCTCTTTGAGAGATTCTTGGCCCTTTTTATGATGATAGAAATCATCATAGCCAGGAACCCTTGAGTTGAATGAAACCTGAAGTCTTGAGCAAAAACCAAAAAATTGTGCCATGAAACTAATATTTTTACCTTGAAATGGCTCTTCCCTTTCTGAAGTGTGCTTGCTAATTTTTCCGTCCTGCGGCTGTTCTCATTTCTCCTCCTTTTCTTTCCCGCGGTTGTTCTCCTCTCTGCCCTTCTTTTTCTTTTTGGTGGCTGGTCTCTTCATGGTTCTTTTATAGGCCCTTAATTTTGGGGAGTTCGATATTAAATGAATAATCACTCATTGGCTTCAATGTTTGACACAAACACTTTAACTGAAATATCATGTAGGTAAAGAACTGTAATTCCATTTGAACACGTGCTCCATAGTTGGAATATTGGTGTTATCTTATTTTATAGGTTTCCATGTGTGCAGCCATCTTCTCTTATTTAATGAAAATTATCATTTAAACAATGGTAATACGCTGAGGAGAAGATATAGCATGATTCTTTGAATTGTTGTTGGCGTGATTATAGGTCTCTTCAATTCTCATAAAAATAATTCACTACCAAAAAAAAAGTGGCAACGGTCACCATTATTTGGGGACATTTGATGACTAAAACCTTTAGTCACCCCAGCAAACGTCACCAAATGTTACTAAATAATGGTGACTGTTGCCACTTTTTTTTGTAGTGATTGCTCAAGCTAGGCCAAACTATTCAATGATTGTAAAGAGCTTAATTCTATTGTCGCATCTTCTTGGGGAAGTAATGCCGCAAAAGCTAGGGACATCAGTGAAGGGAATATTGTGGGAATGGTGTTATGTGGAGATTTATAAAAACTCTACAACCAAACTTTGAGAGTATAAATCACCTAGCAAGCCATATCTAATATGAAATCAAAGTAAGAGTGGAAGCATTAAATAAACTAGGGATTCATGCAAGTCTCATTTGGTCACAATCTTTGTAAGTCTATGAAAGTGTGCACCGAAGACTCTCTAAATCCTATTTGAGATGAAGATAAGATGTTCATACCCTTGGAGTGAATCTTAAAACCAGGAATGGTGTTCAAGTAGAGGGAGTAGTCCCTTTGTTGTTGGCTCTCCCTTTCATGTTGATTCTCCACCTTGTAGCTCTCCAAATGGGTACAAAGATATGTGCCTCCCCAAAGCTCTATCTTCACCAAGGATTGAATGGGATAAGAGAATGAGTAGACTACAGTGAAGAGTGGTGCTAGCACCCTCACTTGATGTGATAGATTGAAGGGGTTACGGAGAGAGAGCTTGATGTTTTCTCTCTTCCAATTTCACCAACTTGAAAACCCTAGGAGATAGGATGCCATAGCTACAAACTTATAAGATCAAAAATGTTACAAGAGTGACAAAAATGCCCCCAAACCCTAGTGTAGCCACACCCCCCCCCTTTTGTGTGTCATCTTTTGCTATCTTGGTCCAACACATTAATCCTATAATGTGTCACATATGTGCCTAAGTTCATATGGTCAAATCCCTTTTGAATTTCCGAGTCATATGGACCTTTAATTAAAGTTTCATAACTATAATTGAATAATAAAATTAATCTAATCAATTTAATTACTCTAGTGACTTGACTAATTCAATCACTCACTTGTCTAACGAGTGTTGGTCCCAATCATCCGTAGTTGACCGTGTCAAGTGTTGGGTCAACTATTTGACCTTTGACTTTTGACTTTGACCTTTGACTTTCACATTAACTTTGACCAAGTCACAAAATCATTCATTCTCTTCATAATTTCCCAATTGATTCCTTTTCGGTGTGCGATCTTATAGGTTCTAATTAGTGAGGCAGTGGGTATGAATGATTCACTCTGAATCAAGTGTGAATTGTATCCCTCCATACAATTCTCCCTATTGGCGAAGGCTAATTATAATTAGTCCTTACAGGGCTTTCCACGAGACATGAGTGACACCTATCAATATGTCATGGCTACCCAAGCTAAAAATAATTAATTTAGAAAACCTAGTCAGTTTGTGATTACAATGCAATTCGATCCTTCTCTAATTCAATACTTTATGTCATATTCTCGGGATATGATAAACTTGTGTCAAAATCTCTAATATGACATCTCTAGATTATATAATTCAATTTGATAAAATTGCAAACGTTCTTGTTTCAATTTCCATCCAATGCAGTGGCCAAAGATTCATGAATCAGATCTTTAGAGTATTCTCTATTCTTACTAAGAGCAGAGATTCCTTGTTGTACATTCACCTATCTCTGCGTACATGCTGAGAATCCTGAGGAACACCTTTAAGTCACATCATTTTGATACGACTGTATAATGCTCTCAAAGAGAAACAACATATACACAAGACAACGGTAATGTCTCAGGTCTAAGAATTAATTTGCATTATCACAACGTAGAATTCTTTGTTTGACACTTGTGAGTAAGACTTCCATACAAGAATTCTAGAGTTGATCGCGTTCAGTGGACTTCATCTTCTATAAAGCACCTACACATCTGTCTCAGTGTCTCTACACGAATGTTTTGAGACTAGTCATCCTCCCAATTGAGCAGACATAATGTGTACCAATCTTTGTGGGTTACCATTGTCCAATTGGTGATCCTATGACCAGGAACATTTTAGGATACGATATTTATATGTATGGAAATGTCTCGTGCATCTAACTTCTTTAGACCACTTTCTATTTGTATATTAATTCATGGACTTGTTACTTTGTATGCGTTATATATCTAATGCAACGTTCTTGCCCCTTTGATTATTATATATTATTTCCTTAGAATTATCCATTTTATCTAGGGCATATATCTAACAATCAGTTGGCTTAAATGGGATCATATTTGCTCTCCAAGAGAATTTCGAAGCCTTGGATTCAGGGATTTAGATATCAAGCACTAATTGCTAAAAAATCCTTCTTCCCAAGTTCATAGAGTTCTCAACGCGAGGTACATTCCACGAACTGAGTTTCTAGTTGTTGATAAAGGAAGAGCTACTTCGTATGTTTCTTTGTTGTCCCTAGAGTTTCTAGTTGTTGATAAAGGAAGAGCTACTTCCTCTGTATGGGGCAGCATCTCTTTGTTGTCTCTATAGTGTCTCTTTGTTGTCCCAATAGAATAAAAGTTGTGAAAAAAGGCTATTTTACCCAATTTCACTATATAAAAAAACTAAAATTATATGTCCTCTATATCTCTCTTCTCTCTCTCCTCATTCTTTCTCTCTTCTTTCCTTCATCCAATTTCTCCCTAAATACTTGAATTCAAATATTCTTCTTTCAAAATACCAATTGAGATGATCCATACCAATTGAATCATAATCTTTTGCATTCTTAAATTATGGGCTTATGACAAGACACCCCTTAGAGTTTTGGGATCATTCTAAATATGGGCTGACGGGTTTCAATTTCTTCAATTTACACACCATGATTTTCAAATATGACTAATTTCAGCCTTTTGTTAAGTTGATCATCTGATCAAAGATGAACTAATGACGTATCCACTGTGGGACCCACCCCACGCCCAATCAGTAAAAAAAATATATAAAATATATGAATTATATAAAATAACATATAAATAAATAAATAAAACTTTTTAAAATAAACTATCCAGATGCCTAAAAATGAAAACCCAAAAGAAAGCAACTCATTGGGAATCAGAGAAGAGAGTGATAAGCGGGGAAGCCTCAACGGCTTTGTTGAGAGAAGGAGAATCGTCATGGCGGCCAAAAGATGACAGAGAGTTGGAGATGACCCAATCGGGGGCAAAAAAGAAAACTCCAACTTAATGACCCAACCCCTCTCCATATGGGCTAAGGCCTTGGGAATGGACGGGCCGTCACGACCCTCTAATCTGGTATGTTTTATAAAAAAAAAAAAAAAAAAAAAAAAAAAAAAAAAAAATGAGTTTTAATTTTTTTAATGTTATTTTATATTATTGATTAAATATTTTTTAAATTTTTAGAGATTGGGCATGCAGTGGACATGTCATTAGTTAATATCTGACTAGACAATCAACTTAAGAGAAGGCTTAAATTGGTCAGATTTAAAAACATCCTAATTTTTAAACATTTTGAAAAGATTTCAGTATTTTTTATATTTAAATTTGAATTTTGGAGTTTTTATTGTGAAAATTATCAAAATACCCAATCACATCGGCAAATTAACAATTTTTCGTATGAAATTAATGGAATTGGGTAACATGTCTCACGAAATAAAAGTTCATAGGGGACATATGGGTCATTTTAAAGTTTAAAGGGCAAACTAAGACAAATTACAAAGAACAAGGGGCATTTAAAAAATAAGCCTAAATAAAACTTTCAACACAACTTGGGAGTGACTGAACTATGGTATTAACCCAATTGCTTATGGTGTTGGTAGCCAAGTGGAATAGAGATAATAGCTTGCAGGTCATCTTCAATAAAACACATCAGTAAATTGGTGTCCCACACTGGCCTAAAGGATTAATAAAATCCTTTACCTTTGTATTAGGATACAGAGAATTTAGGCTTAATAGTTTTAAATGAATGTGGTCTAGGAATCCAAGGATCCCTATAAACCAATGTAGAATCTCCATCCCCAATTCTTTTCCGCACTCCCTTTATAAGCAACTTCCTTTCTCAAAGAGACACTATAGGGACACCAAAGAGACACTATATGATAAAAGAGCTATTATAAAATAAAAATTGTGAAAAAGAAGTATTTTAGCACGAACCCATATTTTTTATTTAATCTGAATTTCGGAATTTTTAATAGTGAAATTACCAAATACCAATGCCACCTCACGTCAGCAAGTTAACAGTTTTTCTGATCAAATTAATGGAATGAGAGAAAATGGCTCACAAACAAAAGTTTAGGAGGGGAGATGTGATCATTTTAAAGTTTGGGGGGCAAACTGAAATAAGTTGCAAAGCATATAGGAGGCATTTCAAAAAAATTAGCAAAGTTTTTATAAAAACTGACACTTGTGAAAGTAAAAAGTAAATTTTGGGGATTTTTGATAAAAACTAATTTTTCTTCATCCTTTTCACATTTCCATTGATCTCAGGTGGTGAGGGACTGAGGGTACCTTCTCTAAGAACCCACCAAAGAGCGCTTTCATAAAAATATAAAAAATGCCGAGGCTCGTTTCTATGAAACTGGCCTCAAACTTCCCCAAAAAGCTCTCAAACTCCCCCACCACCACCTCCACCACTACTACTTCTTCAATCTTCCACTTTCAACCACACAAATCGGTTTCTCTCAGCAAACCACCCCCAAACCTAACCCAAAACAACTTCTTTAGCTCCTTCCCCGCACACCGGCTTCACCGTCTTCCTCATTCATGGAGGTTGCGGCACACACTCACACAAAAGATTCATGGGTTGCTCTCCAACACATTACTCAAACGGCAGTTTTTGGTGGGTTTCTCAAATACCCTTTTGAGAGCCTCAAGCAAGAGCCTTTCAGATTTCAGGCTTGGCTTTCTCAGAGTCCAATTTTCGAGACAGAGTTCTAAGTTCAAGTTCAACCCAAAGTTTACTTCTCCTCGGAGTGTCGGGTAATGGTTTTGTTTCTGTTCATTGTCGAAGTTACCTGTTTGGTTAAGAAAATGAAGGAAAAGCTAGTGAATTCAATAACGAACTCCTAGAAGAATGAATTCTCCACAATGTTTTATCTGTTTTTTTTTCTTTTCTTTTCCTTTCATTATCGTGGAATTCCTGGATCGAACGTTTGAAATTTCCGTTTGGCGTATCTGCACGGTTGATTTTGATTTGACCAAACGTGATTGGTTGGGACAGAAAAGGACGACACGTATCCAATTGTGATTGGCGGACCGTACAAATATTTCTATTTACGTGCCCATCGCTTGCTTTTCTTCATCGCAAAAGCTCTTGCCATTTAATTTTGCAAACTTCTTCTGCCCGCATAATAGCAAAATGCAGTCCTACTATTACAGTAACATTTAAAGAATGACGTTTGTTCATTGTTATTTAGGAAATGAAGAACAAATTTTCTTGTGCAAAGTACTAGTTGTCATAACATGAGTAGGTGGAATAGATCGGAGCATAATGCCTTCATATGTGAAAATTACCTTTAGACTATCGCTTGTAGTAAAAATTGTCTTTATATTATTTGGGTTATAGAACATATAATAAAGGTTTCTGTTTGTGAGATTAGAGAGATGTAACTTTTTTTCGGTCGATAGAAGAGATTTCACGTTACTTGAGGACATGTGCTCATTTTCTCCCCTTGAAGGAAAACATATGGACAAGATAAAGTAGAAACCCAGGATCCACTTTGTATGCTCCTATCCTATGCACCCCAAGTTTCCTGTCTCATTGTATGCAAGTTAATTATTTTCTGTCAGTAAAACCTAGTTTCCTCCTCTTCGCAGGAGATCATGGCTCCGAAGGTCATCAGAGGGTGAGGACACTGACGTGGTTTTGGGATTGATTATAGCTAATGCTGCTGTGTTTTTGTTATGGAAGATTGCGGATACTGGATTCATGGTGAAGAATTTTATTGTGAGTTCCTCAGTTTTGAATTGGCTAAGTGTTGTCAACTTGTCTTCATGGCTCTCTCTCTCTCTCTCTCTCTCTCTTGTTGAGAAATAAGAGAATTTAAGTAACCCTAAACTAAAGAAAAAAGAGTCAAGGAAGCAAAATGTCGACTAGCCGTTTTTTTCGTTTTTCACTGATCAATTTCCTAACTTGTTGATTTTCTCTAACCAGAATGCATTAATCAATGTCAGAAGTGGACGTCTTCACACATTGATAACTTCTGCCTTCAGTCATATCGGCACTGAGCATTTCATTCATAACATTTGGATTGGACTATATGTTTTTGGGGCGCATGTAAGCTTTGATGATTTCTCTGTTTTTTTTTTCTTTTTTTTTTTTTTTTTTTTTTTTTTTTTTTTTTTTTTTTTGTTCTGTGAGGTATTAAATTTTATTTTGACATATCTTTTAGTTGGACAATATATATTGAATTTGATCTCTTCCATGATTTTATATGAAGTCATATATTCAATCAGTTTTTATTATATCTTTCTCTATTTTTTGGTGCACTGACCAGATTGAAAGGATTTTTGGGCCTCAATTTTTGCTGGGATTGTATCTAGCTGGGGCTCTTGGTGGCTCGGTCTTTTTCTTGGTGCACAAAACCTACCTGGCTGTGTCATCGATGGTAAAATGATACTCAGCTTATGTTCAAGGATAATCTACTGCGAATATATACACGTCTCTTGAGTATTTTCATCATAATCAACTGTTTGTAGGGCCGGCGAGAGGAGAACAAAGACCCAAACAAGCTGGGACTGGTATGATTTCAGAAACTCTTTACATGCTGTGGTCCTTACTTAGGGCCGGTCCTGGGGTGGTGCAAGTGGTGTCACCACACACGGCCTTGATTTTTGAGACTGTTTTATAATGCGAGATTAGCTCCTTTTTATTTATTTATAAAAACGTGCCATGCATAATGCTAAGTTAATAAATGGGTATAAGAAATTCACACATGGACACGAAAGCTTCAAGCAAGCAAGCTTACTTAGTTTAGTTGTTATATTCTGGAAGGAAAAGTTGTTAAACTTTAATTCATTTCACTATAGCTTCTGTTTGTGGTATGTAGGGCGCAGGCGGGGCCGTTAATGCTATCATTTTGCTTGACATATTCCTCTTCCCAAAATCCATCTCTACTCCGGGATTCTCAAAACAGTTGTTCCTGGTAAGTTTGCTTCTATATGTTGGGTTAAATGGTTGAGGCTATTAAGAAAATCCTTGAAAACTTACCTCTCTTTGTTCCATTTCAGGGGATCTTTCTCATTGGGAAAGATATCTTGAGGATAATACTGGTATGTTGGTTATCTTCCTTGGCTATCTTCCTGTTTTCCCACATTTCTTTGTGTTTCTGTGTTCATTCACGGTTCATGTGTGGTTTTTATATTGGCCTTGAAAATGGGGAACGCACACAGGCTCGGCCCATAGGGTATGTGTGCTGTGCGACCACACAAAGCCTCCCAAAAAATGGGGCTCGTATTAAACCTTTTAGCCCAACAATTACAGAAGCAAGGCCTTTCTGGTGTGGGATTAATGTCTTTTGAGTTGGAACCCTGTGCCAGGCAGAGGACAAAACTGTCTCATTCTTCTACCTGAATTATTTTGAACTCTAGAATTGTCTTCCTGACGCCATCAAACCAATGTCATTGTGATTTTCTAGTAAATTTAGTGGTAACATAATTTTGTTACTGCAGGGAGACGAACAAATCTCAGGGGCTACACAATTGGGAGGTGCTGCAGTTGCAGCCATTGCCTGGACACGACTTTGAAAGGGGCGATTCTAAATTTCGTAACGACGGATTACATATAGAACACTTGGAAACTAAGATGGTCTCGTTCCCCAAATATTGCTTGAATTTTTTATTTTTTTTTGAAAGATAGTCCAGCATGTTAACTATTAGTCAGTGCCTTGCAGCTAGTTTTTCTCCCGATTTAAACTACCAGATCATCCCTTATCTCAGACCCCAGTTATTAATCCAGCTACATTGGATGCCCTCCTCAAATTTTCACTGCTGTTTGTTGTTCTGATCAAACAAATTACAGAAGTGAAAAGTATTTTTAAAGTTCAGAACTTTAAAACAAAATTCGAGGCCCAAATCGAGTTCTATGGGCCCATATGCTTGTGGACAGGGGCCCATTCTGCTGAGAAATTACTCGCTACAAACAAATCCATCCAATACAATTCACAAGGACAGGGCAAATAGAAAGTTAGAAACAAGAAAATGGGGAGTCTGAGATCAAGTGGAGCAACTTGTGCGTGATAAAGGTTCAAGGTATATATTTTGTGTTGAAGTCCAGTCTCTGTCTTGTAGTCATTGTTTGCTTGAGGCACCATGACAGCAGATACAGCTCTAGACGACAGAGATAGGTGAAGAAAGAAAATGGGATCGTAGAAAGGAAATTATCACTTTTCAATTTCCAGATGAATTGCTTTCATCTTAAATTTCGCTATCATAGAGGAAAATAAATTTTGATAAGGATATCTATCAACTAAGGTATTTATGTCTAAATAATATAAGTATCATTTATCGCTTTATATTTATATACATTTAAAAATTATAAAAATAAAAATAAAAAAAAAGCTTGTACGTACTTGCCTAGCTACTAATAAAACAAGGGCGAAATCACTGTTAGACTAGGGAGGGCTACAACCTAGTGCAGTTTTTTGGAAAAGTGAAACCTTGTGTTAATTTTTGTTCACCCCACTCATTAGAAATTTGCCGCCCTACTCCAGAAAAAAATTGACCTACTTCATCCGAATAGCTCTCAAGAAAATGTATTAAGCCATCTACACATAACGAAGGAAAAAGTAAATTTATAGCCGACTTGTTTGAAATTTTTTTAGATCCGTCCTTCTTTATAATTGGCTAGAGTACTAATGGGTATATTTGAGCTTGAAATTCTTCTACGATACTAACTTGAAGGAAATTGAAAACAAATTGTACCAGAAAGAGAATGCCTAGCGTTAACCTACCGAATTTATAAACCTGAAATTTCTGTGCATATATTGTTCTTGTAATTTTTTTTTTCCAGAACTTGTGTTTTACTCAACTGTTCCTTGATTGTGACTCTTATGGCCCTTCAACCCGAAAAGAGAGACTTGTGCCAACAGGGTCCGGGGTGCCATAAATTAATGTTGGAAAACCAGATAAACCCAATTCATGGTTGAGGGTCTTGACACTGATGCCCTTCTTACACCACTTGCTAAGTCCTGGTCATCGTTAAAGAAAGTATAATCTTTTGGACCCACCAATAGCATGATTGGTATGACCACAAAGCTCTCAAATCCCTTAGATGTTAATGGGAAATCTTTTTTCATTTTGGTTTTTTCCCCCTTTGATAGGACAAGCTCTCATTCTTTTCGATGAAGTTTTACCCTGGCATATGTTATGAATATGTTTTCTCAATACTAAGCCTGAAAGTTGTCACTATTGGTCGTAATTTGTCGAATTTTAGATGTTAATTTTTGTAGTTTTTATTTTAGTGATTTGACTTATATAGTTTGATATTCATTGCAATTTAAAGAGACGTTCAATCCAATTCTGTCCAAACATTCTGCACATAATAGAAAATACCCTCAACACGAGAGACACGTGATTATCCTGTCACGAAATTGTATGGATATCAAATTATACAGGTCAAATTACTAGAATTGAAACCACAGATGAAACCAAAAGTAGATGTATGTAGCCATATGCGAATTTAGAATTAGGTAGATTGCAGCTAATTTTAGAACTCTACATACGCTTTGCAATTGCTGGCTTGAGAGCAAATAAAATGCTTTTTGTTGCAAACCCTAGTCATATTCTAATATTAATGTGATATATACATATATCTTAGAGACAGCTAAGGTTGTCTTTTTTCTCTGCGTGTCTCTAGAAATTGGAAGGCAGTGTCATTGTGTAAGTGGGTCACCGTTTAATTGCTTTCTTGCCATGCGCAATCAATTCATATCCATGTACAACAACACCCACATTGATGCCGATTGTGACAACATCAACATGTGAGTTGTGGAATCTTATATACCAATCAGTAAACAAGATCCTTCAATGTCAAAAGACATTTGTAGTCGTCCATCCGTGTAGTTTCATAGGGTTTTCAATTAATTTCGTGCCTCTAATTTAAAAGCATGCAAACACACCCATCTAATTTACATTCGATAGCACTAATCACGCCCAAAATCTTAAGTACTGTTGTTAATAAAATATTGACGCCGTTTTGTCATCAGCAGGGTACTTGTTCATTTCGTTGTCTTGCAATAGTTGCGTTTTATGTTTTGCATCTTGACATTGTTTGTAAAAACATTTGTGTTCTTCTCTGTCTCTGTCTGTGTCTTTTATTTGGCCTTCTTATTATGAGGGTTTGCTCAAAATCAATATAAGATGTGGCATCCTCTAACCTGGCTCTTTCAGCACGGCCATATAATGTAACCTAGTATGATTTGACCTTTTTAACTACATATAGGTACGATGTTGTGAACCCTAATAAACTGCATGGAGTAAAATTATCTTTTGGCCTTTTTTTTCTCCTTCTAAACTTGAAATTATGGTCCTTCCTTTGCTCAGCCATCTCATTTGAGGCAATTTTGGGCAAACAATTCCCATTTTCATTGTAATTTTTCTTTTTTCTGGTAGATTTTCATTGTAACTTGAAAGCATGTCAAATTGACCAATCAAGCCAAAAGCTTGTAGCTCAGTATCCGAGGTCATGCGTGTTTGAATCCCTCCTCCCCTAATATCACTTATGTAAAAATTGACCAATCGATTACTGCGAAGTTACACTCCTCGTAAATATGGGCCCAATCAGGACACCACCAAAGCCTTTTGTTATGCTCCATTAATATTGGTACTAATATTAATGGAACTGAAATTACATCACATTTTTGTCTAGCTGGCTTCTGATCTATGTGTTCTGTGGAGTGGGGTAATAAAAAAGCTCTCAAACTCATCAAAATAACCATTTGGAAGTTGCTGCTGATGGTCCATAACTGGGAAATCAAGTTGATCAACTTTTGCGGCTGTATTCTTTTACTTTTAATTTTAACTCTTTCCTTCTAGTGTACTTGTTTTTTTCTTTGAAGTACTGAAATGTTTTTCGCATTTCTGAAGAGCCATTAATATATAGCCTTGTAGCCTTTAGAGCTAGGGTTCAATCTGTACAGCATACTTCACTGTCTTTAGGGTTTCTAGCTATAACCAACTGCAACTCATCAGAAAAATTCAAAAGGAAGAGAGAAGGAAGCAGTTTTAGAGCGTATATAAATGCCAGTAAACCTTTCATAAAGGAAAGTAACTGCCTATAGCTCTGTAAATTTTTCTTCTAATTTTTTTTCTTGTTTTTGGTTATGGCTTCCTCAGGTTGCAGTAAATTTAGAGTGCAAGTAAACGCGGGCTAAAAATGAAAGCTGTGTGGTTGCCATAGAAGAGAGGCAAAAACAACTTTGGCAGATTCTGCCATCTCATGAATACTTAATTGCATTCCGACAATCTATTTGCTCTCCTTCAGAGACACGCAGAGAGACACAGAGGGACACAGAATATAACAGTGGGACATTTAAACCATCTCGGATCACGAGCCTGATTTGTGGCTTTCACTTTTTCTACAGATGATGTATAGAAGAGGAAGGGTGATGTGAATTAATCATCTGCTTCTTTTCTCTGCCATTGTCCTTTTCTAGGACTGCTGCACCTCATTGCTATATATGAATCATGATGGCTAGTTGCAGGGTTATTTATTTACTTGGTTTTTTTGATTTATTGCTGGTTTTGTTGGAATATGAGCCCTCATTAACAATTTTGGTTGAGTGAGAAGGCTTATTAATGGGGGAAAGTGCTTACAAAAGCAAGGAGGAGAGACTTTTGGTTGAATTGGAAGAATCCATGATAATAATCTGCTTAGGGTTTGTGACATAGAGGAGCCCTGAGCCCCTACAAATTGGGTGTGAGTTCTTAGCTCCCACACCACTACTTCTCAAGCTGAACTTAATCCTAATTCACTAAAGCAAGCATCTCCCGCAATTGATACCTAAATGACTCAATGATCTCCAGCTCCCTAAGGTCTTCATATCATTTTGGAGTTTTTGGGGCCTAGTTCTGGAAAATCAAAAAAGGGGAACCGGAACTCTTTACGACAGTCTATCGAGCCAACTTGAGCTCTCAACTAAAAATCGCCTACCATAATTAATGAAATTGAACTCATATCAAAACTTAAAATATAATTCCCCTCTGCAGCCCACTATGCTGACATGGGCTTAAAATAGAATCTCGCTTATATAAAAAAATATATATAAATAAATTAATTAATTAATTAAAGATAGAGTTTTAATTAAATTCAAACTCGTTTTACCTTTATTGTAACGACGGACTCGAATTTTCATTTATTTAGTTGAATTCTTGTGTGGTCTGCCTTGATCATTATGCCCTTTTAGTAACAGAATTTTTGAAATATAGTGGCTCTCGTATTTAGAGGCTAGTGGTGGAATTTTATTTTGATCCATGACACGAGGCTCGAGTTCACGAGAGCGTGGCTCAAACGGAAATTAAATTGAAAAATTATGTCTCCTTGGAGTTGAGGGGCCTTTTTAAGAGAATTCCATTGTTAAGCTCAATAATAAAATGTCAAATATGCCCCTTATTCTCCTTAACGGATTTAAATAATAGATTGAATAGTTATATGGCTACTATTGCAATTCTCAAATCTCACTTTCTCATTGGTTAATACTTTTACGCTCCTTGTTTTCTCTTAATCAATTCACTCGTTCCACGTACTCTTCATTTCCTTTCAGATGGGACATATTACAACATTGTGTAGAGAAGTGTCATTAAACTGAGAGCTATTTAAATATTTGATATCATGTAACGAACTTAAAATGTCCAAAATGCCACAAGCTAATATTCCCTCGATGAGTGTATCTATGATTGTAATAGTCAACATAATTGTTTTTGCCATGGAAATCAAATCAAGATTAAGTTGGTAAGCTATTGTGGCGACTATAAAGTTATACACGAGACAAAAGTCTTAGATTGCAGTATGTGAAATTTTAGAAGTTAATTAATTTTAAGTTGAATACTCCAACTTCAACAGGGTATTAGGCACAAAATTCATCCACCTCTCAAGCTACGTGTTCTACCTTACCTAATCTAAAAAATTCATATTTTCCGCTAACCTAAACCTAGTAAGGAGGGCAAACTGTAGCTAAAGTTTGGCTAATTATTAGTAGCTATCATCAATTAAACATGAGGGTAGTACTTCTTTTTAAAGCAAAACAAAATAAATAAATAAAATTTAAAAAAAAAAACAGATAGGAGACGGAAGATACAAAGTTGAGATCTCTTTCAATACTGAAAAGAGAGGTACCACTAGACCAATGACTAGTTGGTTCTAAGGTCCAAAAGCAAAAAAGGTTGCTAGTATTTTCCTAAACGAAATACAGCAACATTGTATAATTGTACTGTTTGTAGTACAAATAGGCGCACACTCATAGAGATTGAGTGATATCATTAATTAAACCAAAGCTCTCCTAGGGCAGCTTAATCCAACCCTATCGCTTACCAGAGAGGTAAAATCCAATTCTTTTTAGCCCTACTTTCGTAGCTCTTTTTCTCTATTTGATTTTAGTGAAAAATATTCAATTGAATGCTCATACGTATCCAAAGAAAAAAAAATGAATTGAATGCTCATCCCACTTTTTGTAAAACAAAGACTAATAGTTTAAATTGGGAAAGCTGCAACCTCAATTCCGAGCTTGTAGTTTTCATATGATATATAGCAAGTAGGTTAGGACTTAAAGCTACCTTGGTGGAAATAATGTAATTGTAGTCAACATTTAGTTGGCAAGCTGATTTTTGTGCATCTCCAATCTTATAGGCAGACACTGACGGCTTATAGCTCAAGTGGTTAAGAGTATTTATATTGTATCCGAAGTCTTAACTTCAATTTCATTCGCTTAATATTACTTTTATAAAATAAATATAAAAACCCTTCTAGGCAGGCATGTAACATATGGCAATTATATCGTACAATCGTTCTTCTTTCTTGCTGTATGTTGTCTTTCTTCTTTTTTTGAGACACTTTTCTTTAGAATTGATGGTGGTGATAGGCTTTGAGGTCATGATTTCTAATACCTTATCCAACCTTTTGTTGTGTCAATTATGTCATGCTTGTACTTTATGCATATGATTCTCGGTTTATATTCTTGAACGAACACACTATACTTGTAAAAAAGATTATGTAGCTTGCATTGCATGGTTACAACTTTTTCCAACTCTCCCTTTTTTAAAATTCAATTTGGCCATTTCATTCTATACCCACTCTCCCTTTTTTACCCACTTGGCCATCAATGGAAGATAATGGCTCTGCATATAAATCTTTATATACCTCTTATATACTCCATATTTAGCTGTAAAAAAAATAAAAAAAAAAAAAAAAAAAAAAAAAAAAAAAGTTCATTGGTCCACGTGTTGGAAGCAAATGACATGGGCGGCCAATATCCATCTTGGTACAAGGACAAGGCCCTTGGTATATGGTGTGCTCGAGAAAAGATAGAGAAAGCCCCTTATGAAAATGAACTCTAGACATCTTCTTCATAGAGCCTTTTACATCGATAATATTCCTAAGTTTGTATAAAAATAAAAATAGAAACTAGAAAAGAAAAAGAAAATTGGAGAATGTATGCACATTGCTGCTGCTTCTTTAGAGGCAACGTTGCGCTGCAGACTTAATAAAGGCTACAAGCCTAGAAGTCACACCCTCATATGCCAACCACATGTACAACTCTATCTCGATCTTATACGTCATCACATTAAAGGAAGGCATCTCTTCTTGCCTCTTGCCTCTTGCCCACATAAATCTGCATGTATCTCGAACCCTAAAATAAATATACTTGACAATTGATAGGTTTACAATTAAACCATCTCACCAATTAAAACTAGCATTTCTAAGAGAAAAATATGTGTAACTCCCACCAAATGTGAATGCTACTAATCTATCCACCTGATCAAGGGCGGAACCATCCTTAGACTAGGATGGGCTCAAACACCGTCCAAGTTTTTTTTTGACATATAACAATTTGGTGCTACTTACTTTTTAGAAAATTCAGCCTACCAAGTGAAAATTAGCCCAACTGCTAATTTTTGCTTTAAGAAAACTGGTAAAACCAAAGTTTATCTCTAGTTGTATGTCTCATCTGGTATCGTTATTCCCTTTTGCTTAAAAAGAAACACGGCAGTGACTAAGCTTGCCAAGTAAGCTCCTGTCCTTTGTAGCCATGTGACAAACCCTGGATCGAACAGATTTGTGGGAGTACAAAATGCATAAAAAGGAGCTGATCAGAAAAGTGTAGTTGAAGGGAGCACGTTTGTCGTTTATTTTAGTGAAACCATACATATCTTTGTGGTGGAACTATGAGAATAAATAAATATAAATAAAGAGAGTAAAGGAACCAGAAAAGCTGTTAGATATCATTATCAACGCCTTCAAAAGGAGTGTGTGAAAGATGTAGCCATTGATAGTCGCCTCTCTATGAACCATGCACTCTAATCATAGATAATTAACCCTAAACTCTTTTAATAACATATGCTTAAAAAGTTACTCTTATAAAAGGCCAACGAGGTTTAATTCAGTGAAAAATGCCTTGACTTGAAAACCAATGGTCTTAGGTTCGAATCCCATGACACATTGACAGTGTGTGAGTGAGAAAATATCCTCCCCAAATATCGCTTTGCTTGTATAAATTTTTTTATTTTTAAAAAAGTATGAGAGAGAGAGAGAGTTGAGACTAGAAGGAGTTGGGCTAGAGTTAGACATTGACTTGTTGAGTTTTGGCTGGGACCTGGTTTGTTATATATGTGGGTTGTGGGGTTGAGATGACCCAAGATTTTAATCTCCTCTAGCTCCCTGACCAAACTCTACCACCCTTAACAGATGTATTTACAGCTCTCATAGTCATAGGCCAAGGTAGGAGTTTTCTTTCAAATCACTACATCTCCAAACCTCATTCACTGACTTCTCCTATCTTTCCCTTCAAAACGTTCCAGTTTTCATTTGCAAAATCCCAAAATTCTTCTGGGAGTCTCTTCCCTTTTTCTTGGTGGATATATCATACATATATACCCAATACAATTACAACCCACTTTTGTTGTTAATTGAACTTTCCAAATTTTTTTTCTTTAATACAGTAGTTTTGTGCCCACATATAGAAAAACCCACCAACCTAGTCTGCATGCTCTTACTCTTTTCATGGAGATGATATGGCCCAATAAGTTTACCTTATCTGTAAATTTGTAGAAACAAAACTGGAGTCAAATTTCTGGGTCTGTACTGGTGACTCTGGGTTTTTTTGTATTTTGAGTGAGGGTTGTGGATTTTTTTCTTGTAGGGTTTATTGGGGTCAGGAATCTGGAGATTGCAATGGCAGAGTTTTTGGGATTAGCAGCAGCCCTAACAGGTGTATCAGAATTGTGACAGTTTGCAGAGGAAGAGCTACAAGCAACCCCAACAACAGCAGTAGATAGAGTGAAAGCAAGCAAAAGAAATCAACCATTTTTGAATCCCAAAATCAGAGAAAAAAAATTAGGAATCTGGATTTCCAAGAGAATCAGCAATATCTCCAACTTGTCCAAAACCAGCATCAAACGCATGGGGAGCTCATAAATTCTCACCCAACACAAACACAAGTAGCTCCCAACAACAACCACCACCAAATTCTAGACCACCAAAGCATTCAACAAGAATATGCAAAGCAAAGAGGAGGAGAGAGAATGGGAATGAAGAGCACTGGAGGAGGAGGAGGTGGAGAGATTATACAAGTTCAAGGAGGCCACATTGTTCGATCCACCGGCCGCAAAGACCGCCACAGCAAGGTCTACACCGCCAAAGGCCCCCGAGACCGCCGCGTCCGGTTGTCTGCCCACACCGCCATCCAATTCTACGATGTTCAAGACCGCCTCGGCTATGACCGCCCCAGCAAAGCGGTTGACTGGCTCATCAAGAAAGCAAAATCCTCCATTGACAAGCTTGCTGAGCTTCCTCCTTGGCACCCTATCACTGGCGTTGCAGCAAACAATGCTGAGCCCGATCAATCCAATCCAAATGAAATGGTGATTGCAGGAGGAGCAGAGGAAACAGAGTCCTCTGGCTACAATTTCCACCAGCTGCAGAGGCAAATGGGTGAGAATAACAACCAAGCAAATAATGTTTCAAGCTTCAACATTCCTCCATCTATAGACTCAGACACCATAGCTGACACCATGAAATCATTCTTCCCCACAAGCTCAGCAGCCACTTCATCCATCAATTTCCAAAGCTACCCAGCGGATCATGATCTGATTTCAAGAACCACCAACCTAAACCCTTGCCAAGACCTTGGCCTCTCTCTCCACTCTTTCCAAGACCAAGGCCTAAACATCCATCACACTCACAGCCAGCAATCCCAAGGAGACACCAACCACAACAACGATCAGATTCAGACCCTTTTCGCCGCCGGGGCGGGAGGATCAACGGTGGGATTTGACACTAGTTATCAGAGAATGGTGGCATGGAGCAATCAGAACAGAGCAGGTGATGGTGGATTTGTATTCAACTCACACCCACAAGCATTGCCACAGCAAGCATATGCTCATGCTCAGGGGGGTACCCTTCAGTCCAGTTTTTCGCCATCAGTTTCAGCTCGGGCCTGGAACGATTCTTCTATCTTTGGCACACAGCAGAGAACACAGCAGCAGCAGCAGCAGCCAATGATTCACCATTCTTCAATCTTTGGCACCCGCTTCGCCTCTGATGGCGGCTTGCCAGTGTTCTGCATCCCCACGCGTATTGACGCTGAGGAGGCGGATAATGGCGGTGTTTCAGATCGACCATCATCCACTTCCTCTCCCAATTCCACCCACCATTGATTGGATAACTAGTAAGTACTCCATATCCCATTGTTCAATTTTTATTTTTTATTTTTATTCAAGAACCACACATTCACGAGATTTGAACACATGACCTCCTCTATCAGAATGGAGAAATCATTGCTTGCTCAAACATTTTTTCCATGGAAAGTGTAAAGATTCTTCAAGATGTATTGAGAAATTAGCAAATTGAAACTCTTGGCTTATATATAGAGTTTCTGTTTGCTCATTGTACACTGTTTTTGTTTTATTTTTATTTGCCGAAGACAACAGTTTAAATTTTTTGATTTCTTTGGTGTGAATTTTGCAGATTCTATCTTCGGGGTATCAAATTGGGAGACAAGAAGGAAGATTCAATCCAATTGAATGGTCTACCAAGGAAAGAAAAGTATCTGGTTTGGATTTTCAAACATTCTTTTCTTCTTTGTTGATCTATATATTTAATTAGATTCCCTAGTTGTTTTTAAATTTGATGGGACTTTTTTTTTGTTTATTCATCAAGTGGGTCTCTCTGTTGGCTCAACTTTGTTTTCTTTGTTACTACTTAATGTGACACATATAACCAGGATTTTTCTGTTCAGGGTTGTCATTTTAATCCTTATGATCCCCACATTTCCTTTTTCTTTAATTTGGTTGAACTAGTTTTATAACAGCAAGTTGGTTCATTCTTGGTAATTCCTGCATTAAGAGAAGCACAAGTTAGTCAATGGCTTTGCTTCAGCCTCCCCTGTTGTGGAAACTGAAAGGAAGCTTCCACAACCAAAGTACATGGAGTCTTTGTACAACTGTTCAAATACTTCCTGGACGATGGTTTTGTAAAGAACGTGGGAGTTCTTTTAACTCTCGCGACTTTTACACTCTCATTTTATCGGTTTGCGCTCGTCTCCTTGTTTGTGTGTACTTCGTGTGTCATTTTACTTACTCCATTATTAGCATACAAAATAAAATAAATGAGTGCAAATGGATGAAATGAGAGTGACCAACCTTCTTTTAACATTGCTTTTATTAGATTATTATGAAGTGTGTAAATTATTCTGCATTTTGATATTAAATGTGAAAGTACCACATAGATATGAATAGTAAAAGTCCTTGAGTTATCTATAACACATTGCTATGGTTTTGTCAATTTATTCATAGAACTGTTCAAGTACCATCATGGTTTGGTATACTATTCTACCTTTTATGTGAAAGTTGGCTGAGTCACAGTGACCAAAGAACAGATTTTAGGTTAGGATGACAACAAATATATATATATGTATATATATTTTTTCAGGATTATGTTGAGACAATATCCAAGCTGTCACAACCACTATTTCTCTTTCTTTTTTTTTAGTGACGTGTTTTTTTCATTTTTCATTTTTCATTTTGTTTGTGGTTTTACATGGAGAGAGACTATGCCCATAAGAAAATGTACGTTGTTTAGTAATGCTAGGGAGACTAAATTATAGACCACTTCGGTACCACCTTTCTAATAAGGGTGGAGCCAACTAATACAATGAAGCTTACATTTATTAGAGAGGCTATGCACAAAGTGGTCTACAAATTGTAATCTTCTTAGCATTAGTCTAATTGTAAATTGTGTTGCGTGTTTGTACCATTTTTTTTTCTTTTTGGACTTTGAACATGATTTGAGAGAGAGATGGAGAGAGTTTTGAAATCAAAGTCTTGCATCCCTCCTGGTTGTCAAAGTCCTGCATCCCTTCTAGATGGATGCAAACATATTTGGATCAGTTTGAGAGTTTTGAAATCAACCACATATATGATTTATGATGAGAAATTTTTTAGTGTTATGGTGAATCGCCATATGATCTTAATTGTTGGATTAGACTAACCAATTTGATCCAATGAATAACCAACTTAATCCAACAATTAAAATATATAAGCTCACTTAAAGGCTATATATAAAACCCTCACTATAAAATTCTTGATGTATGAGTATCGACAAAATTTGGGTGCCCAAAAGATATTTTTCGAGTTTCGTAGATTAGGCCTACATTTTACTTATAGAAGTATAACTTACAAGCCCAATTTGGCATTCAAGTAAAACAGGCCAATTTTGCCTAACGCATTTATCGTGTGAATTGTGGGGAGCTTCTACAATGAGGAGTTAAAGTGAGGAGGTTATTTGAGGAGACCGATCCGACCGTCAAAACATTTAAAATATTTAAGTCCCATGATTTCTTTACATTTGTTGATGGTGAGATTTGACCTCCTCAAATAACCTCCTCACTTTAAGCCCTCATTATAGCCTTTCCGGTGAATTGTGCTTCAAATAGTATTATTTATTGTGTGAATTTCAGCCCAGCCTTTACCAACCCAATTTTGCCTAACGCAATTATTGGGTGAATTGTGCTTCAAATAGTATTATTTATTGTATGAATTTCAGCCCAGCCTTTACCAACCCAATTTTGCCTGAGGCATCTAAGGTTAGAATTTCAGCCCAAAATTAGCATGGTTGCAGCCCAAAGTCATTCAATAGTGGTTTTAATTAGGTTAGCTCAAAATCATCTTGTTGCTCCAAGGTTCATAGAAGGCCCGCAGACATTAGAAGGTGGGTTGTTCTTGTTCGAACAAAAATTTAAGCGAAATTTATATTTGAATATTATTAAATTAATTCTCTCGGAATATGCCAATGAGATCTAACTTAATGAAAATGGCTTTAACTTATAGACCAGTGATCTCAAGTTTGAATCCTCATAGCACCTTGATAGTGTGTGTGTGTGTGTGAAACTCACATCTCCCTTGTAGTTTAGACTAACGGTTGTATTAAAATAATAAATAATAAAAAATTCTCTTGTAATACATAAAAACAAGAGCAAAATGGCACTGTGACTGTGGAGTCTAACTTGGTGATGGTTGGGCCTGGTGGTTGTTGAATTGGACACGGCCAACTCTAGTGGTTTGATAAGTCAAGTGGATGTCGGGTTGTTTACGAGGGTCATTGACAAAGGTTTTACAGTCATTGTGTTATGCCCGGGGGTCAAGTGTTGAGGTTCGACTAGGGGTGGCAATGAGTCTTGTGGTGTCCAATATTAACGGGTTAAAAAATTTCAACACAAATACGACCCGTTTATTAAACATTTCAAGAACGTCCCTAAACCCTAAACCATATATGCTAAGAAACTTATGATAATATTGAAAATATTATTAAAAAAACAAATTTAATGTTTAAAAAGTTAATATTAACTCTTTTTTTGGCCAAAGGTTAATATTAACTCTTTAAACTAACAAAATCAAATAGGTTTTTGTTTTAGAGAATTAAATAGGTTATATATGATGGCTTCTGAATGGGTTTACACGACTCATTTATTTTAAAAGTTGGGTATATATGTTAATAAACGGGTTAATGGATTGACGCGAATCCATTTATTTGACATGAATTTTTAATTATCGTATGGGTTGACCTGCACAAATTTCATGCATGCTTCTAATCGTTTATTGGGTTGTGTGGGAAATTGCAACCCCTCGATTCGCCGTTCACTAGTTTGGTTCCGAGGGTCACCTGGTTGGGTTCGGTGTCACCGATTTGGTCCGATGGCCACCGTGCCATTACTAGAATATCTGATTTTGAGAACAATTATTATTTGTGCTCTTTAAATCAAAAGACACAATTATTCGTGCTCTATATTGATGCAACAATGCAACCACTTTAAAATAGTTGGTCTCCTATATAGGAGTTTTCATTGTTCATAGGGCACGATTTTACTCTTTCGTGTCTTAAACTCAACACTTTTGGGCACGGATGTGGCATATATCTAACAATATCGATTGATGCTTTTGATTTAACTTTTGTACATGAACACAAACCATTCATTTGTGCTCAATGTATTTAATTTTTCAAAAAAAAAATTAGGGTTGCCAAAAACCAACGCGCCACTCTCTCCACCTACACACCATCCCGGCCACCATACAAATCAATGACACTTCACCTCTCTCTCTCTTTTTCCACCACCGCCACTTCCTCCTTCTCTTTCACCACTGCCTCCACTCTCTCTCTCTCTCTCTCTCTCTCTCTCTCTCTCTCTCTCTCTCTCTCTCAAGTAATGCAAACACAATGAGCTCACTAAAATTAAAATTTTCAACCAAACTCGCACAAATACATACATAATTAGATTTAAAAACTATGTATAAATGAAAATTATACAAATACACAATTTGCTCACTCAAATTAAAACAGCCAACATCTTTCAATACGGTCAAAGCAAAATTGCTTTGTCTTACAGTTGGAACAGTGGACAACTCCAAACTTGTTAGGTTTGTCCTACAAAACACAAACTTTTTGTTTTCGTTCATTTCACAAAGAACGTATTCGACAATTCATAAGAATTTATAGCAGCACCCAAGAGAGAGAGAGAAAGAAAATGATCCAAATTTTAGATATTTCACCTCTTTCAATTTACAATTGTTCATGGAATTCTCAGAATCTGTCTCCGTCTCATGGATCAGTCTTTCTTATTCTTGGTCGTATTATTCAGCTACTCCAAATGCTTCTCACAGTGGGGATGCTGTGGTTGGGGAAGATGGTCGGAAGGATTGGGAAGATAGGGAGAAAGTAGGCATCAGTAAAATCGAAGGAGGAGAACAAATAAGGCTCATTTTGGGTTTCTAGAGATAGAGTTATGGTCTTGGGGAAAGTAATGGGTGGAGGAAGAGTACTGATGAGGAAGGCTCATATATAAAACCCTTCAATGCTGTGGAGAGTTATGGTCTTGGGGAAAGCCACGGTGGAGGAGGAATGTCTTTCAATAAAAAAAGATATAATTTTTTCTCCTAAAACGAGGAGTTGATAAATTGAATAAATTATCATTTTAAAAGTATATAAAACCTAAACGCACAAAATGTTTTTCGTGTCCTATGGAAAGCACAATTAATCATGCTTTTAAACTATAATAATTATTCCAAATGACATTAAGATGACAAGATGTAAGCTGATATTAGTATTAGACACAAAGCTCATGCCCAAATTTAAATGGGCACAAACAAATTCAAATAAATTTTAAATGGACACGCATTTCCTATGTCTGTTGTGTACCATGCGCATGTATCCTAAGAGGGGCAGTGGTGGTCTAGGCCCGGTCTAGGAGTTGTTGCATGGGTGTGGAGAGGTAACGTGTGGGTCTACTTACTCAAGGTGGTGAGTCCCATGTTTTAATTTCAATATTGCTTAGTTCTATTATTATAATTGAAAGTAACACCTATTTAGTTGGAACTTAGAAATATAGTACATGTTATAAGGAGTTCGTAGTATTCTTTGGCAAAAATTTTAGTTATGTTGAATATTTGTTGAGTTATAGTGTGGATGTCCAGGGCCTTTTTAGGGTCCAAGGCCTTGTTCAGGCGTTCTGGGGGCCATACCCTAGGCATTGAGGAGTCGATTCTAGGTCCAGAAGTTCTAGATATTTGAGTTTGGGACTAAACTGTGTTGCATGTATGGTGATGTAGAATTGATAAACGAGAAGACAAAGGAAAATTATCACAAACTTGTTACTAAACAAGTTTTCAATTCTTAATTAAAAGAAAACAAAAACAAAAACTCAAAACCCAAAAACAAAATAGTTATGGAAACAGATCCTTATTAACTTCATTTTACATTGTGACGATGCTAGAATTTTATGTGTGTGAGGGCCTCTTACAAATTATAAAGAATAAAAAATTCAAACTCACAATACATACGAAAAATAGTATATATATATCACATATATCAAGAATTGTATTGCTTATTCATTGCAATCATAATTGTCCTTGACAAGAGATAGACAAATACATACTCGAAGTTGATTAGCGATTTAGCAAATCTCTTTAAAGCTTTTCCCCCGATTAAACTCAATAGAAAGAAAAAAAATCAAAATTTCCCAAACTAAGGAAAACCAAAACTGAAGAGAAAACAATAATAAAAAAATCAAGATTATTAAACGAGTTAATTTAATTAAAATGTGATAATATAATATGGAGTTTAGGAGAAAAATTCAAAAACCCAGTTCTAAGAGGAGGGGTAAATTCTATAGATAACTATAAAGAAACCCATTTCTAGCTATAGAATCATAGAAATACCCTACATGAAATTGACTTCATAAACACACCCTACCTTACATTAAACAAACTTTATAAACACACCCTACTATTGCCAACTGTTCTTTTTATTATTTTTTATTTTTTATTTTTTATTTTTATAATAGTTTACTTAATATACAGATTTCATGATTTACCATTTAGTGAGAAATTCATATAAAAAAACTCAAAATTGGATTATTACTCATCGGTTGTTACTCTCTCTCTCTCTCTCTCTCTCTTGTGGTGCAGACGCAAACATATTTAATTGAAAATCACAAAGCAACACAGCGCCAGAAGTAGTAGCCTCGATCTAATGAGTTGTTGTAGACGACAATGGATTTCTCAGTAAAAATTAAAATGGGCGAATTTTCAATTCCCATTGTTTATGCTTAATTTTTTATTTTTCGATTAATTAAGCAGGGGGTTGAGCAGAGATCGAGTTCTTTATCATTGGGTGAGTGGATCTACGCGGCATTTATACCGTTGTATCGATCATAGAGGTGTTGATTTTTGTTGTGATCGATTGCTTAAACGGCCGTCCCTACCCAACCAAACGTCGTTTCGCTTTCGGCGATATGTCTGTCATCGCCGATGAAACCAAATGTATGAATTTTTTTATTTATTTAAAATATTCAGAAAATTAAGAAAACTATATATATGCAGAACTTTGAATTGTGAATTATTTCTTTTTGCTTTGGGAATTTTGGAAGAAGAAGAAGAAGAAGAAATAAATGATTAGTTAATGAGAATTTTGAATGTTGTTTGTGTTGTTTACTTGCATGAAATCATGATGCAGTTACTGTTAATGAGCTGGAGGTATTGTATGAGCTGTTTAAAAAGCTAAATAGTTCAATTATCGACGACGGATCGATTCATAAGGTCAACCAAATTTCTTTGAATCATTCAAATTCAATTATGAAGAAATGTGTTGTTTCTTTCTAGTTTCATGCATTGTAGTAATTATTTGGATGATGATTATTTTGCTGGATGAGTTTCAACTAGCACTATTTAGAACTCCCTATGGTGAAAATCTTTTCCTAGACAAGGTATATGTTTCATACCAACATCTTGAACTAATTGACTAGGATATATATAATTCCTTGCACCTACTTACGTGAATTGGATTTTGCTTTTCTAGGTTTTTGATCTCTTTGATCAAAAGAAAATCGTGTCTTTGAATTTGATGAGTTTGTTCATGCACTCAATGTCTTCCATCCATATGCCCCTATGGATGATAAAATTGATTGTAAGTCTTACTGATATAAGAGACAAAGCTAAATGTTGTGTGTGTGTCTTTCTTGTTATCTTATGTTGTTTGTTAATTACTTGCAGTTGCATTTAGGCTCTATGATCTGAGACAAACTGGGTTCATTGAGCGAGAAGAAGTGAGTCTTGTACTACATTTTTACTGTCTAAGTCTCTGAGGAAATTTATGTTTTTATGGGTATTTTTATGTTTGATACCTTGTATGAACACGAACATGATATTTAAATTAAGTAGCCTCTTTTTGGTTTCAGGTTAAGCAAATGGTGATTGCCATAATGATGGAATCTGACTGGAAATTGTCAGATGATCTTCTTAAGTCTATCATTGATAATGTAAGCATTATGTAGTTGTGTAAGTTTGGATGTTGTTTTACTGGTGGTAATCAGAGCTTGTGGAGAATTTAGTACTCACGACATCTTCTATGACATAGTCTTACCAATATACTTCTCTGACATAGTATTAACAGTGTATTTTTTTTCTCTTTTTGTAGAGGTATTTCCTTTTGCCTTTGCGATTGTATGTGATAAAATTATGGACAATTTGAGGTGGTTTCTGCAAAAGATATAGGATGTCTTACTGGGCTTTTTTAGGTTTTTTAAATTTTTCGTATGAAATAGTATTAATGATATACTTCTATAAAATGATATTAACAATGTACTTATATGACATGATATTAACAATGTACTTCTATGACATGGTATTAACAGTGTATTTCTATGAAATGGTATTAACAGTGTACTTCTATGAAATGATATTAACAATGTACTTCTATGAAATGATATTAACAATGTACTTCTATGACATTGTATTAACAATGTATGGAGGTTTGGTGGAGAAGGGTCGTAAGGACAACTCCTTGATTTTCGTGACTTTTTTTTTTTAGTTTGGGGTTTTTTTAAAAAAAATTTGGGCTGGGCTTGTTTTGGATTTTTTTCGAGTTTTTTTGGGTTGGACTTGTTTTAAGTTAATCAATGGTAGATGTGCAATTTATAGGAACTTCAACACTCATTTATCATGTAGTAAATAATTTTTGGATATGTTTCTAAAGTGCATTTCATGTTGGGGTTTTTTTATTATAATTTCAACCCCTATTTTGAGTATATTACTAAAGCTCCCTAAATTCTGTCTACACAAAGAAAAGCGGGGTGAAAAAGATAGTTATCTTAAACTTTGGGTAAATTACTCAAATAGTCCTCAAATTTATACCTGATTTACATTTTGGTCCCTCAACTAAATTATTCATTCAAATGGTCCATCAACTCTATATTATTCGCTCCAGTGGTCCTATCGTCTAATTTTCTGTTAGATTTAACCTAATTTTAGAGTAAATAATGACCAATTTGCCCTCACATTTAACAGAAATATTGACATAATGTAACGGTATGACCAATGGAGCGAATAATATAGAGTTGATGGTGTTCACTCGTTTCGTCTTTGCTCCTATGATGGAAAGATAAAGTTCCCCATTGACTTGAAAACCATTGACTGGTCAACAAGTCAACTTTCCTTAATCTGTGAAGTGTGCCACTGCTAGCAATAAAAATCCTAGCAGACTTCTTAAGAATAGATAACTTGTACCCTAAGTTACTGATTTCTAAACAAGCGATTGTGAATTTGGGTGAGGAATATCTCCCAAGTAAGTTTTTTTCTTGCCTCAGACTGGTGAGGACTTTACAATTTTTCACAGTACAAAACTGGTAGTTCTGGCCAGAATAAATGATAAGATAGTAAACTGTTTTTAGGCAGAAGTACATTTCACAAAACTTAAAAGGGAAAAATCAACTCTAGAAAGACAAAAAAAAGGCTGGACTTCCATTTCTGCCTGGACAGAAGCTTCTGATCTGGGCTGGACTGGGTAAGCCTGTGCTAGACTGGACTGTTCCCAACTTCAACTGCTAAGCTTCGGCTATAAATCGATACCAAAGTTTGAGTTTGGCAGAGCTTTAATCTATTTTGAGCCCTGGGAGGCATTTTGAATGGGCAGAATTTCGGTCTCTTCAGTCTGAAAGGAGTAGAAGTGGCTGGACTTGAGGATTACTGAGCTGGAACTGTACTGTGGTACCTATTTTGCTTGGTCAAGGCTCTCCATAAATTTGTTGAGGTTTTCATATTTGTAAAAAACTCAAACTCTGCTTGTTTTGGCTTTTGCTGAACCAAATTTGTAACGAGAAAAATCTCGTTTTGAATGACCTATTTCTCTTAAGTCTGAACTGGAGGTTCTGATTTATAGCTGGCTTCTTCTGTGGCTCGAATGAGCTCTTGGTTGCTTCAGTTTGTTTGAAGGTTCTCAGAGATCAAGTGATCATTTTGTGTGTTTGTTTTTGGTTGTTTTTTTTTTTTTTTTTTTTTTTGTTTTGTGTGTCTGCTCTGTTCATCCTCTCCTATATTTATAAGAAATGCTTTGGAGTGGGGCTTCTTTCTCTTAATAATGGGCGGTAAAATTTCCCAAAAGATCTTTCATTTTTAAATGTAAAAAAAATGGGGTTTTATTAGTTCTAGCATATAAGCCCTCAATGGTTAGTTCTTAAGACAATTACTTCCCTGTTTTTTTGAAAAAGAATCTAACCCCTTTTTAATTCCAACTGCCCCCTGTGACAGCTCAAACTGTGATGGTTAGTTTGATTTTCCAGTTTGAACAACTCCATGTTTCCTGCTTATCTTTTTTAGAAAACATAGTATGCGTATCCTTTGAAAGATGGTGCCTTCTTTGGAGTAGAAACAATATCTCTAAATATATAAAAGGGATTTGATCTTATGGTGGTGTTGAGACCCAAAAAATTCATGGTTGGGCCCGAATAAATTATCAGCCCAAAACGACAGTCCTTTAAGGAGCGTAAATGTACACAAAAACCCATCACATGCGAATTACAGTTCACGTGCCACGCTAAATAAATAAATTCGTTAGGGGTTGAGATAAAATATACTGGGTGTACAAGCCCATGCCAAAATTAAACATCGCAGGACGATAAATTAAAACATGTCAAGCGACATGCCATGCCAAGCACAGAATCGTTATCTCACTCCCAACCACGCTACAAGCCTAAGTGGGCCCAAGCCACTCAAACACCTGGGGCTTGCTTGAGTGGGTTGTGGTATGGATGGTAATAAGTCAGCATGAGGCCCATTGATGGGCCAAGAAATGGAAAGTCTCGAGTTGCTTGGGAATCTCAAGACTCAAGCCCATTTCTTAGGCCCAAACATGTGGGTAAGCACAAGGGAAAAGAAATAGCCCAAAAGAAAAAAAATCCCAAATAGCCTATTAGCTTAAAAGCCCAATGTTTGATAAAATAGCCCACCTGCTTAAGGGACCCCCTTGGTCCATACAAAACCCCAAAAAACAAGCCTCAAAAGTCTCAGCCCTTTGTTGAAAAAATAGAAGCCACGTAGAGAAGGTCTGCAGGTCCATTGAACTAAGCTGCTGGGAGTTTCCAGCACATGGAGGGAACAAGTTCCAAGCAAGAAACACTCAAGGGACCAAGGAATATTAGCCTGCGAGTTGTCAGAAGTACCCTTTAAACCAACATGTATATCCCAACTCCTTTCCCCATCAAACTTGGCCATAGAAAAAAGAGAAGAAAGCAATGAACAAAATGGCTGGAAGTGGAAAGTCTGCCATTAAGGTGGCTACGGGAAAAGGGGGGCCTTGAGCTTCAAAAACTATGATCTGACAGGAGAGATTTCATCAAAATGGAAAAACCAAATGAGGAAATAAGAAAGGAGGGAAAAGCTTAGCCAAAATGGATAGAAGCCATTAGGGTTTCTTGAAAAGTGGTGGTTTCCAGCGGCTATAAATTAAGGCTTATCCTACCTAACAAAGGCAACTCAAGATTCAGAGAGCAAGCCTTCTCTCTAACTTGCAAAAATCTAGCAACCTCGTGCACTGTTCATCTCCTTCTCCATTTTGTTCTTTTGGCAGCTACTAAAAGAACGTTGCTCTTCATTTTCCCTTTCCTAGCCAAATCTCTCACAAAACTTCTCCTTTCTTACCCTAACATTTCCCTTCCCCTCAAAGAAAGCCTAAATGTTCTCTTAGTGCTAAACTCATGTTGATTTTGCTTCCATGCCATATGTCACTCACGCTGAGCTAAAAAGATTATCTGTAAGCATGCCAAAACCACCTGTAAGCTGCCATTATTTTGGTTGGTGAAGGTAGCCAAAATATTTCCTAAGGCTTTACTGCCCTTTCGAAGTATTTTGGGGCTTAATTTTCGAACCCAAGCAAAGGGGACTGTCTCCTCAGTCTGCCCTTTACAGCAGCCCAGCCCATTATAGCTGCAAGAAGAAAAAGTCCCCTACATGTGGTAGAGATTCAGAGATGTCCCTTCTTTTCGCCTGCCTTTGTCAACTCCTTATCAACCCAGTTGAAATTGTTGACTTTTCTAAGTCATGGAGAAAAATAGATCCACGTGGGTCTGTTTCCTTTTGGGCTTCTTCTTCTCTTTTAATCATGCCAAGCCCTTTTTGATTTTTTCTGGAGCTATGGGCTGATTTCTTTTTCTTCTTTTCGAAGCCCAAGTTTTTTTGATAGATCCTGGGTTGGGCTTTTTGAATTTTGGGCCCTTGATTCTTCTAATCGCAAAGTCCAGTACTGCTTGGGCCCTATAGTTCGTTTTGTTTTTCTGGGCTTTTAGTGTTGGGCTGGGTGTGTAGAATTTTGGCCCAAACAGATGGACCATTTGAATGAATAATTTAATTGAGGGACCAAAATGTAAATCGAGTATAAATTTGAGGACCATTTGAGTAATTTACTCTTAAACTTTTTAGTAATGGGTTTGCAAGTCTTTGGAGGAGACGTGGGTTTTCACTAGGTTGGGTCACATGTGGGTACAATATAAAAATACCATACTACATTGGTTATCCAATTGATGCTGGAACAAAGTAAAAATGTATAGTATTTGAAATAGTATATATATATAGAAATACATAACATTGATAACATTATAGTATTTATAATATAAAAAATTTGAGTGGGGGCTCGGGATTACATTGGTAATTATAGAATAGTATGTAAATATCACGTTAGCATAAGATACTTCCATTCAAATTTTGACACATGTCCATTTTTGAAAAGAAATTAATTACTTTATTATAGCTGGACTCACTTAACTTTTATCTTTTAAAATAAAATTAGGAAAGTGTACTAGAGGGTGTGTTTGTAGCAAATTCAATGGTGCAAGTGCGCAAAGATGTGTTGTGTTTGGGATTTGTGGATGTTGGGATGTGCCCAAGTAACCCAAGGTGCTGTCATTGTGATCAGAGCGCATCAATAGGAGGACAATCTTCTTCAATTTTGTTGAGGTTTTCATATTTGTAAAAAACTCAAACTCTGTTTGTTTTGGCTTTTGCTGAACCAAATTTGTAACGAGAGAAATCTCGTTTTGAATGACCTATTTCTCTTAAGTCTGAACTGAAGGTTCTGATTTATAGCTGGCTTCTTCTGTGGCTCAAATAAGCTCTTGGTTGCTTCAATTTGTTTGAAGGTTCTCAGAGATCAAGTGATCATTTTGAGTGTTTGTCTTTGGTTGATTTTTGGTTGTTTTTTTTTGTTTTTTGTTTGTTTTTGGTTCTGCTTTGTTCACCCTCTCCTATATTTATAAGAAATGCTTTGGAGTGAGGCTTCTTTCTCTTAATAATGGGCAGTAAAATTTCCCAAAAGATCTTTCATTTTTAAATGTAAAAAAATGGGGTTTTATCAGTTCTGACAGATAAGCCCTCAATGGTTAGTTCTTAAGACAATTACTTCCCTATTTTTTTGAAAAAGAACCTAACCACTCTTTAATTCCAACTACCCCATGTGAGAGCTCAAACTGTGGTGGTTAGTTTGATTTTCCAGTTTGAACAACTACCTATTTCCTGCTTATCTTTTTAGAAAACACAGTATGCGTATCCTTTGAAAGATGGTGCCTTCTTTGGAGTTGAAACAATATCTCTAAATATATAAAAGGGATTTGATCTTCTGGTGGCAGAGATTCAGAGATGTCCCTTCTTTTCGCCTGCCTTTGTCAACTCCTTATCAACCCAGTTGAAATTGTTGACTTTTCTAAGTCATGGAGAAAAAAAGATCCACGTGGGTCTGTTTCTTTTGGGCTTCTTCTTCTCTTTTAATCATGCCGAGCCCTTTTTGATTTTTTCTGGAGCTATTGGCTGATTTCTTTTTCTTCTTTTCGAAGCCCAAGTTTTTTTTATAGATCCTGAGTTGGGCTTTCTGGATTTTGGGCCCTTGATTCTTCTAATCGCAAAGTCCAGTACTGCTTGGGCCCTGTAGTTCGTTTTGTTTCTCTGGGCTTTTAGTGTTGGGCTGGGTATGCAAAATTTTGGCTCAAACAGATGGACCATTTGAATTAATAATTTAATTGATGGACCAATATGTAAATCGAGTATAAATTTGAGGACCATTTGAGTAATTTACCCTTAAACTTTTTAGTAATGGGTTTTCAAGTCTTTGGGGTTTTCACTAGGTAGGGCTACATTAGATGTGGGTTTTCACTAGGTTGGGTCACATGTGGGTACAATATAAAAATACCATACTACATTGGTTATCCAATTGATGTTGGAACAAACTAAAAATGTATAGTATTTGAAATAATATATATATAGAAATACATAATACTTATAACATTATAGTATTTATAATATAAAAAATTTGAGTGGGGGCTCGGGATTACATTGGTAATTATAGAATAGTATGGATATATCACGTTAGCATAAGATACTTCCATTCAAATTTTGACACATGTCCATTTTTGAAAAGAAATTAATTACTTTATTATAGCTGGACTCACTTAACTTTTATCTTTTAAAATAAAATTAGGAAAGTGTACTAGATGGTGTGTTTGTAGCAAATTCAATGGTGCAAGTGCGCAAAGATGTGTTGTGTTTGGGATTTGTGGATGTTGGGATGTGCCCAAGTAACCCAAGGTGTTGCCATTGTGATCAGAGCGCATCAATAGGAGGACAATCTTCTTCAATTTTATTTGGCTAATAAAAGACTTGGGTTCAAAATCGGATTCTAAGGTGAATTGTCTGCTGAGCATCCGATTTTGAAGAGGAAGAGCAAGGAGAGGAGTGGCACAGGATAGGGCTTATGGGTGTTTGGGTTGGGGACGAAGGATTGTTGGAAAATTCTTTCTTTCTTTCTTTTTTATTTAAATTTTTTATTTTTCTAATTTTATTTTAAAAGATAAAAGTTAAGCAAGTCCAACTGTAATAAAGTAATTAATTTTTTTTCAAAAATACACACGCGTCGAAATTTGAATAGAAATATTATACACTGACGTGGTACATCCGTATTATTCTATAATTTCTCCCCCATGTGGCTTAGCCCCTAGATATATGTAACTTTTACTATTGGAGATGGTCTAAGGTTGGAAAATGCTAGAGAGACCATTTTTAGAGACCAACTTGTGTATCATCTCTCTAATAGAGGATGAGACCTATTTTAATAGTGGGCTCCACCTTTATGAGAGAGATAGTACATAAGTTTGTATCTAAAGATGATCTCCCTAGTATCACCCTAACTTCTATTACGTAAACTGATAATTATACACAATCGTGAACGGAATATTATCCTCCAATAGCGTGAAGCACATGCAAAGATTCACAAAGTCACATATGAACAAGAAATTAAAGTTTATAATAATGTCATTGAGTTAGAGTTTAGACTATTAAACGAGGAAATTAGAAATAAAAAATAAAAAAAAATCGGACCACTTAACACACTAAAGTCTTCGTTTAAAAAAAATACACCCAGACACACTAAAGTCTTGTTTGTTGACTCTAGACCATTTAACACATCAGATGCCATCACCATCGCTACAACATTCAAGTCAAAAGCACATTTCTTCATATGAAAACTCGCCGGTTTTACGTTATTTTTAGGCCACCCAATCAAAAACTTATAACGCGTCTGAAAATGCCACCAAATTTCTTGATGCCAAGTTACCATCATTTTCTGCCAAAAGTCAGAGAAAACAAAAGCATTACATTAATTTTCAAAGATAAAATATATAATATAAAAAAAAGATAAAATATATAATTACGTAAGTAATTACCTGACGACCGACCCTGCCTGCTTGTACAGAAGGTGTTGTGCATTGGGGGTAATCTGACCTCGTCTATCTCCAATCTCCACGAAATGGATAATAGAAATTAGAGATTTGACCAAAATTAATAACGTTCCCATAAGCAGATTATAGAAAGAGTTTAAATTTTAAATATATATATCTTGCATCCTATTTATACTATTTTCTAAGAAAATAATTTCCCACCATTTTTGTAATTAAAAGCATGAAACAAATTAAATGACACGTTAAGAAAACTCTTTAAAACATGAGAAAATGATTTCCACGAAGAAAGAAACAAGTCAACATTCAAAGCTATTGAAAAAACCAAACAAGTATTCACACCAAAACCCAAAACCAAAACACAAACTCTCTTTGACTCTTGACTCTCAACTCCAAACACATAAAACACAATTTTCAGCTCCTCTCTCAACAAATCTGTCAGAGGGGCTGAGTGAGGCACCAAAGCAAACCACGAAACCATGTCTTCCTCCTCACACCCAAATCCGATGCGCCTCCTAAACGACGACGACGAGGGTCATCCATATTTTGGTGAATATCACAAAAACCCGTACGACTTGAACAGCAAGATCATGCTCACAGCCATCATCTCATTATCTGTCGTCGTTTTGTTAGTGATCGTGCTTCACACCTACGCAAGGTGTGCCCTCCGACGCCAGGCGCTTCGCCGTGCCTCCATGCGTCATCATCTAGGCTCGACCATGGCTCATGTCCACTTGGCGGAGCAGCCCAAGACCGGCCTGGAGCCCTCCATCATTTCCGCCTTGCCCACTTTCGTTTTCACACGAGCGGACGGCCAGGACGACGGGGAAGCCAACGCAATAGAGTGCGCCGTGTGCTTGAGCATGTTAGATCATGATGAGATGGCAAGGCTGCTTCCAAATTGCAAGCATAGTTTCCATGTGGAGTGCATAGACACGTGGCTGAATTCCCACACTACCTGCCCTATTTGCCGGACAGAGGCACAGCCGCGTCTCCAGCCCGAGCCACGGGAGGATCCCGTGGCAGGTGGGCCCACGGCTCCGCCTCTGGAGCCGCCTTTGAACTCCGCGCTTCAGTCATATATAGAAGGGACATCGGATGGTGCTGCCCAGTCCAGCTCTGGTACTAAAGCGAATGGCTCGATTTCGAGGTTGAGTTCTTTCAGAAGAATGCTTAGCATGGACAGATCTTCAAGAAGGATCCAATCTTGTGGCCAAGAGGACGGTATAGAAGATTTAGAGAGACAGTGAATATTGCATTAATTTTGCTATATATACTTTAATTAATTGTTACAATTTTGCTTTTGTTTGGTTTTTATTACAATTTGAGTGCTGCTCTTATTGCTACAGATGATTATAAACATTAAAACTTTACTTGATTTTGATTGCTTGGCTCCGGTGGTTATTTTATTGGAAAGTCTCTGTGTATACTCGATTGTAAACCGTGAAGGATATTGGATTGTTAGTTGTAATGTTTGTTGTTGTCTTTTACTTGGTCCGACGAAGACTTATTCGTGGTTTGGTAACCGTTTGGTAACCTAAAAATTAGTTAAGATGGTAATTTGCGGCTACCATAATTAAGAAAGATAAACAAAAGTAATTACGTGTGTTCCACGTGAATAAGAAAAATTAATTAGCTTTTGGCCAGATTATAAGTTTTTCTTAAGAGATACACATTTCCAACCTTTTTGTGATTAAAAACAAAGATTTTCCCTTTTTTTGCGGGATTCATTTTGATTTTCTGCAATAAAAGAGAATCCAATAGTAGCTGGTATGTTCGTGAATTATTACCATATATGGCAGGATAATCTAGACTCCAGCCGAAGGAGAAACACGATGTGTAACGGGAACAGTATGCCACGCGTGATAACTTTTCCGCGTGGCAGTCTGTGATTGATTAGGGATAGCAAAACAATGTTATTCCCGTTTCATACAAGATTTTTTTTGAAACGAACATCTAACTAAAATTTATAAATCAAACAAGTTTATTCGCATAACCAGAATTTTGGAGGATGAGAGCTACTTCTTCTAAGCTCTCAAATGCAATTATGTAGTTATGGGTGGCTAGAAAATAAAATAATATATATGATGTCTGCTGTAGGGTGTACATATGGTTTAGAGGTGGCTTATTTCTTCATAGAAGGGTGGGCTTAATTTTACATAGAGGGGTGGGTTATTATTTGATTTACCTAGGTTGGGCTTGTATCACTTATCTTATTCTCCAAAGTCAGCACTGGGCTGGAGTGTCTCCAGCCCAAATGTAGATCCGCCTTTGGGTGTAAAGAATAACAATAAGGCATCACCAATCCAATGAAAAAATGGCTCAACTTGTAGACCATTGGTCTAATGTTCAAATCTCCATGACACATAAGCAGTGTATAACTCCCTTCTCCTTCCTAAATTCGAGAAAGAAAAAAAAAAGGCATATACCACATCATTATGTTTAAATCAACATTGACGGATGTATTTAGTATGGATTAATTTCTTTTAACACATAGATTTAAAAATAATAATTTTTTACTTAACCTAAAATTCACCACTGCATAGTACCCAATATTTTACTCAACACCGGTCTTGTGATTTAAAGGGACTTGTACGAAACGTAAAATGGGACTTTCACATTATTAAATACGAAAATAATATTAGCAAAATTTACCATAACTTAATTCCATTAATAAAATTTGAACTTAAAATATTCATCATCAATTAACATATAAAATTAATCAGCACAACAATTTTTCAAGAAAACATGTGTGGTTAGTGGCATGGACTTGGGTACACTAAACCATTTTTTACTTCTAATTTAATATTAAACCATAAAAAAATTCCCTTGAATTGATTTCTGTAAGTACCAATTTCACATTGAATAAAAGTCCACCCTTTGAATTTTGGAATATCAGCAATCTACAAAAGAAAGCGTAATTCACAGGGTATAGAAAAAGAGATTTAGAAAAGAAGAATAAGAAAGATTTATAACAAGAAAAGTCTAACATTAAACCTGGAGGAGTGGTAGCGGTGCAGTGCAGCAATCTTAAGAAATCCAACGTTATCTAAATATTGTTTTGTCAAAAATATTAAATAAATATATAATACATAGATAATATAATATAAGATTTTTTTAGGTACCTTATACAATGGGCCCAAGGAGGTAGCACCTCCAATTCCTGTCCAAGACCGACACTGGCTTCAGAACCCCCAATTACTTGACCAACCTCCCAACCCAGCCGTCACCGTTATACCACCAGATAATCATGAAATAAATACGAGGCCGACCTTAGATCATAATATCCTCAACTTATTGGACTTGGACGTGATAGTTTGTGTTCTTAAATGATGATTACAGAAAGATAATTGATATTGACCACAAAAACAAAGAAAGAGAAAGATAATTGATATATATTCTATTATATATATATATATATACACACACACATTAATAAAATGTTTCTTGATAATGTGGTTAGGTGTCAATAAAGCATGCTAGTAGCAAGGCTATGATTACTAGCCTTATTAACTCACCATGAAGAAGGTCAAATTAGGATTGGAGGAATTGGAGGAGTCACAATGTGTCTGTCTGTGCCTAATAAATTATGGTTATAAATTGATCGAAAGGACATCCTCTCGGCCCTAGCACCTACTCATGAACTGAAACGGCCACGTTTCGTTAGGCATTTCGCCTTCCTGAAAACAAAAGAAAAGCTGCAAAGGCAGAATCCTCTCAGCCTCACGACCACGGTATTATAGGCCGAAGCCGAAAGTCGTAAAAGACACGGGCGAAGATACTGTGGTTAAATCGCCACGTGGCATCAAGGTCCCACGCCCTATTTAATGAAGTAATGCCTCTGACTATCGCAGCAAACCCACTAGTCGCAAGAAGTATTTAATGCACGAGGGAAGAAGGAAAGTGACTGAAGTCAGGATTTGGTTATGGAAATCAGAGTGGTTAGGCGCAAGCATTCTCACAAGTATTCTTACAACTTGAGGTCAGATCACCAACCACCAGACTAGGGCATTAAATGCGTTCCCACGGCCAAGGGGGCAGAACCCACGATCAGGACGGTGGTCGAGATTTACCCGGATTTATGGGGGTTACACCACCATGCTTCACGATCCCAAATGCCGATTTGACTACCCACTTACCCCGATCAGACTCCACCACGCAGATCTTTTCAGCCTCGATTGTCCCTCCAGGACTCCCCTTATAAATACTAAGCTCAAGACTACATGCAAAGGGTTCAAACACCAAACCAAAAGCCTCCCACGGAGCAAATTATATTTTCCTGTAATACACTTTCAATACCTTTATTTGCTTTCCTAGGAGTAGTAGTAGATTGTAAGGAAAATCCATTCATCAATATATCATACGACCGTTGATTTTCAAGGCACCGGAGCACCATCTCTGTTATCATCTCATTCACCCAATATACCATACGACCGTCGCTCTCTGAGCAACGCGCCGAAGCACCGCCTAAAACCAGCCACCAACACCACCACTAAACGGCATTGTAGCTCAGGCCGTGAACCTAACGGCCGAGATCAGTTCCTCTCTCGGCCACAATTGTTTGATTAGGAGTCGAACTCAAAACAGGCGCATTATTTAACCATCTTCTACCCAAACCTCATCACCATCTCGACGCACGGTAGACCGTGCTGGCACGCCCGCGCACAACCGCACCGCATCCAAAAGAAGGACGTCACGTGTTAACGCACATCCCCTCGGCCCGGAGCACCAAGTCGTGAGATTTGCGCAGCCAACAGTGTCTTATAAGAAATTCTTTCTTATCTGCAAGACCATATTAATATATATATGTACATTACTTGGATAGTAAGTACATAAGCCGCTAGTACACCATCCAATAGGAAATGAGTTGTAGCTAACCTATCCTTTGTATATATAGAAGTCATTAGTTGCACAGCAAAGGAACAAAGAAAGCGACAAAGAAAAAGAGTTAGAGAGAAGTAGAATTGTTAAGAAAAAGAGTGGGAAACTGAGTTTGTGAATGCAGTGAAAAATTGGAAAACACCTTACATTTCTAGCAAAGGCTTTGATGTCAAGGTACGGGGGTTTCTTGGGGGGTCATTTACGGAGCTTAATTTAATTAAATTTCTTGAGCACTATATTATGCGTGATATTATAATTTGATTGATGTTCTTGATATTATATAATGTTCTTCATGTTGGGTGTTTACGTATTGTTAACTATTTGAACAATGTTGGCATAATTATATATACATTGGTGATGTTTTAAATGGTTACATAGTTGTGCGATATATAGGATACGTGAAAGGTATAATTATATCATGTCATCGAAATTGGATGGAATTGTTGGATTGAGAAAATAATGATGGAAAAGAGGGTAGTAGAAATAATCTTTTGTGTAGTTGAGTCTAACTCTTGGTAGGTACCAGATCTCATGGATCTCACCGTGCACATGGTTATTATTGAATGATGCGGAATTGGCAACAAAGAGTTAGACAAGATGACTAATGAAAGGGGAAATTATGGGATGTTTGAGATGGGTGTTAGTTCATGGCACTCAAGACCAAGTGGTATAAGCATGGTATGGGACATGTAGGTCTGCTTATCCAGTTATATTAATTAACTAGAGTAGGTGAAGAGCATTCACGCATTATTGTTAATAATGTGATATTTGGCTGTGTGATTGATGTCACTTAATTAAGTAATATCGATTTACCGTGAAAATGTTTATATTCGTACTAGGTTATGGTTTTGCTCACCCCCTAACAAAATTTTCAGGCACTGAACCTGAAATCTAGGACTTATGATGATTTTGGCATGTCTATAGAGTGTATTGTGTGCATAGTTTGTGGTTGAATAATGAGAGACTCTTTTAGTGAACTCACGTACCTTCATGGTTTTCATCGTTTCAGGAAAATATTTCTCCAGGAATATTGTCTTTAAGGCAACCCATGTTGCAATCTCAACATCAGGCATAGCCAAAATAGATTCCCATCAATGATAAGCTTGTCCTTCCAAATAGGTAGAAGCGATGGTCACTTTTAGGTTTCTAGGAACTCTTTGTTCATTCATCTTTCTCTTCACTTGTCTTAACCATTCTTCTGTTGCCATAGGGTTTGGATCACCCTTGAAGACAAGTGGCCAAGTATTTCGAAATTCTTCTTGAACTCTCATTATTTGATCATCTTGAGTTTCTTGATGCAGTTCATGATTATGTTGATTTGTTTCACGAATAGCATAAGCCATATCTTGAATGGCTAACATTATTCTCATATTATCACTCACATCATTCTCACTTTGTCATTCTACTCTAGCCATCTTAACAATTGAACATTTACCTAATAATTTTACAAAATTAATATATATATATATTATCTAAAAATTACATAAAGCAATATTAAACATTTATAAATTACACTAAAAAACATGATAGAAAATCAAACATGCGTATTAAACATTTATAAGTTGTTACAAACCTATTTCACAAAATTTAACAAAACAGTCACAAACCTATGTTACAAGGAACTCCCTATTCCAAGACCTCCATAAGGTTGCCCACAAAAACTATATAAATCTACCATACCAAAATCAGTCTGTTAGGTTCACACTATCCATTTTATTAGTCAAACTTTTGAGAGAACCTATTCATCATCAGAACTAATATCTATAATTTCAAGAGGAGGGATAACAGGCTCAGGATATTCATTCTCATCATCAGAATTCAGGTTGATGACAGTTGGATTAAATTTTGTATTTGCGGTTCAATGATAACCATTGAAGTAGCATAAGCAATAGACTCAGTAGACAGAGCATCAAAGTCCAGAAGTTCCAAATATGCTTCATCTTCTGGGTCTAGGACATGGGGTAACTCTAACCCCTGTGGTTTTGGAACATAAGGTAAGTTTATCCCTGGTGGTGACCAAATATCAACAACTATAATCGCAGCATCTTGCAACAGCTGGTCATAAGAGTGTGCTTCAATATTTAATTGGTATTGACTCCTAACATTGTTGGCCTGCAACTGATGTCTAACAACCATTCTATGCATCTATGATGTATATAACATCCTCCTATATCCTGTATCAACAACTTCATTAATTATGTCCAAATAAGCCTGGTTGTATAGAAGGTTGTGGTATACTTCTTCGTCTACTAGGATGAAGCTATCGAGTCCCATTAGGAACCCTCCCCATGTGTCATCATTGTGATCAAGTTGCATTCTAAACATTAATTTAATGGGCCAGTAAATAACAAAACAATTTAATGAAGGTGTGAATTAATAGGTCAGTAAATAACAAAACAATTTAATGAAGGTATGAATCACGTCTTAATCCAAGATTTCATAAATCCGTGGGTTGGGGTGTGACAAGTTGGTATCAGAGCAAGGTTTACGGTTTCATTAACTTTTTTGTTATTTACTGACTTGTTAAATTAATGTTTAGGATGCAACCCGATCACAATGATGACACACGGGGAGGGTTCTAAATGGGACTCAATGGCCTCATCCCAGTAGATGAAGAAGTATACCACAGCCGTCTACGCAACCATGTTTATTTGGACATAGTTAATGAAGTTGTTGACACATGATATAGGAGGATGTCATATACACCAAAGATGCAGAGAATGATGTTAGACATCGGGTGCGGGCCAACAATGTTAGGAGTCAATACCAATTAAATATTGAAGCACACTTTTACGACCAAGTGTTGCAAGATGATGCAATTATAGCTGTTGATATTTGGCCACCATCAGGGATAGACTTACTTTATGTTCCAAAACCACAAGGGTTAGAGTTACCCCATGTCCCAGACTTAGAAGATGAAGCATATTTGGAACTCATGGACCTTGATGCTCTGTCTGTTGAGTTTGTTGAGTCTGCTGCCTCAGTGGTTATCACTGGACCACAAATAGAAAAGTCCAATCCAACTGTCATCAACCTGAGTTCTGATGATGAGAATGAATATCCTGAGCATGTTATCCCTCATCTTGAAATTATAGATATTAGTTCTGATGATGAATAGGTTCTCTTAAAAGTTTGACTAATAAAATAGATAGTGTGAACCTAACAGACTGATTTTAGTATGGTGGATTTATATAGTTTTTGTGGGCAGCCTTATGGAGGTCTTGGAGTGGGGAGTTCTTTGTAACATAGGTTTGTGATTGTTTTTTATAATACAAGTAATAGTCTAAATTACAAGTGGGATGGGTGTTTTTTCACACACACACACACACACACACATACTACTAATGTGTCATGGAGATTTGAACCTGAGACCACTAGTTTGCAAGTTAAGACCGTTTTCCATTGGGCTAGACCCCATTAGCATGCATTGGTAACTTTTAAGTTAACTCCAAAATTAAAAAAAAAAAAAAAAAAAAAAAAAAAAAAAAAAAAAAAAAAAAAAAAAAAAAAAAAAAAAAAAAAAAAAAAAAAAAAAAAAAAAAAAAAAAAAAAAAAAAAAAAAAAAAAAAAAAAAAAAAAAAAAAAAAAAAAAAAAAAAAAAAAAAAAAAAAAAAAAAAAAAAAAAAAAAAAAAAAAAAAAAAAAAAAAAAAAAAAAAAAAAAAAAAAAAAAAAAAAAAAAAAAAAAAAAAAAAAAAAAAAAAAAAAAAAAAAAAAAAAAAAAAAAAAAAAAAAAAAAAAAAAAAAAAAAAAAAAAAAAAAAAAAAAAAAAAAAAAAAAAAAAAAAAAAAAAAAAAAAAAAAAAAAAAAAAAAAAAAAAAAAAAAAAAAAAAAAAAAAAAAAAAAAAAAAATGACAGGACCCGCCCCGAATTTCCCGGAACCCGAGACGAACCCTGCGGAGACCCCGGCATCACACCCACGCCGGGTTTACTCCTTAAAACTATGTCCTCTTTTACCAGAGAGGATTTAGGGCACGAGACTTTCTGCCGAAATTTCGGCAGAGTCTCCCCTGTAAATTGAACATTCCCCAAAATTTCCACCTGCATAAAACACATTTTATAACCCAACCAGCAGCACGCACAATATAATCTCATGCAATTTACATAAATGGCCTCCGGCCTTCAAATGATTCTAGCAGAACTACTCACACTGCTTTTAAAATAACTCCATGCATCAAACATGCATATAAACAAATTCCAAATCTATCTATACACACCTTCACTCACTCAGTCCACCGGACAAGCCTCAATTCAACCAAGTTTCGGGACCAACCACGAGGTCCGCATCATACTCGATAAAACCACCTAAGTGGTGTCTAGGTCGTGGCTGCACCTAGGCGCTATCCCAGGCTGCCTACGTACCCTACTAAGGGATCAAGCCACACGTAGCTCTTTCCTATCAATCCTGGCTCCTGATATCAATAAACCATTACATCCATATAAATTCATACATTCTAGGGTTTATCCATCACAACACACAAACACAATCACATAGCTCCCCTCATACGTCGGGACGCACCCGGCCTCGTACGGGGTCTGTCAACACGCCGGCTAATCCAAAGACGCGTGCGACCTCACACTGGGCCTGGCTACATTCTCACCAGCCCTCATACCATCATATCTCCCACTCATACGTCGGGACGCACCCGGCCACGTACGGGGTCTGTCAACACGCCGGCTAACCCAAAGACGCGTGCGACCTCACACTGGGCCTGGCTACATTCTCACCAGCCCTCTACCATCATATCTCCCACTCATACGGTCGGGAGCACCCGCCACGTACGGGGTCTGTCAACACGCGGCTAACCAAAGACGCGTGCGGGACCTCACACGGGGCCTGGCTACATTCTCACCAGCCCTCATACCATCATATCTCCCACTCATACGTGGGACGCACCCGGCCACGTAGGGGTCTGTCAACACGCCGGCTAACCAAAGACGCGTGCGACCTCACACTGGGCCTGGCTACATTCTCACCAGCCCTCATACCATCATATCTCCCACTCATACGTCGGGACGTACCCGGCCACGTACGGGGTCTGTCAACACGCCGGCTAACCCAAAGACGCGTGCGACCTCACACTGGGCCTGGCTACATTCTCACCAGCCCTTATACCATCATATCTCCCACTCATACGTCGGGACGTACCCGGCCACGTACGGGGTCTGTCAACACGCCGGCTAACCCAAAGACGCGTGCGACCTCACACTGGGCCTGGCTACATTCTCACCAGCCCTCATACCATCATATCTCCCACTCATACGTCGGGACGCACCCGGCCACGTACGGGGTCTGTCAACACGCCGGCTAATCCAAAGACGCGTGCTGGGCCTGGCTACATTCTCACATCATACATTCTCACACCCATCACTTGGGCCTGGGCATAATCACAATATGAGGGGTACGTGGGGTAGTGCGTATAGCACTGTAAACTAATATTCAATCTCCTTATATATCATTATACATCCACACAATTAATTAAATATATCATACAATAACATCAACCAATAAAACATTCCATAAACTCCCACATTTAAATTCACCAATTTATCCTAAACCCACAATATCCATTTTACTCAACAACGCTCAAGACCTGTCACTAAGGTCATCCTAACCCTCAAGGAAAGGTAAGACTATCTCGGGAGTCTCACGGTCAACCTAGGGTCAAACGGGCCTGCGGGGCCCACAACCTCCAAATTCCGATCCGATAGTTCCTAGAGGTTCTACAAGCTCTAGGACACATGTCCTGCAAGTTTGGTCCAGATCGAACGGTCGGATTGCTCACGATCGCACAATCGGACGGTTACTAAACCCTAACCCCAGGGTTGGCATTTCTGGAGTATCCGGGACTCCGTTTTACGATCCGTCGAATCCTACACGATCCTGGTAATACCTAGATCAACATATTATAACTTCAGGACCATCCAACGGTCCAAACCTAGCAAACCCGGAAAATACGCGATATGCGATATCCGTTCGGGACTCTAACGATATCCAAATTGAGATCCGAGCACACCTACGCGCTCATGACAACCTGAGGATCCCATTGGGACAAAAATGCCCCTCAGCTACAGTGCCCACGCGCCGCCACACGCGCCGGCAGCGCGTGGGTGTCCAAAGCGATATCGCATCGCCGGAAAAACTGCAAATCACGGCTCAAGACTCCTACCCTAGGTAAAACACCTAATTTGGAGTCACTTTTGTTCTTGGACGTACCCCAAAAACTGACCGGAAGTGGCCGGAATCTCTCCCGAAATCCGGCCGAACCCTAACTCGAGAATCAGATAATCTAGGCTCAAAATTACGAAATCCTACCCAACCATCAGCTAGATCATGAGGAAAGGATGAGATTTCCATACCTTGATCGCCAAAAATGGCGGCCGGACGACGGAGAACGAAGCCGGCGAATTTTCTGTCAAAACCGGAGCTTTTCTCCTCGTTTTCCGGCGAAATCACGGCGGCTGGCGGCAGGACCTGGCCGGGGTAGGAAGAGGACGGCAGCCCGGTCATTTTGGTACCGGCCCCGTCAACTTTGGTGGCCGGACGAGAGCACGGCCGGCCAAAACGTGGCCGGCCACAGTGGCTGTCGCGAAAACCAGAGGAGAGAGAGGGACGCGCGGGAGAGAGAGAGTGTGTGAGAGACGGGGGCAATTCCGTCTTTTAACCAAAAATCCATTTTCCAAATATTTACGATTATGCCACTGAGCTTCTTTTGATCATATCTCTCTCGTTACAACTCCGATTCGAGCCCACTACGTGTCTACGGACTCATCTCACCGTGCTCTACGCAACGGTACAACCGGAATTCCCAAATTCCTTCCGGGTAAGAAAATGACTAAAATACCCCTATCCCACGGGTAATTTCTCAATTCCACTTAAATAAATTAAAACATGGGATAATTTGGGGTCGGGGTGTTACATACTACCCCCCTTATAAAAATTTCGTCCCCGAAATTTCATACCTGCCACTCCAAAGGTGTGGGTACTGGGCCCGCATCTACTGCTCGGGTTCCCATGCTTCATCCTCCACAACCAAGTTGGCAGCCAAGTCATTCCATTTGTGATTTGATTCTCTTCTAGCTCTCCCACGAAGAGAAGTCCAAACTCCTTGACTTGTTGATATCTTCCTTCTTTCTTTAGAATCGATAAGCAACATTGCCAACACGATTCTTTGAGAGGAATGTCAGAAAGGATCATTTTTACCGAATTGTAATCATCATCTTCCTCTCTCTACCATGACCCATTTCTGATTCCGATGAAAGATTTCTGCTCAAACGTGCTCTCATGAGGTGAGACCCCAAAGCATTCTCTTCATCTCCAGGGTAGGTTCACCCAATCCATCTAGGTCTCATCCGTGGATTTGACTGGAGTATTCCCACCACACACGAGCCTCCTTCTACAAGAGGAATACGGCTATCTAAATCTTTTTCCACACTTGTGGTTTCGAAGCCGTTCTTCAGATCATGAATCCAGTGATTCAATCTTCGAGAATTCACTCTTCTCAAAGAAAGGTTGAGCTCTTAATATCTTCGACTTCGTGCTCACTGCACACATCAAGAATTAGCAACATGTTCAGGCAATAGAGGATCTCTAGAAACGAGTTATCAACTCCATGTTCTCCTGCCCATAAGAACTCAACAACCTGTCTGTGGTAAAGCTCTAGCTCTACTTCTGCCTCAACGGCCTTTCGCATATTGGTTCCCTTTCCAGAGGGGTAGACAGAAGTAACCCAAGTCGTCGGTCAAACTCCCAATGGCCGAACTTCCAAGAAAGTTTGGAGTTCAAATTCACTGCGTGAGAGAGCAAGGAAGAAGAACCATAAGTTCCACTCCTGTCAATTGCGGCATTCAAGCTCACGCGAGTGAAATGATACTTCACCCAACTCTACTACTTCTCAACTTAATTTGTCACGACCCTCCTTGGTCGGACTCACAACTCCTCCATTCCCTTGTAACTTGTCCATCAACTTCCTCTGACAATTTCATCTCATCTCAGCAGATTCAACACTTTCAGCTCTTCCATTTCCTTCCATAGGATATTGAGATACGACAATTTGGATAGACACGTTTCTAGGAACGTGGCACCCTTAAGTGTACTCATCAATACCCTAAATCCATCCATGTCAAAGAGTCCTCCGCGTCAAAATGATGACGTCCCGTGACGGAACCCATCATGCTCCCACAACTTAAGGATGCACACAAGGTGCGGAGTCCACAAGAAATTGAACCTAAGCTCTGATACCAAGCTGACAGGACCCGCCCCGAATTTCCCGGAACCCGAGACGAACCCTGCGGAGACCCCGGCATCACACCCACGCCGGGTTTACTCCTTAAAACTATGTCCTCTTTTACCAGAGAGGATTTAGGGCACGAGACTTTCTGCCGAAATTTCGGCAGAGTCTCCCCTGTAAATTGAACATTCCCCAAAATTTCCACCTGCATAAAACACATTTTATAACCCAACCAGCAGCACGCACAATATAATCTCATGCAATTTACATAAATGGCCTCCGGCCTTCAAATGATTCTAGCAGAACTACTCACACTGCTTTTAAAATAACTCCATGCATCAAACATGCATATAACAAATTCCAAATCTATCTATACACACCTTCACTCACTCAGTCCACCGGACAAGCCTCAATTCAACCAAGTTTCGGGACCAACCACGAGGTCCGCATCATACTCGATAAAACCACCTAAGTGGTGTCTAGGTCGTGGCTGCACCTAGGCGCTATCCCAGGCTGCCTACGTACCCTACTAAGGGATCAAGCCACACGTAGCTCTTTCCTATCAATCCTGGCTCCTGATATCAAACAAACCATTACATCCATATAAATTCATACATTCTAGGGTTTATCCATCACAACACACCAAACACCATCACATAGCTCCCCTCATACGACGGGACGCACCCGGCCTCGTATGGGGTCTGTCAACACGCCGGCTAATCCAAAGACGCGTGCGACCTCACACTGGGCCTGGCTACATTCTCACCAGCCCTCATACCATCATATCTCCCACTCATACGTCGGGACGCACCCGGCCACGTACGGGGTCTGTCAACACGCCGGCTAATCCCAAAGACGCGTGCGACCTCACACTGGGCCTGGCTACATTCTCACCAGCCATCTACCATCATATCTCCCACTCATACGTCGGGACGCACCCGGCCACGTACGGGGTCTGTCAACACGCCGGCTAATCCAAAGACGCGTGCGACCTCACACTGGGCCTGGCTACATTCTCACCAGCCCATCTTACCATCATATCTCCCACTCATACGTCGGGACGCACCCGGCCACGTACGGGGTCTGTCAACACGCCGGCTAATCCAAAGACGCGTGCGACCTCACACTGGGCCTGGCTACATTCTCACCAGCCCTCATACCATCATATCTCCCACTCATACGTCGGGACGCACCCGGCCACGTACGGGGTCTGTCAACACGCCGGCTAACCCAAAAGACGCGTGCGACCTCACACTGGGCCTGGCTACATTCTCACCAGCCCTCATACCATCATATCTCCCACTCATACGTCGGGACGCACCCGGCCACGTACGGGGTCTGTCAACACGCCGGCTAACCCAAAGACGCGTGCGACCTCACACTGGGCCTGGCTACATTCTCACCAGCCCTCATACCATCATATCTCCCACTCATACGTCGGGACGTACCCGGCCACGTACGGGGTCTGTCAACACGCCGGCTAACCCAAAGACGCGTGCGACCTCACACTGGGCCTGGCTACATTCTCACCAGCCATCATACCATCATATCTCCCACTCATACGTCGGGACGCACCCGGCCACGTACGGGGTCTGTCAACACGCCGGCTAATCCAAAGACGCGTGCGAGGCCTGGCTACATTCTCACCAGCCATCATACCATCATTTGGGCCTGGCTACATTCTCACCAGCCATCTTACTGTCACTTGGGCCTGGGCATAATCACAATATGAGGGGTACGTGGGGTAGTGCGTATAGCACTGTAAACTAATATTCAATCTCCTTATATATCATTATACATCCACACAATTAATTAAATATATCATACAATAACATCAACCAATAAAACATTCCATAAACTCCCACATTTAAATTCACCAATTTATCCTAAACCCACAATATCCATTTTACTCAACAACGCTCAAGACCTGTCACTAAGGTCATCCTAACCCTCAAGGAAAGGTAAGACTATCTCGGGAGTCTCACGGTCAACCTAGGGTCAAACGGGCCTGCGGGGCCCACAACCTCCAAATTCCGATCCGATAGTTCCTAGAGGTTCTACAAGCTCTAGGACACATGTCCTGCAAGTTTGGTCCAGATCGACGGTCGGATTGCTCACGATCGCACATCGGACGGTTACTTAAACCCTAACCCCTAGGGTTGGCATTTCTGGAGTATCCGGGACTCCGTTTTACGATCCGTCAAATCCTACATGATCCTGGTAATACCTAGATCAACATATTATAACTTCAGGACCATCCAACGGTCCAAACCTAGCGAAACCCGGAAAATACGCGATATGCGATATCCGTTCGGGACTCTAACGATATCCAAATTGAGATCCGAGCACACCTACGCGCTCATGACAACCTGAGGATCCATTGGGACAAAAATGCCCCTCAGCTACAGTGCCCACGCGCCGCCACACGCGCCGGCAGCGCGTGGGTGTCCAAAGCGATATCGCATCGCCGGAAAAACTGCAAATCACGGCTCAAGACTCCTACCCTAGGTAAAACACCTAATTTGGAGTCACTTTTGTTCTTGGACGTACCCCAAAAACTGACCGGAAGTGGCCGGAATCTCTCCTCGAAATCCGGCCGAAACCCTAACTCGAGAATCAGATAATCTAGGCTCAAAATCGAAATCCTACCCAACCATCAGCTAGATCATGAGAAAGGTGAGAATTTCCATACCTTGATCGCCAAAAATGGCGGCCGGACGACGGAGAACGAAGCCGGCGAATTTTCTGTCAAAACCGGAGCTTTTCTCCTCGTTTTCCGGCGAAATCACGGCGGCTGGCGGCAGGACCTGGCCGGGGTAGGAAGAGGACGGCGGCCCGGTCATTTTGGTACCGGCCCCGTCGACTTTGGTGGCCGGACGAGAGCACGGCCGGCCAAAACGTGGCCGGCCACAGTGGCTGTCGCGAAAACCAGAGGAGAGAGAGGGACGCGCGGGAGAGAGAGAGTGTGTGAGAGACGGGGGCAATTCCGTCTTTTAACCAAAAATCCATTTTCCAAATATTTACGATTATGCCACTGAGCTTCTTTTGATCATATCTCTCTCGTTACAACTCCGATTCGAGCCCACTACGTGTCTACGGACTCATCTCACCGTGCTCTACGCAACGGTACAACCGGAATTCTCAAATTCCTTCTGGGTAAGAAAATGACTAAAATACCCCTATCCCACGGGTAATTTCTCAATTCCACTTAAATAAATTAAAACAGGGATAATTTGGGGTCGGGGTGTCACTTCTACGAACCTGAATAGTCCGATTTCATGGACCAATCGATATCGGATTGAGTCCAAAACTTGAGGAACAAAATATGGTGGGGAGTCATTTGGTTGGTTTGGAGTGAAATCCAAGGCTAAAACTATGCCATATGCCAACCACTCCATTTAGAACGAACTTCCTACGAACCTGAATAGTCCGATTTCATGGACCAATCGATATCGGATTGAGTCCAAAACTTGGGGAACAACATAATATGGTGGGAGGAGTCATTTGGTTGGTTTGGAGTGAAATCCAATGGCTAAAACTATGCAATACACAACCACTCCATTTCAGAACGAACTTCCTACGAACCTGAATAGTCCGATTTCATGGACCAATCGATATCGGATTGAGTCCAAAACTTGGGGAACAACATAATATGGTGGGAGGAGTCATTTGGTTGGTTTGGAGTGAAATCCAATGGCTAAAACTATGCCATATGCCAACCACTCCATTTAAGAACGAACTTCCTACGAACCTGAATAGTCCGATTTCATGGACCAATCGATATCGGATTGAGTCCAAAACTTGAGGAACAACATAATATGGTGGGAGGAGTCATTTGGTTGGTTTGGAGTGAAATCCAATGGCTAAAACTATGCAATACACCAACCACTCCATTTCAGAACGAACTTCCTACGAACCTGAATAGTCCGATTTCATGGACCAATCGATATCGGATTGAGTCCAAAACTTGAGGAACAACATAATATGGTGGGAGGAGTCATTTGGTTGGTTTGGAGTGAAATCCAATGGCTAAAACTATGCCATATGCCAACCACTCCATTTAAGAACGAACTTCCTACGAACCTGAATAGTCCGATTTCATGGACCAATCGATATCGGATTGAGTCCAAAACTTGAGGAACAACATAATATGGTGGGAGGAGTCATTTGGTTGGTTTGGAGTGAAATCCAATGGCTAAAACTATGCCATATGCCAACCACTCCATTTAGAACGAACTTCCCACGAACCTGAATAGTCCGATTTCATGGACCAATCGATATCGGATTGAGTCCAAAACTTGAGGAACAACATAATATGGTGGGAGGAGTCATTTGGTTGGTTTTGAGTGAAATCCAATGGCTAAAACTATGCAATACACCAACCACTCCATTTCAGAACGAACTTCCTACGAACCTGAATAGTCCGATTTCATGGACCAATCGATATCGGATTGAGTCCAAAA